AATCATTGCTTGCAAGAAAAGTCATGATGCTCGTTAGAAGATGGAGTCAGATGGAGACTATTCAACCCTGGCTGAAAGTAATGAACCGCAAACCGAGCTGATCCTGTTTGATGCCTTGATTGAGGCCATCAAGTCTCAGTAGTCACTGCTACTGCATACGTCAATGGCATGGATTAGCAATCTGTGCTGTTTGCAGAACGCTTCTCCTCTCCGGAGAACTTGACTTCTGAAGAACCTTTTACGCCGTGTCGTCAACACAGACAGGCGTAAGAGAATCACTAACATCGTTCGATTTATGGCTTCGGACCATCTTCTTCGATGTGAACTTATGTTCTATTGGCTCCTCTGGTCTGCAACCTTCCGATTGCGTAGGAAATTTCACGTCCACGGATTTCCAGACGTATATGTATCTTGCATATGATGGACTAGTGTTCCTGTACACCCCCTCACAGCTGTTATCGGAGAAGAGGTGGTCCTGAACTTGATAACAGTGTCATAGCCAGTGAAGAAGTGACTGAGTAGTGAGTTTTAGGCTCGATAACAGAAATGAATAAGTATGCATAAAACTCAATACTTACTGCATAGGGGCTGAGTTCTAGTCTCAGTAGATTTTTTGTGGAAAGTATGATTGAGTACGAGAACCATGGCAACACGTGTATGTGGAGAAAGAGGAGCAGGGGTTGGATACCGTTCGAGTCAGCCTTCACAATGGCACACATCACGGAATCTGAACGTGAACGAGAACATGCGGACTTTGATGATAAGTTATGTCCTACAACAAGCTTGAAGGAGCTCATCGGCAAAAATCGGCTCCATGCAACATAGATTTGGGATCTCGCCTACCCTCCATTTGAACAGCCCTTTCCAGTCAGACACTAGTTTCTTTGAGATGAAACGTTTGGTGAATGGGTTAAACACCTAAATCTTAACCCACAGAGCCATTCGGCCTACAGTCCTCCGTAATGCTTCTGGCACCCTCCCTAGCGGATATCAGTTGCATCGAATTCATATCCGTAGAGAAGATACGAACAAAGTATTCGTCTTATGAGGACGGATTTGCGTCGGACTGCCTTACTCTCTAATGTTTACAGCCATGAGTATAACTGTCATCACCATGCCTTCCTCATATTAATTGTAAAATATAAAGTGCCTGTATTAGTCCGGCCACATATTCAATTACAGACCGATTTCTTTTCAGTTCATTCTGGTCTCAGAGAATTCACCTGGTAGTTGATGTCACCTTGAATCGAAATATACTACCTTCAAACTTGAAATGGTGAATATCTCGAATAACCCGCTCTAGAAACGTCTGCAGGTATAAATTACTGGAAATCAAAGAAAAAATGAATGTTTGTCTAGATGACTGGGAACTTGCCAACTTGAGAATTTTGTGCCTTTGGACTGGAGTTTCTTGAAGCAGTACTTCTGGGCGTTTGCAATGACTGGAAGTGTCAATTATTCCACTGATCGAGTATCCGGATTAAGCATTTGACTTGATGCCACTAACAACAAAGTTATCAGCAACCTTACATATATGAGAAGTCTTGACTTGAGTGGGAACAAGCTGAAATTAAGGACTCTATATGAACTTCAGTTGTTGAAGCTTGGTGGCAATCTCTTTACTGGTTCTATACCTTTCTCCTTGGCCAAATGCTCCAAAATCACTGTCCTTGACGTTGGAGAAAACGAGCTTTCTGACTATCTCCCACAAGCGCTTGAGGGACGGGCGAAAATGAAATGATTGTAACTTGACGCTAATGCCTTCACCGGTCGTGTATCTGCTTCTCTGGGCAAATTTTCTTAACTCACTGTCCTCAATGTCAGCCATAATAAGCTAAATGGGACATTGCTCACAGACCTTGGGACGCAAGGAGATCTCAAGGTGCTGACTACTTCCGATAATCACCTGACTGCATTGTTACCTGCTTTCTTCTCGGAGCTCTCCAGCCTTTTCGTTCTGGACCTCAGTCAATATAAAATCAACACAAGTTTACCGCCTGAGCTTGGAAATATTACAGGACTTCAAAGTCTTAGGCTTCCTGCAAATCAGCTGACGAACATTTGGTAAATGCTCTCTTCTTCAAGTTTTGGACATCTCTGCCAAATCTCAGAGATTATGGCAGAGTATATACCAGTCAGCCTGTTACCTGAGTCATCGAAAGTGCAAAATGTATACAAGGATTCCGACAACTTGGAACGTCAGATCCCGCAGGTAGTTTACGCACTTTGGCATCTTCGCATCTTATCCCCAGATCAAACTGGCTGATCTGAGCAATTCCCAGCAATTTGGAGGAAAATCAGAAACTGATGCTGCTAGATGTGGGGAACAATAATCTGTCTGGATCTCTACCAATATTTGAGACAATTATGCCCGAACTTGTGTTGTGGAAGCTTAGCCATATGAGGGTGAAATTCCCAGCTGGGTCTGGAGGATGTGTAGATTATAGATATTGGATCTATAAGCTAACAACTTCAGGGAAAGCTTCCGTCGACGTTCAGCAATGTTCTTGCTTTCAAGTTGAAAGTCATGGAACAGGGGGTCGCAAATGATACTGCCAACCCACCTCTGAAAGTTGGGCCAGATGTGGAGACGCTTAAGAGCCCATATTTACCTGCTGTCAATGCAACGGTCAAGGATCCGGAAGCGGATTTCCCATTTAGAATGGGAGTGATGGTGCTCATGGACTTGTCGAGGAATCAGGTCTCAGGAGGTCGGCAGAACACGCACAGATAGCAACAAACTGATTTTGGGTCTTTTAGGGCCACTGCCAGAGAGCGATGTCATGAAACGTGATCAAATTAGTGTGCATATGAATGTTCGGGAGGTTGACATGGCTATCATGAAGTTGACTTGGGTACACATCTGAGAGAATTTCAGCTGGATATATAGTGAATGTATAGTGAAAATAAATAAATATATAAAATAAAATAAAAACATGAACTACATTGTTATGATAGAATATTTCTTAATTGAAAATGTAGAATGTAATCCTGATCAAAGGAAAAAGATAATTTGTCACTTAACATCATTGACACATGTGAAAAACTGTACTTCATTGTCTTACCTTAAACTAAGAGATCTGTTTTCTAACAGATAATTGTTTCTAGTTATAAGATTTAAATCTATTTTTTCTAGAAAAATTATTGTATTCATTTTAATTTAGTTCAAACACACAAAGAAAGATAAGATAAAAATAGTCTGCTTTGTATTTTCATATTGAAATATATTATTTTCTTACATTATGACCATCAAAAAATATTTTCGTTCACTTATAAGACCAATTAACAAAAAAAAGGATATATAATTATCATCTTATGGGAAAAAAAATTCAATCTAGATACCAATATATCTTTTAAAAGTCATGAACGTAGAAGCTAAAAAAGAAAAAATGAACACACAAGTCAAAAATTGTTTTTTATGAAAATTTATATTTATGATAATCTACAATAAGAAAATTTGAAATCAATTTATGAAAAATAATAATTTGGATGAAACTAAATTTTTTTGCATCTAACATAAGTCGAAGCTCACAATACAATTACAGAGATTTGTATCAAAATTTATTGCAAATTTTTGAAGATGATCATAACATAAAATCAACAAAACAAAGACTCTAATATTTTGTTGAAATGAATTTTTGTTTACAAGTGAAATCCATCTATAGATTTTCTTTTCATTGACTGAATTATAAGTGAGATTTACGAGTAAAATTTTCAAATTTAAGAATAAATTTGTTTTCTTTTAATTTTTTCTGCTCTCTTATTGCTACTGATTATCTTGAATGTACACACACATATATTTTAGACTGTATTTTTTTTGGAATAAATTCACATCGTCCAAAGTCATTATATATTGAAACAGAAGTGTTCATAGCTAAAAGTTAAGGAAAGTGTATAAATTGAGTTTCATAATCAAATGGGAAAACATGACGCAATCACAGGGATACCATGAAATGAAATATTGCATAATGATTCACAAACATGAAGAAAATTTTTGAAGTCCAACCTCAAGAAAATAACGAAGCGTGCTAGCACGATTTCTAAAAGGCTTCAAAACAATTTACGACCACATTTTCTTCTTCAGCCTCATTACGCTTGTAAACTTTTGTGAAGAGTTTGACCATGTACTCTTGGGACGTATCCATAAATAAGGTCATTTAATGTGAACAATATAAATATCTACCAATATAGAAATTATTGAGGTGAAAGGAATAATTTGCCCGTTTCTAGTAGCCTGGTCCTTGAATAGTGGTTGTCTGATCCTTCTCGTCTCTGACTAAAAAAACTTCTTCCAGGATTTGTAGAATATAAATCTCTCACCAACTGCACATGGAAGCTTTGGTCATTCTGCAAAGCCAATGATATCGACCACATATGATTCACACAACATTGAATGACAATAAACAGAGGCCAAGTGGGTAACCAAAGATGAAGGGATGACCCATCATGCCGTACAAGGGAGAAACCTTAACACTAGTGTGTCTGTCACATCAATCGGAAACACTGAACTGTCTTGCATTGTGCAACTAATCAAGACAACTTGCACATTCCTGTCAATGGAAACGACTGCCGAGTAAGGACTACAACTATTCGGAACTATTCGAGTTCGTACTGGGATACGAAAGCAACACTAAGCACTGAATCAAAGTTTCTTGAATCGTCATACATTAAACATCCTATGTTCATGATATAATTTTTTCAAGTGTTACATACCTGGTTAGAGGAACGAGGATGTATGAAGCACTCGTTGCGGGCGACCCGTGCATCATCGCCGAAGCACCTTTGCAGATGACGTTTATCAGAGGTTACATCTCCCTAAAAAGTAGATGATAGAATTAGACGAATTCATACAATTCGAACATAATTTTCTGCTCATTAAACATCTTGCAAAATAGGGTTAGATTAGCAGAAAAAAGACGCCGATTTTGATATCGATCGATGCTTACTCATGCTACTCTGCGAACGAAAGATTTAAATTAATCCCTAGAACTTGAATGAGAATTATTACTACAGCTAACTGTTCCCGTCGTGCAATGTCTACAGATTCTAGATTTTCTCGTACCCTTGATAGGAACGAAAACAAAGTTGGTCCAAGATTGAGATTAATGAAGAAAGTATATCCCGAATTTAGTGCACCGCCAGATATAACCAACTCGGAAGTTGTGAAGGCACCTCATCTACATCAATCACTCTGGCGCAGATAGAGGCTGAGTTGAAAGAATAGAGAATCAAGAGGTGTATGGCAAAATTTGTCACGAGAATTATACGCAGTACATAACGTAATTCTGTCCACAGCAGGCACAATCAGCGTTCTCAACGCGTCGAAGGCTGCACTTGGAATCGTAATTGTCTCAAATCAAGAGACAGTTATCCAAAATGTCACAGGATATTGTGTCATCTTCATACTCTAATCTAGGGGCGACAGTAGTAGAAGACACGAGACACAGGATTCTTAATTCATGAGGCAAATGAAAATTTTCTGCGCTAGAATGTAAATTGGAGGGTTGACAGTTTACAATGGAGGTCTTGGGAACAGCGGCGGATGAGGAGAGCCTGTGAAAATTTTCACAATGAACAGTCAAAATTGTTCAGTACTGGTGAGTGTGGACACTGACTAGGCCTTTCGACCAGACGGTGCTTTAGCTGGTGGTGAATTATTATCTATGTACAGAGGCAGCTTTTCTTCCTTTGAAGTATATAATTTCCATAATCTGTGGAGGAATCTTGAATCCAACTGTGAAGCTATCGTCTCTTAAACTTGAGAGGTGGCGATCGTTTCGTGGTGCTCATTTGAGAGTGAGAAGAGATTGTTCAATTCAAAACACTAAATGCTATCGCTGACTTGCAGGCTGAGTAGGGGACGCCTTTGGTTACCAACAATATTCCGAATTCTTGTTGATTACTGATCCTATGGCTAGACGGAAACAAGCAAGGCCCAGCAGGAACGGGCGAGTGACTGCTGAGGAAGATGAAGATGAAGCTTTACAGGCTCATGCTCCTGATGGAAATTGCCCGATTTCAGATGGTGTCGAAGAGGTCCAAGCTCCTCCTCGGAAGAAACGGGTTCGAAGAGATGCTCCTAGTGAACCTGAAACGAAGGAAATGCTGTGGAGAAGCATGATTTTACCTGAACTCTCTGGGAAGGAAGTTGCCGAGATTAATTTGTTAAATATAAGGGCAACCAAGCAACTTGAAACCAAAGATGTTTTGGAAGATTTGCCCTTTAGAGTCAGAATAGAGTGGAGAAATGAAGACAGTAGGTGCGGGGGTAACTTCAAGGAGATGCCCATAAGTGATTTGAAAATTCAGATTGTAGCGTACTCTGAAGCAAAATATTTAGATGGTGGAAACAATGGCTTCACAGCAGCACCTAACCAGTCTGAAGAGATTGCTTTCAATACTGAACGGGATGAAGTTCTCTCTGGGGAAGTAGATGGTTCAAACGCAACTTTATCTGCTCTCGTTTATCTGATCGAACATGAGTACATTACTCTGAGGCCTGCCTCTTGTTTGACATCTGGTGCATTGCCCAGTTCCACACATACTCTGCCAAGTCGGATGAGGATTGTCATAAGTGAGAAAGCTTTTACAAACGCTGGAAAATATGTGAGAAGAAAGAAGAAGGCTCTTCAGACAATCATGTGCTGGTTAAGGCCGGAGATTCATTCTCTCAGTGGGATTAGAAAGTTGTCCGAGGAAGCAATAGCAGAAAGCCATGGCAGAGGAATTGACATGAAGAAGCAGACGTTCGACCCTACTGCTCTGTATGAAGCCGTTAAGCCTTCTCGGTGAGCTGTCTACCCTCCAAACTGAGAATAATTGTTTCCTGCGCGTTTTTTTGCGTTTTGGAGAGTGTTCTAACACAATTGTCCTATAATTTTCAGCACTGAACAAACTGAGGAAATGAGTTTCTCCCAACTTGTTCCAAAGCTTAGACCATATCAGCGTGAAGCAGCATTGTGGATGGTCCAGCGAGAGAAGGGCTACGGGGAAATGGTGTGTTCATCACCTGATGAGTTCGAGGATACCACAGATGCTTACGCCAGTTCTTCTGCATCCACATCTGCAATTGGAAAATGGAATCCTGATATGCATCCTTTATGGCTTGCTGTGAAACCAATTGATGGGGCTTCTGACTTTTACTACAATCCTCTCAGGTACACCTTTCTATCCTTAACCTAAGTCCGGTTTGAAGATGGTGATACATGAATGTGAATGCTTCCCGTAGCACAGAGTAATGGAATCATTGTGTCGCTGAGTAAAGTTCTCTGAGATCCCATCGTATATAGATAGCGTACAATAGGCATCACAAGAGAATATACAATTTACAGAGAGAAGGGGTTGCTCGATTGCAGAGAGAAGGGAACACTGGTAACGGAGAGAGCGATACGATTGTTCCCTTCTTCAGATGCCAAGGTGTGCATTTATGTTCAGAAAAGTCCCAAAAGAGTGTCATTATCCTTCTGTGGCTTTCGGTGGCTTGTAGTAGTTATTCAAATCCCTGAATTGTTCAGCCGTATAGGTTGCTGCAAGGCATCGTTGAAAGCCAACGTTTGTAGTAAATGGAGGTTTGGGATAGGTTTTATTATGCTGTAAGAGCAAGCACCTTCTTCTGTTGTCTTTTCAAGGGCCCAAGGCCGGTTCTTTACTCCTGTACTTAGTTCTTGGTCAATTGACTGTGTACCTGCACATTATCTTCCAGTCCTGTCTTTTACTAACCAGAAATGGACGAGAATATTTGCGTTTCAATCTCTGTTCTCCTTTTCAGCTGACTTCTTCGCATACTACTGCCTAATCCTTTCAAGTGAATTCTATAGCCTTCTGTCGACAGTGTGAAATGTGATTCTGTGTTGTGAGACATCAGCTATTATGCAAATTGTACAGAATATTACATAACTGATTGCTAATCTTGAACTCATTATCTCTGGTTATAGCTCAAGTTCGCAATGTTTGCTTTTCTGTTATCACTCGTATGATATGAGTGGACTTGACTGTTGGCAGAAAATATTCCTCGGGACCAGAACTGTGAGAGGAAGAGACTGGGCCCTCTGAACCTGTAGTTTTCGAAGCCTCAAGTGTTCTCCCCGAGAAAAGAGGGAAAAATCGAATTTCAGATCTGATCTCTCCATGGCCACGTTATACCCAGATACCGTGGTCTTGATACTAATCCGTATCTCCGTCTGATTTTCAGTGGTGTCCTTTCGACGGAGCCGGGTGACTTTGTGTCTTACGTTCGTGGCGGAATCCTAGCAGGTACATCTTCTGATATGATTTGAATCTAGTGTCGGAAGTTCTCTTTGAAGGTTTCGTTTTCACCTTCAGTTACACTATGCATAGTAAACCTCTCAATGTCATTTCTAGGTACTTGCAAGATGTGTTTCTCGAGCTTTACGTCTGCTTGAGTCAGTGTCAGCGTTTTGTTCCCACTATTGCGAGATTGTAAAATCAACCGTAAGATACTGCTATTTACAACCATTAAAAGTTTTGTACCTTCACTTTTATGAAATTGATATTGCTCATTCACGTAGTTGAGTTTTATCTAACATGTCGATTTAGTCCTATAAGTCTACTGCTATTGCAAAATTGTGTACAGAAATTTTGCAGTCTAATTTGAACTTGACTTCGAAACATCTGCAGATGAAATGGGTCTTGGTAAGACGGTTGAACTGCTGGCATGCATACTGTCAAACCCTAACAAGGATTTGCCTACACCAACTCCTTCAGAGAGAGCTAGGAAGGACTTGCAGGACACCTTGTTAAAACGCAAGGTTAGAAGACTCGAATGTGTATGTGGATCCGCTGAAGAAGAAGAGTATGAGGATTCTTGTGTGAAATGCGTTATTTGTGATGCTTGGCAACACTCAACATGTGTGGCCCATAAGAAGCCGACGGAGCAGTCAGCAGGACAGTGGAACGAGGAAAGCAGCAAGACAGAATCTAAAAGCAAAGGAACTGGAGCTCAAAGCAGATGCACGAAGATGAGAAGTAAACTAAGAGAAAACAACAATGATATTTTATCAACAGGAAATAAGTTCGTCTGTGGGACGTGTGCGGAGCTTATTGCTAGAGTGGAAGTAGAAGATTCTGGAGCTACTCTAATTGTATGCCCAACACCCATCTTGCAACAATGGCAGGAAGAGATATTACGGTATGTCATCCATTCGTTTCGTCTGCGAAATCTTCGTTTCTAGTTCTTGAGCAGAGAATGATATGAGTTGGTATATTGTTAATATTATATCTTCTAAACTTCTTGCTACATATAAAAGCTATTGGTATTCACTCATATCTTTCAACTAATCTCGTACTCCAGCCACACAAATCCAAGCTCTCTGCGGGTCATTGTCTACGAAGGTGTTGGAAAAGGAGCCAAGATCATAAGAAGTACGACAAAAGGTTGCCCGTTTTTGAAGATTGTTTCTGCTCATGACCTTGCTGCGGCAGACATAGTCTTGACGACCTATGACACGCTTAGGTCAGATTTGTCTCATGACGCAGATGAGACTCAGAGCGTCAAGCGATCGTTGCGGTATCTAAAAAGGTTAGAGACTATGATAACAAGAATTTAGAACTGTTCTGTTCTGATTTGCATTGCGCATCTGATTTTGAGTTGCAGATAGACTTTTGGCACATCACGTTTCATCTTGTTTTTTGGAATTTGGACCATATGGCTTTCCTACATTGTATTCGTCGCCCTGGTTTAACCTGAAATTACATTGCTATGACTTGATCAGGTTCCCAGTGATACCAACACCTCTGACAAGATTAAAGTGGTGGAGGGTTTGCTTGGACGAGGCACAGATGGTAGAGAGTACCACTACGAGGGCCACAGAGATGGCTTTGCTTCTAAAAGCTCAAAATCGTTGGTGCGTCAGTGGCACACCCATACAACGTGGTCTGGATGATATATTTGGACTTCTCAAGTTCCTGCAGGCTAAACCTTTTCACGAGTATCAACACTGGAGTCAAGTACTGCAGCAGCCATACGAAGTAATAAACTTTCCGTTCTTAGAAATCAGATTTGAGCTTAGGAAATGAGACCATTGGGAAAGAATTTAGTCAGGGTTCGTAAAGGCAGCACAAAGACCACGGTAGTCCAGTAGACAGATATGTTCTCTTCACATTTAACATCTGTTATCTTAATAAGAGATATATTTTTTGTGTACAGGCTGGTGATCCATGGGCCATCCAGTTTCTCCACAGATTCTTAAGAATGTTCATGTGGCGCTTATCGAAGACGGATGTTGAAGATGAGTTGAACCTTCCAAAGCAAAAGGAAGACGTCACATGGCTTCAGTTTACACCCTTAGAATTATTTTATTATCAAGAACAACTTAAGAATTGCGCTGTTAAGTCGAAGGATGTTATCAGCAAATACCGGAAGCAGAAAGCTACCAGCTTGGACAATGCAGATACACCTTTACCGCAGTCAGAGGCAGTAATATTATCGAGGGCATTGCTTCAGTTGCGACAGGCATGTTGTCATCCGCAAGTGGGTTCTTTGAAGCAATCCAAACCAATGACCATGGATGAAACATTGCAGGCAAGAAACTCATTGGCCATACTAACATACATCGGTCTCAGTACTTTGTCGTATTCTTTCTAGTCCGATTCATCAATTGCGCAGATGGCAGTGTCTTGAGGATAGATTAAGATAGATTAAGATATCCGTTTTTCCTGAATGTGTGATGTTCTCATTCATCGTACTTTTGCAGGACTTGCTAGAAGAGCAGAGACAAACAGCTGAAGTACATCAAAGGCAACTGATCGGTGCTTGGAACGGATTGGCTGCACTTAGCATAATTGAGAATGACATGAGTAAAGCGAAAAGTTTATACAGGGAAGCGTTGACGTTGATTGACAAGAACCAAGCTGAAGTTCATGTGGATCCCTTACAAAAGTTGCATATTCTGCACAACTTAGCAGGGATTGTGAATGCGCCTGGTAGTAATGAAACTCGTACTCTGAGGGATGATCTTCTGACAAAACAGTGTGAGGAGATCAGATCCAAGTATTCCGGGTCGTTTGTTACTAAGCTTCAAATTGAAAAAGAGAAATATGAACAAGCACAACACCAAGTAAGATGATCAACTAGATTAACAAGTCTTCTTTCCACCTTTACCGCTTTTATCACTTTTACAGCTTACTGTCTATTCGGTCCACTAAGTATCCACTACTTTATGTCCATTATGTGACCAGTACAATACTCATCTGACTTCTCTGAACACCATTAAGTCTGAGCTCAAGAGCTACTTCGAACATCCCATTCTTATCTGTTAAAATACAAACTTTCTCCATACTTTTTCCATGAGACGATTCTGGAAAGTCTGGATAATAGTAACAGTCTTTTCTTGGTCAAACTATTCGGTAGTTGCAGGATAGAGTAATATCCTGCTCTTGGCTGATGCTCTCAGTTAGAAAGATTTGATCATACACTGCATTTACTTCGGCTTCGAAACATCTAACTGAATGTCTTTTTCAGGTTTTTGAAGCCAACAAAGCCTGTGAGGAGTCTGGAGGAACTGACTGGTGGTTGGAGGTGCTGTCTCTAGCTGAACAACGTAGTGACGGAGGACGCGAACTGGTCGGGAAGATAAAATGTCACTTCTTGGAGAGTGGGAATTCTAAGCGCGGTCGGCTCGAAAATGCATCAAGCCTTACTCACAGGTTCTTTTTCGACCGCGTCCGCTGGTTTTCATGTGGAGAGTAATCATAAGACTTGTACTATCTATTAATATTCAGACTGTGGATAACTCATGAAGAAGTATTTTATGTATGGTGACATATCAATTTATGTGATACATGTTCAAGGAAATTTTTTTTAGTGGATTGTTGCATTGCAGGTTCCGCGACATATCTGGCCTCAAATTTGTGTTGCAGGGAGAACTTCTTGCCATTCAAGAAAAGAGGGAGAAAGTTACAAAACAGCTCAAGGCTCTGGACAATATGATGATGAATCTAACGGCCGAATATGCTGAACGCCATGCCAATTGTAAAATTCATTCAGAAGAGAAAGGAGACCCTTGCGATCACTGTCTGATTGAGAATGTATTCCAAGAATATGAGAATAGACTACTGCTCTTGAGGACATTATCAGGAAAAGCTGATGGAATTATATTAGCGGAAGAAGCTATTTTTGCCCAGAATAAAATTGCTGCGCAAAGAAGAATTTTTAGACCTAATGTGGATTCCACTATTGAGTACAATGCAGCGGGCAGAAGTACCCGAGATTCCAATGCGATTCAATCACAGGTAATTCTCATACACTGAATTCTGTTGCACCAGTTGATTAGGATGTCTTCCAGCTGCATCACCAGCTGTGCCCGGTAATTAGTGTATATGTAAAATGGGAGGCTGAGTTTTAAAGCTTACGTAGTTTCGTATGGAGATTTAGACTTACAGCCACTCACTTCTTGTTCCTGTTTCAGAACACTCTTGTTTAGAGTTAGCGGTTTGCAACGGTTAGCATCATCATAGTGGTGCTTGCCTTTTCTTAGAAATTGTACTGGAGAGATGTCATTGTGTAGTCTCTCTTTGATACTTTTTCATAAATTTTATTTTTTTTATTTACTCACTTTTTTTTACACTTTTGGGGTTTTCCTTTAATTCAAATATCTTTCTTTTTGGGTCCAAATCTTCTTTTTCAGGTGATATGGGCACCGTCAGAAACAGAGGAAATTTTATCTCTCATAAAGACGTATGCAAAATTTTCCGGATTGAGACAACGTGATGCTTCTAAGAAGCATCTACAAATGTTTGAGGTGCTAAGCCTGTACTTCATCTTTCTTGTTACAATTCCTCGGCATATCCGACAATCTTGCATTTTACAATAATTTTCGCTCTAGCAGTCAGAGCTGATTTTTTTGCACTGAACTTTCAGTTAAGGTCAAGTCTGGACTGACGGTTTCATGTATACAAAGCTGCTGGTATCTAATACAACCACTGTTGTAGTCCAGACCTTAAGGAAAGAGTACGGACAAATGCGGAAATGGGTAACCTCTCAAAGGGATTTTCTCCATGCTTTTGATGAATTGAACATGGCTACCATCCGCCTGAATCTGCAAGTCTTAGGGGAAAAGCCGGAGACTGCGTTAGAAAAAATGGTTAAAGTTTCAATTGAAGAGGTCCCCTTCAGGAAGATGGAGCTAGAGATGGAAAGAGATGAAGCAAAGAAGGGCCTCTCAAATGCTGAAGGAGCTATTAGATTTCTCAAGGTACACGCTATACGACAAATATGTGACCCTTCTCTTGATTGTCTAAACGTTCCGGACACAAATTCGTTATTTCTGATGGATGAAAGAACTATTATTCTCTTACTTACGATCTATATCTTTACGCGATCTAGGGCCAATCATCAAGACGCCGACAAGGAGATCCACATGTAGTCAACGTAGGATGTGCTTCACAGGAAGTTGCCAACGTGATAGAATTGGACCGCGAAGAGGAAGAGTTTTGTCAAATCTGCTGGCAGAAGTTTCATTCACAAGAGGGGGTTCTATCTTCTAAGCAAAAGTCAGTAGGGCATCGGATGATCCTACTGTGTGGGCATCTGATGTGCGAAAATTGTAAGCAACTTAGTCCCGATCTCACTTTCTATCTTAAGCGAAAAGTTTTTATTTCTTTGTCATTCAGTTCAAATATCACTGGTGTTCTTCTGTTGTTTCCAAGAAAAAAACATTAACTTAGTCCTGTGAGATTTCTGAAAGAGAATTGTCTTTATCCTCCTAGCGCTGACATAAGTGGATGTTTTTAATCTAAATATTATTATTTTTCTTTCTTTTATAGGCTGCATACAGCTGATTGGAAGGACGCCACTTCCTGCCAATGGGAAGGACGAAAAATGTATCCCTTGTCCTCAGTGCCGACAGAGAACGGATTTGTCCAAAATTAAACGGGTAATGGATGATAGTGACAGAAACAATTTGGCGGTGCAAGGCGGTCATTTTACCGATTCCTCTAGAGATACGGAAGAATCTCAAATCACTGTGAAAGGAGATTACGGTACTAAGGTAAGACGGTTGAGACTAGTGCTTTCTTTAGGGACTTATCTGATTTCAAACTGGCGATATTCAGACTGCACTTACGCTTTATTTTTTCTATCCGTTGTGGATAACAATCACTTTGTGGTATTATTACGTCACAACGTTCGGTGTGAAGACAGTTGATTCGATGTATCGGTTGGCAATGTTTCAATGTCTGGAACTGTTGAATGTTACATTTACAATATAGTCGACGTCCACGACATTGCTTTGTAGCTTTTAACACGTCCTTCAGTTCTCGTAGTTCATATCTCAAACATAGTAAACATTTGCCTTCTAGTCTCCGTTTCAGGTATCTTCTTAGTGGTGTGTACGTTAGCCTCAGATATTCTTCAACATCTTTCCTTCTTAACATTCTCAAAGTTTCCAATTATATCCTAAGATCCCTCGGCTCTGGATCATCTCTGAATCCGTTTGAATCAAATCTTCACATCACAAACTTGACAATTTGCCTCTTATGATAACATAGTCACGTCACTTGACTTTGGGATTTTCTGATAACTAACCTACTTGTTCATTTAGGTCAAGTCCTTCATAAACAGAGCCCTTAGTGTTAGATTGTAGCCCTGTGGGCATAGACTGCCGAATTTTTAGCTATTTTCTACTTATAAAACAACGCCTTGATCTTCGAATTCGTCACCACGAGATCCCTTCTATTCCCTTCTATTCTTGGAAATGTTTTCCCTAATCCTTCGTTTTGTTGATGATGCAGTTGGGGACCCGAAGGTCCCCAACTGCAATCATTGTTCTTCGTACATGTACATGCAACAGTTTTCTTCAATTTGATGTTGTTTTGGGTCACTCAGCTTCAGTTCCGTTTCTGAACATAACTGAAGCATAAGCAATCAGTAAGTAGGAAGATAACTACAGCCCGCATGAGTTTGATTCTAGCTCGCATTTTCAACTGAATAACTTGCCGGTTCACTTCGTTACTCTCCTGTTTCACCAGAGCCATCTCTTTATTGATGCTGCTGCTAACCCGTCTGTTTACCCACTCGATCCCAAAAGCAATCCTCCAGGCTTAATTTTGGAATCTTCCTTCTCTTTATTCTAGTTTTGTGATCGTAAGACTGGTTATTATGTTTCCTATGAGCCTTCGTGTTTTTCAACGTCGGATTCGAAGTCTTTCTCAAGTATACTGAAACGTAAGCATTTGATTGATACCTGAGGCATGATTTGTAATTACACCTGCTTCTGTACAAGTGAATCCTCAGGGGAGTTGATGACTTCTTGGGGTAGCAGGAGCAGGTTGATGCACGCCCAACCGTGTCAATTACAGGCTCTGGATTCTTACTCTCTAGGATGTACACTTGCACTGTCGTTCGTGGATGCCTTCGTTGTTCCTGCTGAACTCATCTCTTCAGCTTCGATGCTGACTGTTCGGCCGTTTGCTCATTTCTTGCACAATTTCTGTTGTGGATGATATTTCCTCCAGCTTGATTTATGTAGTTGTTCAGCCCTACGGTCTCCTCCACATGCATAATTTTGCTGTATTGGGATCCTCATGCTTCAAAATAAAATGTCAATGAAGCTTAAGTAGCACCAGATCAGAGACAGGCACATTACTAAATGCAGGAATGGGCCATCGGTTGTACAGATAACGGCCATAGTGCGGAGGATGAAGTTGGTGACATCAAAAGATCCACAGGTCAAGGTGCTCATTTTTTCCACCTGGCAAGACGTGCTAGAAGTTATTGGGCATGCTCTCAAAGAAAACGGAATACGCTCTGCTCGCGTGAAGGGCAGCAAGTAAGTTATATCCAGCGTTCGGGATTTAGCTTCTCTTCGCTATCATTCAAAGTTAGGATAGATGGATTCATGTTTGGGACTAACAATTTCCTGGTTCCACAGTTTACAGAAGGCGCTCCAAGAATTTAGAGGCTTACCAGAAGCAAAAATATTAAATTCCAGACGACAAAGCTCCAATTTAACTCTAGACGGACCTATTCAAGCATTCTTGCTGCCATTCAATGTTGGTGGTAATGGACTGAATTTAGTTGAAGCCCAACACGTTATTTTAGTAGAACCCTTGCCAAACCCTGGAGTTGAGGCCCAGGCTATCAATAGAGTTCATCGAATCGGTCAAAGTCGCCCAACATTTGTACATCGTTTCATTGTAAGTGCACTTAAACCTTTTTAAGATCAAGCTGAAATTGATTTATTGGAAATTCCTTTAAGTTCATTCTTATTCAAAAAAATTTGATATGCTCAACTTGCAACTTTAGTAACTTACATTACTTTGCACTTCTAATTGCAGGTAAGTGAATCGGTCGAACAGAGCTTGTATGAAATGGGCAGAAAACAAACAGACATTTCAAAACTTCCTCCATCTAGGAACTGGAATCGGAACCCTTTTGAATATACTGATATCACCTCTGTATTTGATCTATTTTCCGGGGCATTGGCCGACGTTGAAGAGGGTGCATCATCAGGAGGTCCTCATTCTTTGGATAATACGAGGAACATCTCTCCCACAGAAGCCGCAGGAGCAGCAGCAGAGGCTAGACGCAACGCAAATTTAGCTCTGGAAGTTCCTCAGATTTAAGATCTCTCGCTCACTCACAATTCATCCCTTCCTACTCAATTGTAATTTGGCAGAAGCGATCTTGTTCGCATAGTTCCAGAATCCACCCCTTTGTGTATAAGAATTGGGTATATATCGATTTCATTACTTCAAATCAAAATATAGTCTCAGGTACGAAGTTGATCCATGCACATTTTTCGTTTTGGGGACAACGGGTAGTATTTGGGCCATATGTACTTGGGCTCCAATGTCATCATTACCTTGTTATGTTCATATGTATGGGAAAGATGCTTGACAAACTTGGTTCTCAAATAGAGCCCAAAATAATGAAGTGCCCTACAGTGTGCACCTCCTTTTAATTGTACACTGATTACATTTTAGCATGGTTTATTCCAATAACTTGCAAAGTATCTACGAACTGGAATCAATCGTGAAGCTAGCTACTTGATCTGTTGATTCATACTATCAGCAAATCAAACTTTCAGAATCTTGCACTTTAGTAAAGAAGTCACAGCAACTTTTTTAGACATCTTCGAAAGGCCGTTATTGGCACTTTACTACTGGATTTTAGAGATGTTCGATGTTGTTATTTTAAAATTACTGACGTCTGGAAACGTTGTGGTCACATTAGGCCTCTTAAGTCTAAAGACACAAAAGTAATATGATTAATTTTAGTAATCAACAGTCATATTATAAATAAAGCGAATGTATGCATTTGATATCAGCACACTGTACTCATCTTATACTGTCAACTTAATACAACAAAGAGTGTTTGTTGTCTAACGGCTTATCGTCATTTTGTCCTTCCGAGGGTTGATGCAAAGACTAATTAAATTGTTGCCGCTCAGTTTTTTACGTAAGAAGAACGTCGTGCACGAAGGTCTTCGATTTGGGAGAAGCTGCAGGTTACACTCATCCCAGCTGTAGTACTAATTCACCTATGTTTGTACTAGGTATATTTCCAATATATGTCCAATAGATTCTACTACTCCTGCTTACTTCACCATGAATATGCAACCAACTTAGAACGTTACTTCTAGTTTATTTCAAATAAATGCGAGGTGACTTTTTGCGTGTATAGAAATTACTCTTGAGAGTTTCACCGAAACCTCAAACAAAAATTTTCTCAAATGGAGTCCATGTATCCACATTGTTTCTTTACTGATCATGGCACTTCTCTGCTCTTTGATAAACAAGGTGTATCATTTGTTGGTAGAAATAAGACAAGCTTTGAACTATATTCAACTTTATTACCTCAAAGTATAGGAAATATTGAAAGGCTTGTTCTTCAAGGAAACAACAAGAGTATGTATCTAAACTACGAACATCACGTCATCCAAACTTCATGCCACAACCCGTAATTCTTGAATTGCATGCCTCCGAAACTCTCCCGAACATTCAAGAGCGTCCGGGAAAATCGTTTATTCAATGTACAGTTTGATGATGCATTCTCATGCATTTTGTTATTTATTTTGCGACTAATCAACTTCTCTTACTTTCTCTTAACAATTTGGCTTTATCTTTATGGTTTGAATGCTATGTGAAAGTCCGGGTCAATAGATTTTATCAATAAAGATCAAAAAGATGTTAGATCTGTAATGTATTTTGGAGATTTTGGTTCCTTCATTGTACAATTTTATGAGTTATTTTGATGTGTTTGTTTCATTTCAATCAGATTATGTGACTTTCCTTCAAAAAATACATATATGCATGAATAGAAGATATAGATCTTTCAAACTGTATATTAGATTGGAAAAAGCTGCTTAAATTTTTTGACTGCCTAAAAGAGTTCTAAATTGAAAATCTTAAAGAGAAACTCCATGTTACAAAGAGTAGTCAAATATGAAATTAATCCAAGAGAGACTAAGTTTACAAAGACATGATTTATTAACTGAAAGATATAATTTATGTCATAGAGAACTTTTGTACGTCATCTCAAAAGATAATAATCATATTTAGACTATAGAATATAGATGTACATTATAGTCGGTATGACTAGAGTTGACAAAGAGATACACTTATTTCAAACATTTAAATTCATTTTTTAGTACAAGCAAATTTTATTACTGATGTGTTTATTCCTTAAAAAATTTGGGAAAAAATTACACTAGAGTAAACTAAAATTAAACTTTAACCTGAACATGGTAAAGTACAATATAATATAGAAAAAGCATAATTGCAACATCTGCAATGTGACATGTTTCAAAAAACTCTCTGAAGTAATCATTTTATTCAAAGGAATGAATAACTTTGAATTAGTTCAATCATTCAATTGGATATAAATCATTCTCAAAATCAAAATGAATAATCACTAATATGACAAATCTGTTTAATCAAATTGTTTATTTTTTTTGCTTCAGTTGTATGTACATAGTGCCTTTTGCCTGATTTCGATTTCTTTAGCTCATAAGCTAGCCTAAATATCTCGGAGTTTTCTAGTTTATATATCTAATTTCAATTAAAACACGTATCAAATCATAAACTTTTACTCATGTAGATCTTGTACATATTTTGATTATGTACTACATAATCAAAATAGAATGTATTATTGGACAATTTGAATCAACATCAGATCCTCATGAAACCTTAAGATATTTGAAGTTCATTTAATAGCCTTCCAATTTACCGAATTTGAATTGAATTTTTAATCTCTTCGTCATCTCCTTACTGAGCTAATGAGTCTCGATCATTGCGTGGTTACATGTGTCTAGGTAGGCAAACTCTCTTTGTCATCTCATAATTGAGTCTTGCTTGATGCTAACTTTGAGATTTGCTAAATTCTAGATCTGGGAAAGCTACTCAAACTGTCGAGTTTGCCACCGGAGCCAGTACGTGGAAACGAATGCTCATCCACTTCAAGACGGCTCGTTATCAAACCTTGCGTCGCTGTGTCATCAAGTGTGAAATTAAATACAATCGATCGACGACGACGCTACAATCGTTCGCGAGGATCAGAAATGGAATATAGCCTCAGGCCAGCCGTCGAAATGGACCCTCAATTCGGATGAAGAGGTCCGAATTGGAAGACAATCTATGAGATCTACCTTGAATTACAGTTGCACACACGGTAGGCGCGGAGTTTACAATGCATAACGGAGAATACAGTTCCACGCTGGATATTCATGATCCGCGAGTGGTAGTTGGCAAACGTTCCCAAGCCATGAAGAAAGAATGTCAGCGTTTGGGCGGACCGTAACACGTCGCAATTGTAATTTGCAACTCAGAGCGCCAACGCTGGTACGTATCCCCCCCTGAGATGAAGCATGCCCCACCCTTGACAAGGAGGCCGGGAAGAGACGCCGCAGAGTCGACTTCGACTTCGAGAATCGGCTCAGGTCCGAGTTTTGCCCGTCGAAACCGCAGCCAGCCGGTCGGGAGTCAATGACATTAGGCGTAAGCAGTCTAAGCATCTGGTATCAGCAGCGGAAGTGGAGCTAAAGATTAGGCTGCAAGTAGGGACTGAACTTTGACTTAACCTTTCTTACATTTGCAGAAGTCCGCATGAGGTCCGACGTATTGACCATATTCCGGCGAGTTTATCTGCACCCGGATACGTGGTGGGTGACGTTATCTGGGGTGCGAGACACGCTTCTGAAAAGCCGGGTGATTACCGGTCTCCTCCCTGTACCAGGCCATGCTCACCTACCCATTTTCGCTCGTAGCGAGTCAAGATCTGCGATCTGACGGTTATTGAGCAAGTAAGGCCTCGCGAGCCCCAGGTAGGAGACGGAATGGGTCAGCTTAGAAACCAGACAGGTGAGGAAGTCATAAAATCAATAAATCAATGTATCGATGGGGATACAATAAGGTTGACATGGGCTTGGTCCCCAATAGTATTTATGCTATGGCAAATGGTATGTTAATGACATGGAAAAAATACTGAATTAATGTGATGGTTCTCATACGAATGATACCAAGATATTTTTTCCTGGATGAAAAAAATAAAATAATAAAAAATGCAAAAGTATCAGTTATTTAACTCGAGACTTATCAGCAAGATGTCAAAGTCTAGATACGCAGCCCCGTATATTGCGAAGTTTATTGTGAAAGTGGAAATGAGGTGCAGCAAGAACCCAAAACATGCGTCGCCGTCTGTGAACACGGATCGCATAACGAGGGTCCGAGCGTCCAGGGCTGGACCGGAGTTGGCGCGGAACCGGGCCGTAGTAGGTGCGCGCATCGCCAACCCGGTGGCGCTGGCCGTCATCATTTCTCGTACCCAGCGGTCGCCAGCCAGGGGCTGCATGGCATGCTCGACGTCGAGTCTGACTTCCGTCCCTGGGTCCCGTCGCGCCCCAGCCTTCAATCCGCAGCACGCAACGTCGCCCGACCCGAACGGCGCGCGACGGAGGTGGGCCCGGCTCCGGAGCTGAAGCCCCAAGCCTCACTCACTCCCCCAAACCCCTTTGGCGGGCGACGGTGGTGGGAGCCACTGGCCACATTCGACCCGTCAAGCTGATCGAAGGAAGGTGCAGGAGACAGAACGAGGTCGCAGGTCGAAGAGAGACGAGGCTTCGATTTGTGCACGCCTGGCTCTCGTTGTTTCCGCGCTTCGTGCTCCCGGCTGCTGTGCAGCCTCTGCGGCGCTGGAGAGGGAGCGAGCGAGCGAGCGAGCGAAGGAGGGACGGACGGACATAGATAGGTTGGGACATACATAAATTCATAAGAAAGGGAACGAGGAAAGAAGCGGGTTGGAGAGATTAGTCTGGCTGGACGAGGGAGAGGGAGAAATAGGAAGGCAGGAAGGCCGAGGCATGAGTCCGGACTCGTGCAATTCTTGAACGGGGACGATTGCTTCCGCTCTGGGCCCCCCCACGAACTGCAATGTAGGGTTCTATCCCGGTTCACAATGCGTTCCCTCTCTGTAGTGATATGGCCGAGTTCTGGTGGGCGTTTCCCGCCTTTCCTTGAGCCTGACCGAATATTGGATTGTACATGTCTTCCGAGTGCGGGAATATTGACATTTCGTGAGGTGTTTTTTTGTCGGTTTCTTTTGGTCTGGCGGCAAAAGGGATTCTGGTAAATTGTAGCGGGGATGTCGGCGATAGGAGTGGTGGAGTGTGGAAATATGGTCAGTCACTAGCATGGAATGCTGTGAGTGCAATGCGAACGACTGAGCGTGGAATTGGCAGATTTTTGAACTTTTCAAATTCTGCCACGCCCTGTTTGTTCTTTCAAAGGGGGTTTCTCCGTCGTTGCGTAGGTTCGCTGTCGATCATGTACAGATTTTGTACCGATGTCACTAATTGCTGAATTATGGCAAAGTTCGAGAACGTGTCTCTGGCATTGCAAATGCAGTGGAATGTGATTGTTATTCATGTGCTTTTGCATAGGTCCCTCTCGGAGTTATATTCAATCGGAGGTTGTATGTGGAGCAAGTTACTGAAAACAATCTTCGTCTCTGTTGTGTCCAGACAACTTGCCTTTCTAAATTATCATATGCCAGCATGCCGCGATATTAGTTCTGTTCCTTACTTCAGGAAGCGGGAGTTGAGGAAATTGCCACTCCATCAGGTGCGGTGGTTAAGACTCTGAATGTTCAATCTTTTTGGATCTGAGTGGCGCGAATTTGAATGACATACGTTTGGACATAAATTCGCGAGTCGATGGACACAGAGCTGTTGGTTGCGGTAGAGGAAAAGCAACCCTAATAAACTCAATCGTTTACTATTATGCCTTAGAAAATGGTTCCAGGTATCGTCCGCTAGTTTTGTTCTAAAAGGGAAAACTCTGGTCGTCGGAAGTAAAGGTGTAGTCGGTTACAGAGGCTTGCCTACCTAGGAAATGGAGGCATCTGTAGCAGTCGGAGGACATGGGGCTGGTTTGCCTCTGCAAAGTCAGGTCGGCCGGAAGGAATGGAGGGTGGTCACTGAAAGCAACGGAAGGGAAAGAATAATCCCCGCAGATGGTTCCGGAAATCAGACGAGAGTGAACGCGGCAGGTCGCCCGCGATCAAATTCTGGAGCTTCCCGGAGGAGTAGTAGAAATGGGCAAATGTTTCATGCAGCCAGCAGTGGGCACTCAAGTGACTCAGATCATCATGGTGGCGAAGTAGGGGGTGCACACATGATGGGGGGCTCGGTACCTCCTCAGGAGTTATTGCCCCAAAATATCGGCCAGGGGGATGAGGCAGTCCTTTACGAGGAGGTATGATTGGAGAGAATGTGTTTGCTGATCGTTCAAGAATTTACTTTTCTTTTTACGGGACAGTCCTCCGGAATCGGGTAGATTAGGCCAAGAGGTACTGGGAAAGAGCCCGCAGGTCTTTTACCTTCTCAGAATGTTCGTTCATCGAGCATGGAAGGCCATTGGTACATGGTTTGGTGAATCGTCTTAGGAAGTCATGTTTTGTGATTTAATTGCCGTAATCCCTCACTTCACTCGCATGGGGAAATGCTTGGTGCACTTTTGAATGATTTGCACCTTGTATTTGTTCCGGTAAGCTGCATTTTCGTAAGTCGTCAACTAACTGCTTGTGAAATTTTGGAAGAGTGTACTCATTCACCTTCCCGTTTACACTCATATCCGCCAAAGCACATGAGGTTACCGGCCAAATTTGATTTCATTACTACCTCTCATCTTCGAAAGTTCTTATCTTCCAGATGCATCGTCCTCAGCAGCGGAACGAACATCTGGAAACCCAGATGAGCTCCATGTCTATGGATCCAGGAATGAATACCCTGGAGAGTCCAGATGAATCATTTCAACAACGCCTTCATGAAGTTTCCCGCGAGAGAGAGCGGCTCCAACAGGCAGAAGTGGAAATGAGGGCCCAATATATTGCCAGATCAGAAGTTGTGCGGATGCAAAACGGGCTTGATGAGCAGGCCAAGCAACATGCCGAGATTGTGAACAACCTACAGGTATCTATTTCTATAATATTATCCTATCTGTCCTTCAGTCTGCCGATGCCTTTAGCAGTGTACCCGGTGCCCCGCGGGTTAAATAATCGTCACCAGACCTCCCGCTACCCAAAATCCCATACCGATTGTACAAACCCGTACCCTTTCCTACTATTCTTCTAAGGGTGAGGGAGGACTGCCACTAGCAGCTCTTGGCGATTCCTCGACATAACCTCTGCTAAGTCGTAGAAGTACATGAAAGTACGGACGGTTGAGAACGGCAACAGTTTTAGATCCACTCTGTCATGCTTGTTATCACTTCAACTGTCCAGTAAGTGGTTGGAGTGACCATTATATGCTCTTCACAAATTGCAACTGTCGAAAACAAGAGTACCCTTTCGCGGCATATATTCACAAGCGAAAATGACGATTGTGAATAAGCATCAAAACCATCGCTCTCTACATCTCTGAAATATCGAAATCGATTTCCAGCTCGATCAGATACAATTTACCGTTTGTTCAAACCCGTGCTCTTTATCAACCGCAGTTTACACGCTGACGAAAACGTAAAACATACTCTCTGCTGTAAAACGATGTGACAGGTACCTTAACTTGTTTTTTTAATCTTTGAACTTTTCCCATGAAAACTGTGGGCTTTTTTCTGTGCTAGTGTTCCGTGTGGAGATCGTCAACGTCTTCCACGCTGTCTATGCAGAAATCTCACCATTAAGTTCGTATTACGCGTCGGCTGAAGGACTGGGTTGTTTCCGGTTCTTTTACTTAAAGAGTACTAAATGTGTAAGTTTAAAACAGTTAAAGCTTCACCAGCTACAAGAGGCTTCTGAAAGCTTGGATGGCTGGATGACAGTTTTACCCGCTGCTATGTCTAGTCTGACCTCTGATGCTCTGACTGCGGGTGGCTGGTACATTTTTCTGCATTTAGTTCGGTGACTCGGAGTGCTGATTTTAGTGCGTGTTTACTATCCTTGCCATCTGAGAAAAATTCCATGTATGATAGGAGCAAGTCCAAGATTTGTAGCATTAAATACGTCGTATGGAGGAACAGCTTGACACCTTGAGATGTATTGCAGGGTTGTTCTTTATAGCAGCGTGAAGAAGCTTGCGGTCTAGAGCTAAATGTGGATAAGATTCTTATCAAATATTTGAATGACGGCTGTGGGTGCTATTTACTGCGCGCATGATATGGAAATACCTGAGGAACGTCTTTTCATGGTAGGGCCAAGTACAAGAAATGGAGCAGCAAATTCGTCATCTGGAGCAGCAGTTGGAAGAGAGGGAGCGTGAGTTTCATGTGAACCAAATGGAGACTAACGAAGCAGTAAGTTAAGCGGGTTTTGGAGTCATATGCATTTTTCAACTGTTTATCCTATTTCAGTCCTTGATACAATCACATAGTATCGATAGTATATCTTATTCTGGTCGTCCTTCCAGGTCTGGCAAAAGGATGGTCTACTGAGAGAGCAAACAAACGAATTGGCAACCCTGCGGTACGTGCCCATGTCATGTTCTGAATATTTAGCGGAGTCATTGGCTCATGCAAATCGATTCTCTACGGTTAATGCAGCAGTAGCAATTTCGACTGAGGAATTTCATTCAATTGAGCCAATTTGAATACAGTCTTATTGAAGGCTTATTTTTTTAACAGACGAGAACGTGACAGTGCGGTTTCGGAGCACAAGGCCGCAGCCTCGCAGTTTGATGCCGAGAGAGCAGAACTAATGACCCAGCTTGAGACCATGAAAGAGCAAATACGAGAGAAAGATCGCCTGTTGCAAGAGGCTGAAGAGCAGGTAGGCCTGTGCTCGAGTAGAAAATAACTTTCCTGGACTGAATCAAGATGGCCATACAGCAAATCATCATTCCACAAGTATTCTCAGTGTTTTGAGTGATCTACTCAGTGACAAAATGATGGTTATGGACCACAGAATCGCAATTCCCAAGAACTCATCCTTTACAAAGATGAGCAAATGAGAGACGCACAAGCCTGGATGTCGAGGGCTACAGATATGGACGCTTACTACGTAAACACCAACAATAGCTTGCATAATGAGCTTCGGGAACGCACTGAACAGATGAACAATCTCTGGGTTGGCTATCAGAGACAGGTACTTTCTTCCGAACAAAGGTTTTCTTTTACTGTAGAAAAAGTTGTATAGAAGGAAAGGAGATTGATGTTATGTGGTAGCGTTTAATGTCTATTCAGTCGCTAATTTGATTTTCGGATGTGCTTGGAAGATCCATATCGTACGTCAGATTCCTCTTTTTGGTCATTTTAGATCTTATAAGTCGACGCCCTCAAAAGGCTTATTGTGACACTACGTCATTGTGAATTTTGTAGCTGGCAGACGTTGAGAGATACCATGCACAAATGATCCAGAGGCTTCAGCAGGAGTTGACGGACGTTAGAGAACAGAATCGTGTTTTGATGGGTGCCGCAGCTCCTGAACGCTCAGAAAGCAAGGACCAAAGACCTTTTACAGAAAGTAAGGACGTCGGACGAGTTGATGTGAACGATGAAAAGGGAACTAAGATCTCGTTATCAAACAACAACACCGCCAATCGAATCAAGTCGAACATTGCGGACAGCGGAACTGTCATTGCGAACGGGACAATGGAGGAGCTAATGCCGGTGCTCTTTCCGCGTGATGTGCCCCTTAAGGTTTGCCTAAAACCTCGAGTGGCGAAGAATGTCTGAAGATAGTTTTGAAAGTCAAGCTTATGAGTGTTGTACCGGGTGTAATATATTGCTAGTGCAAGTATTCGTAGGGTGATGGATTGTACTGCTGTGTATTCAGTCAGTGGTGTGGAGGCACGAAACTTTGAGCAGCTTCTGAACTTGCCCCGGCCTGCTCCCCAGTGGTTGTAGTATGTTGAGGTTCTGCGTAGCATCTTGAATTATACCAGCTTAGAATATTGATTTGTGGTTTGACAGTTAGATTAGATATATAAGAGAACGGCGTTGCCAACTAGAGGCGGAGTTTGATAGTTGTGCTATTGTCATAGGTTGAGCACCCGACGGGAATTCCTGTTGTACCGGCAACACTTTTGGGAATCACTCCTGTGCTTCCACCATCTGGCCAAATAGCAGCTATCCACCAGTTCGGAATGCATCAGCAAGGGATGCCCCCGGCGTTGCAAGCCACTCCGGTGCCACTACCTCAGGCGTCTTTGGCTCAGTTGCAACCAATCACTGCTCTGTTGGCTCCTCAGCAACATCTGCCTCCTTTGCAGCACCAGCAGGTATGTTTGGTATTGGATGTTGAAGGATAGTCAGTGGTTTCGGGAGATGTACTCCTTCCGTGACTGAAGTTTTCATCTGTAAAACCACAGCACTCAGTCCGCTCCTTGATTATTTATAGCAAATCATCCACCGATTTTCGAAGATTTCCTGGCAGTTATCTATAGAACCTCCAAAAATTCTAGATTGTCCAGACCATGTGTAACGGACTGTAGATTAGTGGAGGTGGTTTTCTTTTCTTCTTTTTCATGCATTGAAACTCAAGTGCGTCTCTTGTTGCAGGCAGTACATTATCATCACCATCCCCAACAGCATCAGTCCCCAATTCATCGTCTCTCCCAGAGGCCACAGCAGCAGCCGCTACAGCAACTGCAGCCAGCCGCACCATCTCAGTCTCCACATTCACAACAGCCATCTCCATTGTCTAGCCAGGCTCAGCAACCGAGAGTTCAAGAGCACCAGCATAAACAACAGGAGCAAGTGAATCTTGAGCAAGCTGTAACTCAAGGGGATGAACAGAGTGTGCCCTTAGCTCAGCCTTCTTCTCTGCCACCCCAACAGCACTCTCACAATCAAACAGCACAGCAGCTAAACTCACAGTTGCTGCATCAGTCGCAGTCAACCATGACAAATGCCAGTAACGGCTCTGAAAAGATTGAGAGCTCACCTAAGTCTCAGCAAACACGACAAGACGAGCAATTGGTTTTACCAGATGACGGACAGCAAAAGCAGTCTGGGGAGGAGCTACAGAAACCTGAACTTGCTGCACAGCATCGCCAACAAAACAATCAGCAAGATAGACAGGTGCATATGGCACTACATGTCGTTCATCCAGGCCTCATGTCATACTTTGGTGCACTAGGAAGAATAATGAGTAGTTCCTTTTGACATTCTCCAAGTTTTGTTCGCAGAACCATGACCAGCGTAGGCGAATGGATACTCGCTTACAACACTATACCCATCAACAAGGAAAACATGTACAGTCTCAAAGTCACCGTATATTTCCGCAAGAGAATATGATGACCCCGCAGCTTCAACACCAGCAAGGCATCTCAAGCAGCATGGATCATTTGGGAGGCGGAACACATTCGTCTTCTGTATCTCAAGAAGGTACTGAACACGGACAAATCGAGGGGGTGGCAAAGAAATCACTTTCTGAGAAGCAGGAGCATAACAATTCGGAACATCAACTTGTGAAGCAGCAAAACCATGTGGAGTCTAGCGTCAAGGTTGTAGAACCTGCGTTATTGGATGAGCGATCACTGCTTGCGTGTCTGGTGAGGGCGGTTCCTGCGGAACCTAGTGCGAGAATCCGGATCAGCTCTACTGTGAGTAGCTTGCTTACCATTTTACGTCATTGCTTTTGATCAATAAGAACATACGTTTGGCTCTAGCTGACAGTTTAGGCACGAATAACACGTTATGGGTTGATTTCCGACGTGGAGTTTGCATCTGACATTTGGATCTATTCAGCTTCCAAATAGGCTTGGGAAGATGCTTGCTCCGCTTCATTGGCACGACTACAGAAAGCAGTTTGGAAGGCTTGACGAATTTGTTGGGGCGCATCCAGAGGTGCTATGACTTGAGAGACCGTTGGACCTTGCATTTTTTACCGCTACGAAAATTAATTTCTGTGTTCAAGTGTCCACTGTTTTGCAAAGTTGATATTCCTGGGTTTGTCACAAACTGACTGTCGAAGGATATGGTGGTCATTCTATAGCTTTTTGTCATTGAGGACGACCTGATTCATCTGCGAGAGGGTGCGCATGCCACTTTTTCAGCAACAACTGCTGTAGCAAAGGCGGCGGCGGCAGCAGCAGCCGTTACTCCTCCCGGACCGCCGACTCGGATGCCCAATGTTGCTGTTACACCTGTAGCTCAAACTCAGCTGCCGCGAGCAAGAAGCCTGAAGGGCGTAAATAATCCGCAGAAGGATAAGAAGGCCACCTCTGTTCCCTCACAAGATGCTGTATCTCATTCGTCATCAACTTCTCAGTCCACGAATTCAAGGCAGAATCAGGGTGCGGCCTCTAGCAGGACTGCAGTAGCCAATGGTGGCAATGTGGGTCAGCACCATATAGGTGGTACGGCGTCGACGAATAATGGTAACAAGGGTGAGTCGGGTGGTAGATCCAGCGGAGCTCCCTCTAACCATGGCAACGATAACTCTGCAACCTACGAAAATGGTGGTTATAGTTCCGCTCGAACAAACGGTTATTACGGCAGCAGACAGCAGGGAAGGTGTGTTTAGTCTTTTGCTTGCGGTTTCATTTTGCTTATGTGCTGGGGCATGGCAAATCTTGCCCCTTAGCAGGTAAAGAATTCATGAATGAACCTTAGTTACATTTGGGTCACTTATGCTTCTCTCTTCTTATTTTACTGCGGTCTCTTCTTTTCAGAGGCTCCTTCTCCAATTCTGGTCAGTACAGGAAACAAGAAAACCATGCTAGACCCCATACTCAAGAGGGCCGCATCATGGGGTCTGCTCCCACCGTTTCACAATAAGGTACGTCCACTACGGTCTACGTTGAGTTCTGAACCGTAAGTTTTTCGTACTTAAGATGAGGGAAAATATCTCATATTCCTTCATTAATTGCGGATTGAGTTGGGGCCATCTAGCGATTTGAAAATAGTACTTGGTGATAATCCACGTTCGATCACGTAACTAAACTCTTTCAGGTCGTCTTACACGTTATTGAAATTTAATTTTGGTTCTCATGGCCAAACTTCTTCCCTCCAGCAAGAGGCGAAGCGTTGTGGAAATCCTTCTAGAGTTGAGGTGTTATCATTGCCATGCACAGCCCAACCGTGCATTTTTACAGTGTTCAGACTATGTCAGGCACGTGCATTTTGTAGTACATTTTACAGAGAAAGAAGTCTTACGAAGTATTCTGCTTTGATTTCGGTGCTCGAGGACTGTGTCAGTTTCTGAAGGTCTGAGATTGCCATGGTTGTGTAGGTTTTGGCAGCTTCACAAGTATCGGAGAAGCATTCATTTACATATAAGTGAGATTATACGTTTCTCAGAGTTGAAAATTGCCATTACGCAAGCCGGACTCTCCCTTACACCAGCATGCTACCAGTTTCTTCCCTAGACTTGGTGCCTTGCTTTGGAACGGCGGAGACGTCCGCACTTTTGTGGTCCTCCATCTACCGTGGAGTCATTAGTGCTTGCCATGGGAGGCAAGGAGGCAGTTTTTTTTTGTTGTGCGCTTGGTCCTTAATTGCATAAATTCCTTGCAGGAAAGGCGAAGAGCTCGCTTTTAAAAAATGATATTCTCGTTAAGTACAGTTCACGGTGAAGCGAAGGCCACAGCCAAGGAATAGGACTAGTTAGTGTGAGTTCAAACGGATTCCACTAGGAAAGCCTATGAGTGCAGCATGCAAATATATCTTCGCTATACGCTTCCGTGAGTGCGGATGACTTCCTAGCTGGAATCTTGTAATGTAGCTAAGGGGGCCCGATTCCCAGCAGGCAACCTTCGGGATTGCTGAAAATATATCATTAGTGTTGACAAGAAATCGATTGCATTGTTTGCCCGAATGAGCTGAGGGGTTTTTTTCCGTCTCATTTCAAGTGAACAAAAGGCCTGAACTCATGGACTACTTGGAGCGTGCTTATTATTTGCTTCTCCCGTGTATGGTGTGGGTACGAATTGGCCCTGAAGGGAGTATACGTGAAAAGATGGGAAGTACACCTTGAAGAGTAAGTAATTGAACCAATGCAATCCACTGTAAAGGCACACACCCGGCACATATTGTTATTTTACACGCTTCGAGCACCAAGCATCGGTTTTACGTTTCTTCAAGATGTTTTATCAGCAAATCTTAGGAGGTTGAAATTTGGCAGATGACGTAGAGCCTGAACCAATTTGCTGAGATGAGTGTGCTGCGCCGATGCAATACAATCCTTGACGCCGGGCCGACTGTGGCCCGGATGCTTCTAGAAAGTTATTATGCCGCCATCTTCGTTGACATCTATAACCGAAGGATGACTGCTTTGTAGTGTTGGTACATGTGTCAACATAGCTCTCTTTGGCTGCAATTCTTGCTCTGTAATCGAAACAAAGCAAAGACTAGTTACAATTAATATTTGAATCGAGGTGATTACGCTTTACCAGAATTTGATACATCCACGTCTTATGGTCGTTTCTGTTTATGGTATCAATTTATTTAGATTAAATTTGGTATACCTTCCTTCTAAGACAAATTCTTGTGAGGTTTCATTGTTTTAGCTTTTATAGATACGCAACGCTATGAGAATAAACTTCTTTGTAAATTTGCTGAGTATATTGAACAAGAAAAAAGAACTATTTTGTTAACACTAAACAACGAAATATTTCAAGTGTAACTAGAAGTTTGTAGTGAAAATCAGGTATCAAATATATGATTTATAATCCAAAAAGAAATTTCGAGACATATACTTTGATTGTCAATTTAATGAAATTATTTCATTATGAAGATTACATACTTCTCTATCAGTAAAGTTTGCGCACTAAAAAGGAAATGAAGATATGATAAAACATTACAAATCAAAAAGATTTAAAAAGTCAAGATTAAAATTTAAGTATTGACAACGGATTTGAATCTTGCAAAATCAAAAATTATGCAAAATAAATTTTGTTAGAATGTTAGATTACTGCCATGAGAATCATCTTGAAATTCAAATAAAAGGTATAATATAGATCCAAAATTTGAAAACATGAAAAGATGTATGTTTAAAATTATAAAAACCTCTCTACTTCCTAGATTTTGTCAAAAAAGCAAAAAGTCGAAATAAAAGTAAAAAATTACCTTTATTTCGTTTTTTCACAAAAAAAAAAATCTACTTCATAACTTATGCAATTAAATATAGATCAAATATTTATAATATAAGATTTAGATAAAATTTAAATCATTATCAAATACAATAACTTCACTAATTTATTTTAGAAATTTCTGTTTAATTTTTCAAAACAAAACTAGTAATGAAATAAACACAATTATGAAATATATATTCTTAATATTGTATAACACTTGGGTTTGATAAAGTAGTTCATTCAAAGATAAAACACCATTCCAAAGATGAAGAAAAAATCTAAAATGATTTTTCTCTTCTTACATAGATTGTACAAACAATAATTCTAACAAGCAAGTTATTGTTAACTTGTAGTTCTTAACTAACTAACGTTCTACCTAGCACATTCAATCTATATCTTACAAGCATATGGATTATATAACTTTATAATCATCTATCTTGGGGTAAATTAAAGAAAAGTTTAATCAAAATAAAGTTAAAGTCATTTTATGGTGCAATATTCACAATTGTCATGTCAACAATCCGTGTATTTGATAGATAGAAGTAAATGTTGTAAGGTTAAACCGCGTCTTGTTAACCATAGTTAGTCTAATCCTAGTTAAGCTTGGCCTCTAGTTAGAGTATGAGATACTTAATCCGAGAACAAGCACGTTTGTGCTTCAATCTCATATATACACCGTAGAGGAGAGATAGTGGAGAGCTTGGATCACGTAGTATACCTTTCCAGTGTGTGAGGGAGGAGTAGAAGGGTTATCTGATGAGGAGCTCAAGGCTCAAAAATCTGTACATCTTGGAGTATACGACGATCTTTAAAGAGTCACAAGATATTGTTTCTCCGGATTTGATTTCTCATCTGTGGCACAGCCAATGAGTGAAAAGGATAAAGCCATTTTACACAAACATAGGTTATTGTCCGGGATGAAGCAATGAAAGTTCAAATTTTGTGAGCATTGTGTATTTGGAAAACATGCAAGAGCTGCAAGAGGCCACTAACCACATTCATAAGGTGAAACAACCAATCAACAATTGTATGATGAGATGTATCATGGCTCTGATACTAATTGTAGTATCTCAACTTTGTTCTTTAGACAAACTCATACATACAATACTTAACGAGAATCACACACTTATTTACGTGGTTCACCTACACATGAGGCTACGTACACGGCCGAGATAAAAAGCTACATCGAAGCGAGAATGTAATTAGGTCTTTGGATGACTACTAGAGATTTGTGTGAATTTACTTCATGCAACAAAAGTCTTAGGATTTTGAAATTTTGAAAAACTAAAAATTTCTAATTGAAATCCAGATTAGAAAGAAGGTAAAATACTTGCGCACTTATAACGGCGGGACTACGACATAACAGAGTTTCGATTGTATTGCAAGAGAGAGGGTATCATTCGCTATCTCATCACATCGTATAGTCCAAAGCAAAATGATGTGTCTCATAGTTCAACCGCACATTACTTGAGCGCTCTTAAAGTATGTTGAATCTTGTTAATTACCTCATATGTTTTGGACTGAAGTTGTGAATACAACATCTTACTTGGTAAAAATATCTCCTAATAGCTCTATCAAGTTCAAGACACCGTTTGAATAGTGATATTGTAAGACCAGTTGTTCTATATGTATCTAGTATTAGAAATAGCCAAAGAGTGGAGTATGATTAGCCTAGACATAGATAAGTCTAGCTAGTTATAACTAAGTTTAGCTATAATGTCTATACTTGGCAAAATAATTAGAGTATTTCTAGAAGATTGTAGTGAGCATTTCTATTTTGTCTTTTACAAAAAACTATATTCCAAGACAATGGACTTTTGATTACAAGATTTGATTTGATTTGTTTGACGTAGTGTATGGAAGATCATTGGTTACACTAAAATCTATTTTGACTTAGAGTCAAGGTAAACTTCTAAAAGTTTGAAAGCCTTCAATGGCATGTCGCCACTTCAACCTCAAAATTGAAAAGCTTCTAGAAGGTTTAGGTAAGTCAATGGCATGTTGTCATGTACGGAGCGTTCATCAAACCTACCAAGGTTCATCTTAGTGAAAGTAAGATGGAAGATAATTATCACATGTCATTATGATAATTTCTCAAGTAATATAAGTAGAGAAGAGACTCTCAAGCAAGTTTTGATAGTTTTTTGTGTAGAGATTTGTTTCATCAAAGAATGAGTGATGTTTTCAGTATCTTGAAGTGTTGATGTGTGTGATGAGTGCAGAGGTTGTGTAAGAGGGTGTTTGAGACATGAGCATGAGAATGAATCTTAGACCTCTAGTTACATGATGAACTACTTCAAAGCCATCTGAGGTAAACTTGAGTGAGATTCAGTATGGAGGTTGTAATACAAGCGGTTAGGTGATTACTCTATGTTGGAAGTTTTTGCTTGTGATGCTTATGTCTTACTCTGAAGTATAATAGGACTAAGTTTGATCCAAAAGCCAAAAAACGTGTTTTTTTTGTTATCAAAGAGGAGTAAATGGATATAGATTGTGGAAAGTTAATGCTTGCAAACTCATTGTCTATAGGGATGTTTCATTCAATGAATCTATATCATTGAATGAGGAGGAGAAAGTGTAGACTTTTGTTACTAACAAAAGCAAGACTCTTGTCCCTGACATCATTGAGGAGGAGATTGATATTGACACCACATATGATGGGCTGCAAGGAGAGTTTCCACCTATTGTGGATAAGAGTAGCTGATTGCGAGTGAATCAACACCAGATCCAGAACCAGCACCAGCACCAACACAAATTGATCAAGCAGGATCTGCATCAATGCGACAGTTACGCAGTGCAGCTAAACGTCGAGCTCCAGCTATGCATGACAATTGGTTTGTTTCTTTAGTTATTGATGATATTGAAGTTGATGTTGATGATTCAAGTGACGCCTTGATCACGGAAGATGGGGATTCATCTTCTTTTTTTGAAGTTCTATTTTCTCGTGAGAAGCAAGAATGAAGTGCAGCAATGTAGAAGTAAATGAAATCACTTCTTGCCAACAACACTTGAAAATTTATTGAGTTTCCCCAAGGTAAAAGAGTGATATACTGTAAATGGATTTACAGGAAGAAGTATGGATCCGTGGATATAGATGAAAAAATCTTCAAGACTAGATTGATAGTCAAGGAATTCACACAATGCAAAGGAGTGGATTACAATGAAGTTTTTGCACCAGTAGCAAAGTATTCTACAATACGTTTGCTATGTGCCATTATGATTCTACATGATCTAGTTTTTAATTAGGTGGACGTTGTCACAACTTTTTCTTATGAACTATTTGATGAAGTGATATTCATGCGACAACTTCAAGGTTTTCTCAAAAGGTATGATTTGCAAGTTGCTTAAATTATTATATGCTTTAAAGCAAAGATTCAAATAGTGGAAAAAACGTTTCAATGACTTCATGCACTCACAAGAATTCTGATAGAGTGTATATGATTCTCATGTTTACTTGAAGAAGGTTTTAGATGCGACATTTGGTCTTATCATTGTTGTATTTTATGTTGATGATATAATTATTGCAGCTTCCTAGAGATCCAATGTTGATAAGTTGAAGTCTCAGTTGAGCTCAACCTTGAGCATGAAGAATCTATGTCAAGTCAAGAAGATTCTTGGTATGGAAATATTTTGGAAATTAGAAAGCTGGAAAGTTTTTGTTATCTCAACAAAAGTATGCAGAGAAGGTGCTTGCCAACTTTAACATGACATAAGCTAAACCTGTGAATACTCCATTAGCGGCTCATTCTTTACTTTGAGCAGCGCAATGTCATATAGATGCAGTTGAAAAAGGATAATGTCTTCTATTTTCTATGAGAATGTAGTGAATAGTCTTGTGTATCTGATGTTGTGCACACGACCAGATATAACATTGTTTTTGGTTTTGTGAATAGATACATATCAAATCAAGGCAAAGTGCATTGGGAAGTAGTGAAGTGGATACTTAGATATCTTAAAGGTTCTACACGACATGGTTTATTGTTTGATGTCAAAGCAATGAATGTCAAGTCACTTCTGAAATATGTGAATGTTGATCATGGGGAAGACTTGGACAAGAGAAAATCCACGACTTGGACATGTTTTCACTCTTACATGTGGCTACATTAGTTGGAGATCTACTCTTCAAAAGTGCAACCCTTTGTCTTCCACGGAAGCTGAATACGTTGAAGTATAAGAGGCAATGTCGGAAGCAATTTGGTTGAACAAGGTTATCACTGAGATGGGATTGCCTCAGCTGGATATGAAATGTCTTGTTAACTATAATTAGTCTAATTCTAGTTAGGCTTGGACACTAGTTAGAGTCCGAGATACTTAATCCGAGGACAAGCACGTTTTTGCTTCAATCTCACATGTACACCGTAGAGAAGAGATAATAGAGAGCTTAACTATGAAGGCCTGATGTATATTCTCGCTTTAGTGAAGTTTTTTATCTCAGCCGTGGACGTAGCCTCATGTGGAGGTGAACCACATATATTGATGTGTGATTTTTGTGGAGTATTGTATGTATGAGCTTGTCTAGAAATCAGAACTAAGATCCTACAAACGTGTTAGTTTATGACAACATGTCAACAATCCGTGTGATTTGTAAACACACTCATTCAAAAAAAAAATTTATAGTTTTATCTTGATTAATCTTTACTTGAATTCTAACTAATTGAAGATGGTTACAAATTGTGAAAAACTATAATTATCATATCATCAATTGAATTGGAGTGAAAAAGATGATGGGAATGAAATCTTATCTTTTTGTAATTGTTTGTTGATTTTATTTATAGATTTATATTACATTTTTGACTGATTTTTTCTCTTGATAGATAGATAGATACAACATGTCATTGTCAATTAACATGTTAACTTTCTAATTTCAAAGCACATGGATACTTGATAATTATTAATATTATTATTATCGAAAGTAGATGTCATTGTCAATTAACATATTAATGTTCAAACTATAAAGCACATGAATACTTAATGTTACAATTATAAATTATAGTTTATTATAAATTATCAATTATAACGTATCTATAATAAATTGATTTATATTAATTATCATTTTAAATAATTAGAGATGATTACATATTATAAGTATATATTAGTATATTATTTTCTTTTTATTTCTTGGTTACCTTTTATTTTTGTGTTAAGTAACAAAAAAGTCATCAGCACACAATTGATTAAAGTTAATAATGATAAATTTTTGTCACGTTTTTTAAAGTAATTTTAGAATTATGACTGTTATAAAAAAATTTAATTTATGAAAAATATCAAATGTATTTATGTTAATTTTAAATTTTTTAAATCATTTTATGAAGTAAATTAAACTTTTACATAATAAAATATATAATCCAATAACTTCATTGAATCATAAATATTCAAAATAAAATATGAAATGATGTGCTTATTCCACTAAAAGATGGATGTAATATTCAAATTTTTATTAGATTTTGAATTATTAAAAGATGTTGATGTATCAGGAAAAATTGCACCAAGGTTTAAAAATATAAAAATAGTATTGCAAAATATATGTTAGTGAGCTATTTACAAAATTCAACATGACACATTATAATTTGAACATTTTTTTTATCCAATAGATGTTTCATGAAAACTTTTGATGTTCAAGATAATTCACAATTTTTTTTAAATGCTTTGTTTTGATGATTTGCATTTTCAAAGTGTTTATATTATTATAAAAACATATAAATTCATGTTAAATCTCCAAAACATATATTGATAAGTTTTAGATTTAATTTAAAACAATATTCAAATGTATTTCAAGTTTCAATCATGAACAATTGATATGATGAAAAAATTTCCTGACAAAATTTATGTTTACTAATTGAATATAGATGATTATATTGAATCTTTATAAAACAAAAGTGTATAATTATGTTGAGTTAGTGTTTGAGTACGTAGAAAATAAAAAAGTACATTAAAATTTACTTTGTTGAAAAAATTATTATAGACATAAATTACATTAATGACATTGTGAATCTATCTTACGATTGTTAAACTTTTTAACATATTTAATAAATAAAATATTTACATTGAATTTAATAGTTTTAAATATATTTTTGTAATAATATACATTAAGAAGTCAAGACTTCCAATAAACTTAATTTTGCAAGTGTGTTTTTAAAATAATTTTTTCTAATAAAATGAAACATTGTGACACATTGCAAGTTTTGCAAAAAGTTTTCAAAAAAAAAAGATAGAACTTTTTAAAAATTTATTTATGAAATGAATATTATTTTTTCTACAATTTATTATTTAGATTTTTATATTATTGATTAACTTATAATTTCAATTTGTTTCAGAAATCTTCTTATGAATAAACATATATATATAGGAGGAATTAAGATACTAAAGACGGACATCAAGATGATCATTTTAAAATCATTTTTCAATTTTGAATTTATTTCATGTAATTTGATCATTATTAGTTAAATTATTTAGCTAATGCTATATAAAAAGATTCATACAAGCATTAGCTAAATATTTGCCTTCATGTTTAGCATAAAAAAACCATTAGCATTTATATTTTTGAAGATAATACTTAAACTGAACTATTTAGCTCAATATGCATCATTTGAATCCTAAAGCACAAATTTTATTCAATTAAATGAAAAATGGGAGTAAACTTCTCTACGTAGTAAAGCATAATATATCTATGACATAAAGCATTAACCTCTCTATTCACCATTAAGATTGAAATTTTAATGTACTCCTACATTTAACATCATAGTACTTGCCAATATTTATTTATTTTGAATGATTCTTTGATTGGAATATTGAGATAACATATTGAAGAAAGTTTTGGAAAATGGATTGTTGCGTCATGAAATGTGGAAAAAGGGTGATATCGTAAAATTTTCTGTGAACATTTTGAGTGTCGTTGGAGTTTTCTTTGTTGTCTCTTGATTTGAAAGATGCTTTGTTTCAAGTTTTTTAAGTCCATGATTGGAATTTTTTTTTTGGAAACTTTACTTGTTTGAATATGATCCCTCAATGATTCGTATATTCGTTACCGTAGTATATACCAGATTTACGACGTATTTGATTTCAGCTTTTAATTTAGCCAAAGAGCCAAAGATGGGAAAAATCCAAACTTATTTTTAGTAAGACAAAAAGTTGAAAGTAAGACTAATAATGAATGCCTGTGACAAGAAATCGTAATCACGTCAGTAATCATAAGTTACTCTAAGACCAAAAAATGCACAAGTGTGTTCACTAGCACTCATAGCTAGGGCTGAAGAGAAAAAAGTCGTGATTGCATCCTCCCGTTGGATACAAAAATCCTTCGGCTTCTGGATCCGCATTAGGGAGAGAGGGTGAAAAAGCAATGTTCAGTTTTCAAGTAGATACTGATGAAGTTTTGGGAAATTATGAAAGGAAATGGAGGGAAGAAGTCATCCACAGGGCCGGACAGAAGGGGAAAGAAAGTACAGCAGCGTCGGTAACTGATAACAGAGGAGGTAACTGCCGTACAAGGGAAGAAGCTCAGGCGTTGGCACAGACGTGGACAATTGGTGCCACTTGTCAGCCCCGAGGCCCTGGCTCCCGTTCCTCTCTTCCGCTCCGCCTTCGTCCCCTTGACCGCCCGTCGCCCAACGATTGTCTCAACGATCCCCGACTCTGACTTTTCGCTTCATTCGCCCCAGATCTCATTCCGTCCACATCCCAATCTTCTCCCATCAGAACTCAAGCCCGAAGTGGCGGTGGGTCGTGTAGATCGAGCCGGACGGTTCCTCTGCTTGGCGTTCGGAGTGTGTTGATTTCGTGGTACGGGGGATTGTTTCATGGCGGTTGGGAGTGGATTGTGCCTACATTTTGGCGTCGTAATTGTTCCTGCTGCTTGTGAAGATTGGGCGCTCGATGGTGCTTTTGCTCTGAGAAAGTTAGGTTTGTTTGCTCGCGGCGAAATTCCTCAGTTTCATGATACTGAGGCAACGAGAGTGCCATGTTATTGAGGATTTCCACCGCGCGCAAGCTGTAAGAGGAGCTAGGGTACCCACGATGCTGGTCTTTGAGGAGTATGGTTGGGTGAAAGATTCATGGAGGGTGGCCCAAAGAAAAGCGGGAAAGGGAAACAAAACGCAGGTTCTTCAGGTGGTAGTACGGGATCAAAATTGAGCAATAGCAGTGTGTATCACGAAGACGAGCCCATAGATATGACGGAGGAAATCGACAAACACGTCTTACGGAAATACCATGTTTGCCAGAAGCTTGGAAAAGGGGTAAACTTGGAAACTGTCAGCATATGTAGAGTCAACTTCGTGTCCTTGTTCGAACATGAAACTTAGTTTTCAAAAAGGAACTGAAGTGAAGCAACTTTAGTGTGCTTGATAGCAGAATTGTAATTACCTTGTGGACTGAATGGTTCTGGCGTGCCGGAGTGGAGACAATGTTTGAGTTGCAGAACTGAGAGTTGTACCAGCTGCGGTGGAACTATATCAGAAAGAAAAATGTGTTCAATATCAACTCAGTTGCATTGTTTTAGTTCCATATAGTTTGGTCATGAATTGGAATCCTTTTGAGCTTCCTACTTTGTTCCACAAAGTTGGTCAGAATCCTGTATGCTAGCGCTCTGGTTGAGTGGGAGGATCCACTAATCTGCATCTAGGAGTGGAATGAGGAAACTGTGCACAGGTCTTATAATCCAGTTAGTTATGGCGATGTAAAGGAAACCAGAAAATTGTAGTAGATGTAGTGTGCGACTCATTGTTGGGGTACACCAGCGAGCCTGGTATACAGTCTAGTGGTTTCCTGAGATTCAGTTTCTGCTTTTCTAGTTCATAGTCATGGCAAGTTGCTGGTAAGGTACAGATGTTGAGCCAGTGATGCATCCTTTGCAGGCCTGAAGAGTGAGTTGTCATTCGTTTTCATATCTTTCTGGTTATGGATGATCAGTTTGCGGACCTGCAAGACCGATTCTCAGAGTCAGGTTCTGACTTTGTGTGCCATGTGCCCTTACGTAATCTTTTGACGACGCCCTCAGGCTTATGGAATCGTGTGGAAGGCTATTGATAGAAGGACGAATGAGGTTGTGGCGTTGAAGAAAATTTTCGATGCTTTTCAAAATTCAACTGATGCACAGGCCGGTTCCATGTTCTCTGTCGACTCATGATGCATTCTCACCTGTCTGTCTGAAACTTTTCTTGTACTATTTTCATGCGGATTCCATCAATGAACTTTGGAAAGCCATTCTCAGTCAGAAGGCTGTTGTGTATGAATGTGCACATTTAGTACATCAGCTGACTTAGTTGACTTCTCGACTTGATGTCACTTTTGGACTAGGATGGCATTGATGAGTTTAAATAAAAATATTAAAACAAAGCTTCATGACAGTTTTGAAATGAGGCAGCTGATCTGTATTTTTGTTACGGAAGAGATGAAGTCTTGATCTTAAAACCGCATAGTGATCGTCATTGTGCAAAGTTTATTGTTCTATGAACTAAACGTCGACAGTTTGTATATCAATTTTACCAGAGAACATTTCGGGAGGTCATGTTTCTACAGGAAATGAACGACCATGACAATATAATCAAGTAGGTCAATATTCACTACTGAGTAACCCGTTGATGCAAGTAGATCAACTTGTAGGTCGTTTTGATGCCGTTCAAGAAGGGGCGTCGGTGCTTTTATGGATCACAATGATCTATTATTGAAAAGAGTCTTCAAAATACAGGAGTGCTGACATCGACTTTTCCTTTTCTCCAGATTGCTCAATGTACTGAAAGCTGAAAATGATCGTGACTTGTATCTTGTTTTTGAATACATGGGTACTCTCATTTCATCTAAATAGAAACATGAATAACCCACTTCTCGATGCTTGTTCCTGCTTACCTCCATTGTTTAAACTGCATTGTTTTCTTCTCCTTCTTCCGATCTTTTGTCAGTGAAGGAGTAGGCACCTGTCAGTTAACAACATACTTTTCGGGCGCGTCTACTCGTCAAAAGCAGGAAAGTCATCAGTCAAGATACTTAGTTCGTACAATGTAGAAACCTGGAGAAGGAGGGTAACGTGTTCAGCATTCTCGAATGTCTGGCCACAGAAACCGATCTGCATGCAGTCATACGGGCGAACATTCTGGAGGATGTTCATAAACAGGTAAAGACACAATCTATCATAGATGTAAACCGTAATCAAGATATGATTATAAGTTTGTAGTGACTATTTCTGGCACGTGACGAACGAGCTCAATGCAGCTAATGTTTTGGAACAAGAAGTGTTTTCAATCTATTTGTCCATAAGCCTTCATTCCGTCACTCCTTTGTCAGAGAAACATTGAAGATTAGGCTTTCATAGATCACCGTCATGATTTCAGTGGTCATGTACTGGTAATGTAATGTCAGCTGTAGTTATCACAAAGATGTCTATGGTACGTCTACTTGCAGTTCATCATGTATCAATTACTCAAGGGTTTGAAGTACATGCATTCTGCAGAGTTGCTACATCGGGATATAAAGGTATCATTCACAATTCTATTTCTCTTGAGTTGTCGCATTAAAGGTCCTGTCCATCGGTAAGTTATGTTGCCAATTGAACATATTTTTGCAAAATATACTTGCTTCAGATTGACGGGCTTTCCGCAACTCGCACACTGTAGCAAGGTGGACGGGGCTCCTTTTCTCTATTCGATCGATGCAGCTCTTTTCTGACATGAGAGCAGTAGTCTTATTTTACTTCGCCCTGCACTCGGAATACAAGCTGTTATCGGAATTTACTAGCGTTGAACCAAGACCTAAAGCAGCCACACATTTTATACTGGGGCTTCAGGTGGATGAGCTAGTATCTTCAGGTGGATGAGCTAGTATTTAGTATAATATCTTGGTTGATACCTGGGAACACCGAACTGGTCTCATTTATGGGGTAAATCTCATTATAAGAGAGACCCTCTTGCTTCTCAAGTGATTCTCTCTAGTTTCTATCACGAGTCTTCTCCAAGTACCGAATCTTTAATATTAGCACCGCTGCCCCAGGTCTTTACAGTCTTCAGGATGTGACACACACGAATGAGTACAGTCTCAGAAGTCATTTGTGCTGAAAATTATGAGACAGATTGTGTGAGATCATTACTTTTGTGAGAAGAAAATTATGGACAGATTGTTGCAGTTTAGGAATCATTCCATGGTCTTCACTATCATATAAGAAGCAAGGCTTTTCAACCGCCTGATCTGTCGAGTTCTTATCTGCACGTCGATTTTGTGATGGAGGCAGCCTAGCAACTTGCTGTTGGACTCTGAGTGCCAAGTCAAGTTGGCAGACTTCGGTCTTGCTCGATCTGTAATTATCTGACTCCCTGCCCAATTCAATTTTGATAGCGTCGCCTTTAATTATCAGTGTCAGGAAATTCTTTTGAAAATAGTGTAACTTTTGTGCAATGTGATTGGAGATTTGATATTCTGTCATGTGGTCAAGAGCTCTTCTATAGCCTATCCGCAAACCCGAGTCTTCTGGTAATCTTGGCAGAGATATTATTACCTTGCAGGTAGCTCAGTTGAAGGATGATGCTGGAAACATTCCCGTACTTACTGACTACGTTGCAACAAGATGGTGAGGTCCTTGACAACCATATGCAAAAACTTTTTTCTCTGTAGATAGCTTTGTGATGTTACGCAGGACATGTAGATGGAAAAGATAAATGACATAATGTAGCTAATACTGGCGTTGACTATGTAGATTTGGAGCCAAGTCCGACTAAGTAAATGATTTTTCTTGTTGTTAAGTAGTGGTAGATAGAGAGAAGCTTAGAGTCGTTGAAAAGTCTGACATAGTACTTGGGAGCGTCATTAGGAATATGCAACTTTTATGTTTCTAGCAAACAACCTCTCTTGATTTCTCTTAGCTCCAATGAAGGTTAAGTTTTGAGAGCATAAACATCAGGCTAAGGAAGGTCTTTTTCGGGTGGCTTGGTTGGGTAAATAACAGGTACAGAGCGCCTGAAATTCTGCTCGGTTCGACGAAGTGAGAGATTCTTGTCCTTTTGAAACTACCTAGGCAAAATCAGAAGTCAAATATGCCGCGAACATGCTGATTTCGTGATCTTCCGCTGATCGCTTCAATAACCCAATCCCTTGGACTGCTGTGCTGAGTGAAATGCTCATTTTGATGTCAAGGGCCAACATGCTGGAATTTGTTCGTCTCTTCCCAGATACACATACGGAGTTGACATGTGGTCGAGTGGTTGCATTTTAGGAGAGCTTTTGAATGGAAAACCTATATTTCCGGGTAGTTGCACCTACAAAGCTCTCTGTACAATGTAATGTTTTTGTAACTATTGAAGAGAAAGAAAAAGTTACCGGAATTCTGTTCATGTTATGCGTTGTGATAGTTTGGATCTCGAATCATGACATTGACCAGGGTTATTCTTTTCATTCAGGTACATCAACTATGAATCAAATTGAGAAGATTTTGGAGGTTATTGGACGTCCTGCACCGGTACAAAAACTCAACTCAAAATACAGTAGATTACATCAGAGATTATTAGCCTCTTGGGTTTAGCAATTTTGGTGGAGTAAAGTTGAGTTCTGGAATTAACTACGAGTGTTGAGCCTACTCCTGATTCTTCTTGATCTCTTTTGATGAACGAAGGAGGATGTTGCCGCCTTAGAGTCACCCTTCGCAGCAACGATGCTGGATAATATGCCCACTCTCACCAAGTGAGTGATGTAGTTCAAATATATTCTTCTCTGCTTTATCTTTATCTCGATCAGGATAGCAGTAGTAGTAGTAGATTCCACTCTGTAGATTGCCAGAAAGTTGATCCTGCCTCAGTAAACTCTAGAAGTTGATTTTTGATCTCATATATGTAAGAAATGCGTGGATGTCTAGCCTCATCCACTGCCTAGTTTGTGGTCAGCGTTGCATTTGAGTGAATGACTGGCTAGAAGTAGGTTTCGGGAAGTTCCATAACTGTCCTAACAGCTTCACTTATGTCTTCATGCTCATGACTTTTGTTACCCATGGTGGAAATATGGTGTTCTGGGTTGCATGTTCAGAAACTTCGCTCAAGTTTTTCCCACTGCATCCCCTAACGCTGAAGATTTACTTCACAGACTGTTGCATTTTAATCCAATCAAACGATTGACGGCAGAAGTGAGTTCATTCATGACGAATGCAACAGCATTTGCACCTTTGCTCAGTCTAAAAGCACGAAGATCTCGTATAAAGCCTCACCATCATTGTCTTGGTCCCATTCGGATGTCTGTAGACAAGACAAAGACTCAGATTTAGATTAATCAAGGTCTGAACGAGACTGATGCTGGTACTGTAACTTCGTCTCCTCTCCGCAGGAAGCTTTGCGGCATCCTTATCTGGCACAGTTTCACAATGCTGCAGAGGAATCAATCTGTACGCGTATTGTCCGCATTCCAATAGATGATAATACCAAGTAACGCCAGGCCCAGACTCCCTTCTTCTCTTACTAATTTCATTCTGATTGCAACACATGCAATCATGTATGAGGCAGAAGATCTTTCATGGATGACGGATGAGGCTCTGTTTTTAGTTGATGTATGAGTTATCTACTGATAGTTTTGTTGATAATATGAAGTTGGTAATCTGACGAAAATTTGGTAATTTGACGCCTTTTTTTTGGAAGTGGCCCAATTTGTTAAGGTGAATCAAATGTCCTTAGTGGGCTGTAGCATCTCTACTCTTTGAGCAGACCTTCAAACTCTTGGCAGGTTTACCATTTCGGAGTACCGTGAGCGCCTTTACCAGGAGATAGTGCAACGAAAGAAGGAGATAAGGAAGAAACTCAGAGAGAAGGAGCGGCTGGAGAGAGACACGCCTTCTAGAAATCAGCGTCGACCTAAGTTCCGTGCTGCTCATTTTGGAAGTCCAAATGGGGCTGCTTGATTTTTCACCTGCACGTCTTAATTTGTTCGTTCTTAAATCCCTGTTTGTTTATGGACTCTGTTCAGTGGGCTGGATTCTACACGATAGACCAGTAGGTCTTCCAGGGTGTTAAAAATATCGTCCATGTGACATTTCCTCTGCATGGTTTTGTTGTGCCTCGTGATTTATGAGGAGCTTGATGTCTGTGCTGATGCAGATCAAGGTCTGAAAGCGTCAAAAGGGTTCCAGATAAGAAGAACGACAGTAGGATATCACAGAAGACTCAGACGATCGCTGGCTCTCAAAGGATGCTGTCTAGCGCACCTGTGACTTCAAAAGTAGCCAACGACAGAAACACAAGAGAGGAGCATTCATGGTTGAAAAGAGCTGGTGCGCGCTTGAAGCTTATAGCTCAGGCCAGCCCATTCCATCATGTGCAGCAACGAAAGCAGATATTCCTGTTTTGAGCAAGTAAAAATGTCGATGTACAATTCCACTACCTTATATCCATTTCGATACCACTACAGGTTTGCGTTTGAAGGGAATCTGCTGCTTTTCAAGTGAGGTTTTAAGCCCGAAAGAAGCAGGTGATTTTTTTGTTTAGAATCATTATTGTTGTTTAGAAGCAGTAAGGGGGATGGATGGAGATTTTCGGAGATGGGAAGCTTCTTTGGACTGGCCATGAAGAGAGTTTATGTAGATAAACATGAAGGATTAGGTATGAAGTTTCAGTGTCAATTTTCTTCGATAGTACAAATCATCACAGTGAAGTCCCACGGACACCTTTTCAATCATTGACGATGAGGATTTGAGGAGGATTCGATTTTACTCCCTACTGCATATCCATCAGATTGGGAGGAAGCAATTGTTGGAAAATTCTTTCAGGACCTGGAACCGGTTTCACACTGTTCCAGTTGTCATTCGTCTTCCAAGCAGCCGAGACTCCTAGTTTGTGTGACATTCATCATGTATAGAACTAGAATATGAACGGAGGTTTCGTTAGTAAGCTTGAATTGAGTATGGTATTGGGCTTTATATCAAATTTTTTTTCCTCAAGGTGTCTGTGTGTACTGCAAGATATGACAAGAACTCTTCTTGTTCAAGACATGAATTTGGTTTGTTATCGGTTCGAGTGTCGAGTTGATGAGCATGTTTGGGTTACAAAATCGAGATTCTTAAGATACACAGAAATTCCAGTAATATCTGTCGAAAGGACTCGAATTAACGTCTTTCTAGCTGCTGTTTCATCCACGATTCGATCATTGCTTTACCAAACTCCGGTTGATCAGCAGGGACCTGCACAAGCAATTGAAGTCAATGATGGAAACCTTCTGGACTTTGTCAAGCAGTGCACCTAGTGGTATAGTGGTATGGATAGCTGGAAGGATCTGCATTAATTCTCTTGACGAGTTGCTCACGTCCAAGGCCGACGCAGGTAATCTCAAATTGTCTGAAACATTACCTGATGTCCAGCTCCAGCCACAACGACGTGTGTGAGATTCTGTCCTCGTCGCCAGTACCCAGCAAGCTCTCCGTTCACCTTCCACACAGATCTCTCGCCTCTCCAGAACGAGGGGGCCCCGGGCCACTCAAGAGTACGCATCCATGCCTCTGATCCAGATGGCCCGTCTTTGGCATCGTAAATTCCTTGATACAGCAACACAGGATATCCCATCCTCAATATCTCCTCTACCATCCATTTCGTACTCTTCATTGTATCCTGAATCAGCAAAGAGAAACGTAGATTACACACAATTACGACATCAGCTGGTATGGCTTTTGATCGAGGTTTCTGGAAATCTGTCATTCCAAATCAGTACACAGAAGATAAGAGTTTAAATCTGGATGATATATACTAAATGCTTAATCTCGCGTTTTTCATCAGTCAGGTTCTGATCGACACTCGAAACTCGCTGTGTTCATGTGATATGAGCTGATGTCTCTCTTGAGGATTCAAACATGTTCCACCTGACCCGTCTTAGTCCCCAAGAACGTTTCAAACTGAGTCTGGCACAAGGCATCTCTGGGACTAGTACCACACTGATTAAATTCGACAACGGTGACGAGAATTTAAGAACAGTCAGACGCACGGAGCAAAACTGGCAGAACTTAAATCAATTCAATCGAAGTCCGAGCCCAAGGGCTCAGGTTTTAAGGTACTTCTCATGATATGGAAACTAAGGAAAAGAAGCATGGCTTGAAGATGATTATGAAGACCAAGGCTAGTCACTCTCATGCTCACCAACGATCTCTCCACATTGAAAAAAGTGAAGTCGTTGTATGAGAGGGTATGGAACGTACTGAACAGTCGACACAATACAAGCCTCGCCTCTATCACTGACACCTACAAGACAACTAATTCGCTGCCTTGTCCTTTTGTAGAAGAGTACAGTATGAGATGGGATGTGCAGTACTGTAGTAGTGGAGATGAACACAGTCTAAAACATAATACGTGACGTGCATGGGCAGTGAAATGATTGTGTACCCCACATCAAGTGCTACCGCGTAGGTGTAAAGCTCTGCATCTAGTGACCGTAGAGGTCTGATATTGCTGAAGCTCAGTGGCCGAAAATAGCTCTGTCCTTGCAGTTCACTCTTTAATGGAAATACATTGAAGACATACGTATAGAATTATCGTGCGACTTCTATGTTCACTAAATTCCTAATGTACAATATGTACCAGAAATAACTACCGCGACAATTTGGACCTTTAAAAGTTGGATAAGTCCAAGTCAAAATCTTGTCTTCCTAACATAACATTAAATAAAGCCGACAATGAATACCTGAGCCTTGATCTACGCTAGGAGAGTGGAGTGATACTCATCCCTTGTGCTGTAAACGACATTTCTCATCTTGTCGACGACATCCCTTACACTTGAAATCTCTGATGCTAGTGTAAACAGATGGTTTCAACTAGATCCCTTGACAGCCGCTATCAGTTGTATCCCATGAACTAGATTGTAACAATGGGAGAATTCAGAAATCACAATGAGATGTGGAGAAGTGTGAAGACTTGACACAGTTATACTCAAACTTTGTGATCTCATAGACCTCTCACGCTCCTCAGACCTGATTGGGAAAGGCGATCTATTGCTACACTCGCATGTAACTAATAGATTTTTATTACCATTGAGATCTGGGGCTACTCCAGCTGCATCTTAGATTAACCGTTTACATTGACCATATGCTTTCTCTACGTTCCTCGTTCGTGAGGTCAAACCCAACATATTGAATCAGAAGTTGAAGGGTTCAAGACTTTTGGTGATAGTAGATCGGAGATAACCTGAGCCATGATTGCCCTGACTTTCCTTCTGCAGCTGACCCACTCGGCGTCCTCATCCACTCGCAAAGCCCTCTTGACAGGAGGAGAGTTTAAGAAATGTGCCAAAAACTCCTCCCCCTCCTGCACGCTCACAAACACGATCTTCAGTCATTCCACTCTCCACCCACAGCAAATGCCATACCTTCATCGAGTCGAGCTTGCAAGTGTAACGAACAAACTTCTCACCTGCGAATGATGATACTTGGTCGTTCTCCGAATATCCAGCAATGTTGCAACACCGCTGGTCTTCTCGATGTAGCTACATATCGCCGTCCTCCTCTCATGTGCTCTTAACCATTTGTCCCTGCAAGCGAGCATGCATATGCATGAGACTGAGTGCGAAGGCCGGGCTGACGTTGTTGTCACTTGCGCCCCTCTACTGAAGAATCAGACGCAGCTGGTGGCAATGGGCAGGAGAGCGGAAGAGAAACCTGTCAATAAGATCGACGACCTCTCTGGCCAATTTGTCAACGTGGGCTGTCTGGCGTTTGTCGAGCAGTCCGAAAGAGAAGGCCACCTCTCCATGGCACTGAACCTGCACCATGGAATGGACATGGAGTGTTTTGAGCTCGCTGTAGCGAACGGGTGTGGTGAAGCAAGCGGGCTATGGAGTAAGTGATAAATGATGGTTTTGTCTTATCATGTGAGATGGAATCTGACCTGGGTTCGGGGGTCTGTGAGTCCATTTCCGATGGCAATTCCTGCCAGCTGGTGTTTCAGAGTCCCAGCACCTGACCTGGATTGGTGCAAAATGTGATATGCTAAAGCAGGGACGTACTTGCCGGCGTAGCTCTCTCCCGCCAGGAACAATGGTCTTGTTTTGAAGGTCGGATTTTCCTCGAGAAAACTCAGGAGGGCAAACTCCAGGTGTTTGGCAACTCGTTCCTGATCTGTTGGAATATCCATATCTGATTCGGCCACACTGAATCCGGTGCCAACAGGACTGTCCACGAACAAAAGTCCACACCTGCCATGACATGAAGCAGATATCCAATCAGACATTTTATATTTAAAAGTGTAAGGTGTCCCAGACTGACGAGCAGATCTCAGCAAGAAGAGGAGCCCAGTTTGTCAGCACACGCGCACCATCGGCGAAAGTGGGCATGACGTCAGGGTCTGTCATGATGAATGTCATGGATCTTTAATGGATATGTGCTCGTCAATGTGAATATGATCAATCATTCCAATTAACGTCACGGAGAATTCCAGATGCACACTTCATAGTTGGAAGTTTCATTGATTATATTGTTTGGACTGTTTGTTTTTATCTCGTCCAATTCTCTCAAGACTACATGTTGATTGAATTAGCAGTCCAGATGCTTTGATGTCAGATAAGAAGCGCCAGTAGGGGAACAATGCGCCAGCATACGACATTCGTACGCTATTTGTATTATGAAAGGGTTCCAGAGTTTTCGGCTGAACGTTTGCTCATACTTGCGATTCCATGCGAAAGAATTCGGACGAAGGATGCCATCTTCTGCAACCACCCAGGGGCCGAGCTCATAGAAACAGCCAATGAGACTTGAGCAACCGGGACCACCATTCAGCCAGAGCATAAGTGGGGTATCACTCCTGGCTGCGGGGCTGTTGGAAGCTTCATAATATACATAGTATACTCGAGATCCAGTTGTTCTATCAACGGGTAAGTAGCCTGATAGTGTCGGAAGCGCTTCTTTGATGAAGTGAAAAGGAAGCGGAGCAAGCTCATGGTCCTGTTCCTGCATGTCATAACCCAGTCTTAAGAGATCTGAGCTTGCGGAACAGGAACATTCTCTAAACCATATTCTTGAGAAATCAGGTTCTGAGAATCATATTTGTGTATGACTTCGCCATCTTTTGCCCACAGGTCAAGCCTGATTCAAATCAATGCAGTTGCTAAACCTTTTCTCACCAAAGCTCCCAATTTCTTTAGCTTCTTTTGATGGGGCTCTTGTTTCTGGTTTCATGATATTGATTTGCCGACACCATAATTCCTTTGAATTTTCTACCAATTCTTTGCTTGATCAGAAATGTGTTGACCTCAAATTAATCGGACCATGGTTCTGGTGTAGGTAAATATACCTGACACCAAACGTGAGCTCTGTGGTCCAGACTACACCACTTGAATCACAAGCTGTTTATCATGGATTTCATGCATCATGATCTGGGTAGCTTTCGATCAGATTGACTACCAGTGTAGTTGGGTAATAGCAACTAGGGAAGTGTCGTGAGTACGTGGATAGAACCTTACGCGTCGTACTGGAGATTCATCGGCCCCACCGTCGGTTCGATCTATGAAGTATGCCATCTATGACCTCAGTTTGGCCACGGTGACCCAGGTTTGACTCTCGATAAACTGATGGCAGCTGAAAAAACGAATCATGCAAATATTATGCAAATTAGTCAAGCTCATTGATTCCTCCGTAATCATGGGCTTGAAACAAGGCACTGAATGGTTCAAAGCCTGAACCGAAGAGTTCACATTTCATACAAATTTTTACTGTCTGCACTTCAACAGAGTTTCAGCTAAGTCGGTAGTCCATGTCGTGGGATGAGACAAGCATCACGATTAAAGTACAACGTACTTTATTCACACTCGGACCTGATACTACCTACTGCAGATATGACCATCTGGTACTGGTGTAACTCATATGAAATGTACTTTTGTGTGTGGCATGAGCAGACTGCGTTGATGAATCGGTTTCTTGTAGCAAATGAAGTGAGAGCTGATAGTGAAGAAGAGCTCAGCTGATATAACCGTCTGGTCTCGAGGTCCACTGGCCCAACAGAGGAAGTTGGGGTATTCTATGGAATAGCGGTGAGGAAGAGTCACGTACTGCTGTGGCTTGGCGTTTGATCTGAGTGGACAATGGTTGCATATTCGCGAGGCTCTTGGACCAGACTTCTCCGCCGAGTTGAAGTATTGGTGAGATGGATGGGTCAAGAGTCTTCAGGTGGCAACCGCAAGGACCTGATGGCGAGACAGCATTGTTGCACGATTGGACGAAAGCTGGAAGAACTGGGTTCACTCCGCGTGCCACGTCCTGCATCTCTCTGTGGAAATGTGCTCGTCCCCTCAGCTCATGCAAATCCAGGTACATGGAGACGTCTCAAGTGCACTTTCGAGAAATTTTATCTCCTACACGCATTGTTCTCGAGGCAATCGATTTCAGCTTACATACAACGTGCACTGTCACATCCGTGCCCGTCTGAATGTGCTCTAAACTCTTCTTTGATTGCAACAGAGAATTGGAACTCATGGTGGATTTCAGCTCTTCCACAGTGCCTAGACAGCAGGGAGCTTGGATCATCTGACCTACGAGGACTGGGTCCGCTAACTAACCCAAACCTTCTCTCTTGGACAGCTCCATTAATCTGGAGTTCACTGAATAACCAAGTCATCAGCCCTATGAGCTCCGCTTTCTGACACTAAGTCAGTGCGCGATGCGGAGGAACAAATCAACGAATTTCGCGCTTGGGGCATATGCTTGCCATCGAAGAATCCTCGCTAGTTTTCTGTATATTAAAGCCAGAACAAATTCGTGCAGCGTTCGAGCTCGTGATTCAGCTTTTCCACCACCCGCATCAAATGTGTCCGAGGCTTACAGTTCTCTGATGTTCTCATGGCGTTCTCTGGAAATTACGAGACCTAGAAGCTCTGATTGCTAGATTACGACATTATAAAAAGTAGGGTTTGCCTGAGATATTCACCGGGCATTTTGCAGTTCATGGGCAGTCAACCGACAAGTGTTCTGGTGGAGGTGCGGCGGCGGTGGATCACAAATACCGAAAATTGATGCGATTCCGGACAGGGGACCTGCGAGGAACAAGAGGACGATGAGGGCACGTGAGCAGAGAAGACGAGCCGAAGAGTGGAAGTGAGGTGACAGAGGATCAGAAACAATGAAGCTGGTGTTTGAGCCAGGCGAAAACTTTGATCGACCAGCCGCAGAAAAGGACGACATACAGAGCACCAAGCATGAGTTGCAGCGAAAAAATCATCAGATCGATTGGACGAACTACTTCCCCGTTTCCGCCCGTCGATGTTTCGCCGTGCTCCCCTCGCACAAATCATCCATTGCGGCTCAATTCCGCGGTCATCTGCTCCATCCGCCTCCTAAAGCGACCACCGTCGCCATCCCGATCCCCTCACTCCCCTCTCCTCCCCCGTGCCCTTCCCGTGAGTCCAACATGGAGTCCATACGACGTGCCCTTCCCATCCGAAACGCTCTGCTCGTCCTCTTCCCTTCGATCGTCCGCAACCTTCAGCAGCGACATTCCGATGGCTGCCCATTTGGCGTCCGCGGCAGCGACAGTGGAAGTCCACCTCGCCCGCCCTTCCTAAATCCTCTGATGGGTTTCCACACGACGCCTCGCGGGAGCATTGCAGTGACAGTGGCAGTGGCAGTGGCAGTGATGGCCTCAGTGCGAACGCTCGCGATCGTGTGACGGCGTTGACGTCACGAGTCCCCCGCCACCATGATTATCGGCGTTGCAGCGCGACGGGTAGCATCTCAGGTCGACGAAAGATGACATTTTCGGTGACGAGCAGAGCACATATGCATCGACGGGGCATTCGTTCGTTCGGCAATATTATCATCGATCGTCCTGGACAGACCGACAGAGGTTCCATGAGAAGGGTGCTCGGCAGGGGTTTAATTTCCAGTGGAAGGTGGAGGGCAGGGAGCGCGAGATTGAGTGAGAGATTTTGATGTGATACTGACCTGCTTCGTGTGCCCGAGCGGCCTCGTTCTAACGGAGGCTGGGGGCAGTCGGGCGACGAGGCCACGAGCGCGAGGAGCATGTCTGGTACGATTAGGTTCTGCCAAGAAACTGGTCATTCGTGCGCCTCTTCTATCGGAGCGCAACCTTTGAGCCTCGTTCTCGACAGCCGCATACATCGGAGAGCAATGCCGGCCGTGGCTCACCGGGGCAGAAGCGAGGGCAGCAGTCGTCGGGGAGAGCGAGCCCGGTGCTTGAAGAATGTCCCAACCTGCGACCTCGATCACCACCTCCCGAATCAAGAGGCTCGCTCGTACCGCCGAGGATTCGATCGTTCTGATCCCGTTCTCCGACGAGTCACAGCCAATCGTGATCCACTGATCCGCTGATCCAAGACCGCGATGAGTCTCCCGTCGTGCTCATTCCGCGACTCCGCCGAAGCGCAGTGGGCATGATCACGCCGAGCAACTCGCGCAGATCTGCCGAGGACCTCGATGCGTCTTCTTCTTCCGCCTCCGTTAGCGGACACGGAGAAGGCTCACGGCCAGCAGCAGCAGAAGCAGAAGCAGCAGAAGAGGACCCGGGGCCGATTATGGACGCGGAGGTGTGGGGCGGAAGGCACATTCCGGAGGAGGTGGTGCACACGATTCTGGCCTGGCTGCCGCCGCGCAGCTACTGCAGGCTGCGGGCGGTGTGCAGGAGCTGGAACGAGTCGGCGCAAAGCGCCGGGTTCGGGACGATCTGCCGGCGCATCCCAGCGCCGGCCCCGTTCTGGGTCGTCTTCGCCTGCGGCGGCCCTCTGGTGTACGACACGACGCACGGCGCCTGGCACGTGGCCGCGTCCTTCCTGTCCTACGACTGCTTCGCGGGGGAGGCCGAGGCCATCCTGGAGGCGGCGGGCAGCCTGCTGTTCTACCGGAACTTCGACCCGCAGGACCGGCTCATGGTGGTGTTCAACCCCATGAGCAAGCGCCGCACGAGGCTGCCCGCCCTGCCGCCGGGCACGGACGTCTGCCCGGCCATGGGCATCGTCCTGGACCGGGCCGCGGCGTCGTACACAATCTACGCCGTGGCCCCGCGGTTCCGCAGCCGCGAGCTGCTGACTCTGCAGCTGTTCGACTCGACCCGCGGCCGCTGGGAGCCGAGCGGGAGCCTGCTGCGCGACCCCGAGGACCCGCGCGACGAGCGGCACGAGGTTCTGAGCTCCGCCTGCTGCCACGGCGGCCTCTACTTCCTGACCGAGCGGCTGCCGGACGAGTTCGAGCCCGACGAGCCCCCGCGCCGGCCGTTCCAGGTGTTCCGCGCCGGGCCCGCGACTTGGGACGAGGTTCCGGCCCTCCTGCCCGCCGGGCTCTCGTTCCCAAAGCTGTTCGAGAACCGCGGCCGCTTGCTGCTGGGCGCGGGCACCGCCGGTCGCCGGCCCTCGGGGCTCCTGAGCGTGCGCGTGTGGCAGCTGCTGGACCGGGCCCTGGAATGGGTGGAGATTCTGCGCATGCCGGACGAGCTGGTCCCCCGCGTCGCTGCGGGCTTCCCCGTTTTCGCCCTGGTCGCCAACGGAGATTTCATCGGTGTGGGATCCGGGCAGCAGAGGAAGATTGTGCGCTACATGTGTGACTTGACGAAAGGCTCCTGGTGGGCACTACCGTCCGAGTACCAGCACGTTGCTCTCCATCACCTCGAGGGCCTGACGAGCTCCGGCACGCTGCTGTTCGAGCCCAGGCTCGATACCGCCTTCTGATCCGTATCTGTCTGATCCGTTCGTCGAACCGATGTCGCCCTCCTCCGTCAGCGAGTACGGATTTGAGAATCTCGTTTCTGCGATGCCGTTCGTGCGGGCCCGCACGAGCTTCTGGGAGGACTCTCGAGGTCGCCGGGATGGTTGGAGTTGCAGCATCAGATTCACGTTTTTTTGAAGCGCTTGCGAGCTCCCTTTGCCCCGGGGCACGAAAGTCGACCGTCGTAAAACAGGCCTGGGTCATCGGCGGGAGACATATTGAGTTCCGGCAAGCTTTTCCATAGCTCTGAGCTAGTGGTTCCTCGACTGCAGCTCATCACTCCTCACCAGGGTAGGATATAGCAGACGTGCATGTCCGGTCAGCCCCCCCTGAAATTCCTCGTAGCGTTTCGTGCACGGGGTGCTGGAGTGAACTGGGGAGCCGGGGTCTTTTCACTCTCACTCAGTCACTTTCCCGAGCGTGTTCTTTCTTCCTCCAGTGAACTGAACTCCATGGAAAGGGTCGCTTCCGACGGCCTCTAAGATGGAGCTGTCGTCGGCTGGCTACATGGTGTAAGGTCCCACCCTCCGCAAGTCACCTGACGCTGGGGCCATATTCAGTGATATCCTTCGACTCCACCCAGGGAAAGCGGCCCAACGCTCCAGTAGGATATAATTGTTTGTAGAGCTTCGTCTGATCAATATCTGGAATTGGGCTCAACAAAATATACTCTACACAAGGTTGGGAGCTTTTCTGGATGTTTTGAATAATTTAGAGTCCTTTTCGACGTCAATACTTGTAAAGCTGCACGACACATTTCCAGGCTTTCCAGTTAGAGCACGAGGACAATGTGGATCTCGCTCGTGCAGCTGTCCGGTACCTGTAGTTGTGCAGGTTTCCATCATTCAAAATTACCGTTTCCAGGCTCTGTATGTTGAGCAACCTGCATATTAAGAATGTTCAAGCCCTCGATCAGCAAATGCACGTTACGTTCTTACTTTTATCTCGCATGTCGTTGATCACTGTGCATCTATAAACTGATTTGGGAGAAATCATCGTCCAGTTACTTCGCGTCTACATTTACTTAGCAGCAATCTTTAGAGTTGCATAGACTACATTCATTATTTGCATAACTCTGCTATTTTTGTGGAGTTAAATCTGGATCTGCTCCCGAGAAGATACAGGAAACGAGATTCAACTCACGTACGGCTGCTTCTTGATGAAAAGATGTCCGGATACATTCCATCGCTCAACTGTTACATGATCTGAAAAACGTGCCATTTGCACTCTGTCCCATTACAGGAACTACTGGTCAACTCTCCGAAGACGTTCTTCGGAATCTCCAGGCTTCATTTGAAGCTCGATGAGCTGCATGCCCCGTGTAATCATTTCCGCGCAGAATGTGGAGACGCCATCCTCAGAACTCGTCAAAGTATGGCGTCTGAGCACAAACTTCACAGACAACTTGTCACACTATTGTACTGTCGGGGTTACTACAAGTCAAGCTGTGCGACGCAGTACGGTAAATTACGTAATTTAAGCATCCGAGAAGTGGTGGTCTCATGTAGTGGTATGCAATCACTATTTACCGTCCTCTGCAAAAGAAGATACGCACGCGCACTGTGCCTCCCAACTTCGAGACAATGCTTGGCGATTACAGTGTGAGCTCGTTCCACAGCCAGCGCCTTCTACTTCACATAGAAAACTTGCCAATGTGCGCCAAAGGGCCCGGAGCTCCAGGCCCTTTGGCGCAAATTTCTGAAATTTAATGACAACTGGGTCACTTTTATAACCATCGCCATGCTTATCGGCATCTGCATTCCACTTTTAGCTCATAGCTACAATTAGTGTTATCCTCGTCATTTGTATCAGAGCTTGTCCGTGCTTCGAGTGACATCTACTCTCAGCTGCTGCACCTGAGTACAGCATCTGGTTAATGGCTATCCTCACCCGTCCATCGGAGTCCAACAGTCCACATACTGGAATTCCTTTTTTTCTTCTGTCAAAGCCTTGCGCGAGCCCATTCAAGAGGAAGTGGGCCACGGAGCTTACAATTTATTAAGTCGATACGATTCAAAAGGCAGGCTCGACGTACGTAGATGCCAATGGCCAGTGGCTCTCACTCTCCACTTCTGATTCGAGTTACAGTACGTCACACCACCGAGCGCACTGGTATGGTCAAACAGCACTCTGAGACTTCAAAAAGCTCATGCAAGGTTGGTGCTGCCAAGCCGAGAGATTAGCAAATTGTCCCGTACGTCATCACCCGTAACTTCACTAGCCGGAGCCACAGGCTTTTCTTGTCTGAGCCTGGTGAAAAGTCATCAGTGGATCGGAATGATTCTTTTCTTCGAGTATCGGGCTGACAAACAGTTGTCGCGTTTCCACATTTCCATGCAAGAACTTTACAATTCATTTAGTTTGTTCTCATGCAGAGGCGGATACGCATTCAGATCTACGTTTACTTTCTGAATGCATGTACACCTCGGGAGAGAAACCCGTCGTGCCACGGGATATGTAACTGGAAGAGGGGACAAAATTTATGAACAAATAAGAAGTGTCTAAATTACCTCATCAATACATCAGTGAGGTGCAATTCCGAATGCCGATGACATGGCATCGGCATGGCTTGCTGGGTTGAGGTATGTGGCCTGCCAGTGCAAGTTCGTGGGCTTCAGTTGACATCGTAATTTATTTATACACGAAATTTGTCGTTTTGAGCCCCCTGTGAGATGCTCGCTCAGCCGCCGCGAGGTCTGGAACGTCGGCAGCGGGGCAAGGGGTCAGCACCTCGTATGAAGGAGAGATGTCGTCGCCCTGGCGAATACCGACGCCGTAAGCCGTCGTCCGGGGTACGGTGTAGTGAGGATAGCTCAGCCTTCCCGACGAGGCGTCCGTCGTCACATCACACTCGGAGAGGGTCGAGTCTCGAGGCCCTTCCCTCGCTGAACGAGAGTGGCCAGAGTGCCACGGAAATTTCCTCCGAGTTGCGGCCAATATCGAGGCCAATCGAGGCCTCCCATCTGGACCTCGTTTGTCCTCGACGATCGACACGCTTCTCTAAATCCAGCGCTCTTCTAAAAACGAACCCCTCAACTCTCCGACTGCTGCTCTCCATCGAAGAGATTCTATTGCAGAACGGGGATCGATAGCACTCGTGCTTCATCCAGGGGGGATGAACCTGCAGATTACTAATGCCACGAGTCTGATCTGCCTTGAGATTCAGCGCGGGCGTGAAGCGAAAAGGAGACTGGCGAGCACTGATTCCGGCCGTGGGACCCAGTTTCGTAGGGGTACAAACATCGCCAGGAAGGAGGAGAGCCATGGCGGAATGCGCGGAGGGATTCGGACGAGGTGTCTCCCAACAACGCTCGGGCCGTCGCTGCTTATCCTCCTGACCTCCAACATTCCCCCAAAAATAGATGAATCTCCTGAGGGCTGGACTCGCCCCGGCCCCATGCGCGACATCCGCAGGCCCGGACTGGGCCCCATGTTTTGGCTGCGGCCCGATCCATAGATCGACAGAGCTCGTTCCGTGGCACGGTTGACCGGGGATCAGAACCCTCGCCGGTACAACGACAGCAGCACCCCGAGCTCATGAAAAGCGCAGCTTGTCAACTCTCGCTCGCTAGCTCGCGTGGTGCAAGCCGGGCACGTGCCCTCGGGGTGAAATTATGCCTCGTTCGTTCGCGGCTGGGCACTGGAATTCAGCACGCAATTGGGAGCTGTATAAATGACGACGGGGAGTGCGGCTCGAGGGAGGGAGCTCGCAGTCGTCGTGGTGCATCATCGGCTTCCGACCGAGGAGGAGGACGACGATACCGCCGCTCTGCTGTCTGCTCGTCGCCAGTGGCTCTAGAGCCCGTGCGGGTGGAGCACTGCTGGCGACATCGACCTCGACCTCGGCCTCGGAGGTAGATTGGGAACCCGCGTCGGCTGCCCAGTCGGTGCGTGCTCGAGGAATTTCGTAGATATGGTGGAGCTCGGATGGGAGGCTGGGGTGGTGATCGCCACCCTGGTCTCCGGGCTGGTCGTCATGGCCGGTGACTGGATTGGACCCGACTTCGTCTTCGCGGTGATGGTCAGCTTCTTGGCTGCGTGTCGGATCATCACCATCGACGAGGCGGTCGAGGGATTTTCTCAGCCGGGACTTCTCACTGTGGTCATCCTCTTCGTCGTAGCCGAGGGGATCAGTCAAACTGGAGGTAAGGAGCTCGGCCTCTAGCTCTCCCAGCCCTTTCGGAATTGTAGAACCTTTGGCTCTTTAGATTATTAGCTCAGCGTAGATATTGGATTCAGGACCTCCACTGCTCGTTTGGCGAGGTTCCTGCATTTTGCGCGACGGACTGACGTTTTGGCTGCCGCCATCGATGGATGCTTTGCAGGAATGGAGAAGGCGCTGAATCTGTTCCTGGGCAAAACGCGCTCTCCGTTCTGGGCCATCACGAGGATGTTCATCCCCGTGACGATCGTGTCGGGAGTTTTGAATAACACCCCAATCGTCGCGCTGCTCATTCCGATTATGATCGCATGGGGCCGCCGGAATGGCATCTCCATCAAGAAGCTGCTCATCCCTCTGAGCTACGCCGCTGTGTTCGGAGGCACTCTGACTCTGATCGGGACGTCCACCAATCTGGTCGTGGCAAGTGAGTTCCTTTCGTCGCCGTGTGCACCGAACTCTCGCTTGTGTAGACTCTCACTCGCGTCGTAATTCCCTGACAGCCGACGCCTGCACATTCACCAGCACGAGGGCCTCGAGGTCGAGCACCGAGGGGAAGAATGTCTTCCGAAAGGGGTTTTTGAGCGACTTTTCTCGTTTTCTGCGCAGGTCTGCAAGCGAAGCGGTACGAGCAGTCTGACCCAGGGAATTCGTCCTTCGGGTTCTTCACGATCACTCCGTATGGCACAATTTACGCCATCTTTGGGTTCATGTACACCACGCTCGCGTCCCTCTGGTTCCTACCGAACGACGACACCACCCGCCACTCGGATTTGCTGTTCGTCGCTAAAGTGCCATCCTCGTCTCCCGTGATCGGCAAGTCCATCAGAGACGGCGGATTCACGGGCATGGAGCGGTTCGTCCTCCTGGCAGTCGAGCGCAATGTTAGACTTCCTCCAGCCTTCACAGTCCTCTGCGATTCTCAGTTCCGGAAACCTCTTTGCTGACTGATTCTCCTCTTCGGCTGCTTCGATGGCGTCGTGATGGTTTTTCTATCGAATCTCTACTCGTGAAGAGGAAATAAAGTTTACAGATGAAATTTGTATTTTGTAAGGTTCGGAATTGGGCATTCGGGTGATGGAGATCTGACCGACTTGTATTGCTTTGGTCCAGGGACATGTGACCCATTACGGACGTGTGAGTCCAGAGTTTCGTCTCGAGGCCGAGGACCAGCTGCACTTCTGCGGCGAGCTGGAACAAGCGAAACTCTATGCGAAGCACTTCGGATTAGAGCTGCTTACGCACGAGGGCGAGGGCAAGTCCGAGCTCAAATTCGACGACCGCCTCGACGCTTCGCAGCTGGAACGAGGGGAAGATTTAGCCAAATTCTATGTGATCAGGTATCTCGTGCAGGTAAGATTTGTTCCTAATTGAATCCGACACTTCTGTGTCTTGACCGCCGTCGAAAATCAGCTCAAATGGAATTTAGCTCAAAAAATGATCAGGATGTGAAATGCTGGTCGTGTGTGCAATTTAGCGAGGGCATGCAATCTCTGACGTTGCTGTGAACTGGCGAGAGTGGAGTGACATTGATGCCGGCAAGCCTGTCATGTGCAGGCCACTGTTAAGAAAGGCTCGGACATTGTGGGCTCGAGTATCCGCGATCTCAACTTCCGTTCTCGCTTCAACGCAGCTGTCCTGGCCGTGAAACGAGGGCCCAACCATCATCCAGGTCGCCTCGGTGATGTGGTGGTGGAAGCTGGTGATATTTTCGTCATCCTTGCAGGTGGGGGGCTTCTAACTCCACAACTCAGGATGTGTTGAAAAACTGAAATTCGATGATCTTCTTCGTTTACAAGTGGAGGCTGGCAAGGACTGGCTGGATTCTGGTTGCTTGATTCTTCCGCCCTGAGCGAGAAAATTGATGAATCGTGTGATGAACTCCTCGTGGTTTGCAGCGAACAAGGCAGCCGTCGAGTCCCAGGGTTTCAAAGACACGTTCAAAGACATTGAGCTTCTCGATGAGGCCATGGAGAAGGAGTACTTGACAGGTACCTTCAATGATTCGCACGACTTTCTATGATTACATCAATCTCGCCGTACGCAGAGAATGATGGTGGATGGATGGGTCACCGCCTTAGCCAGCCAAGCCAGCTTCGGAGGCCTGGCTAAAATCAGCCCTCCAGTAGGCCACGATGGCGAAGTCCATGGCCAGATTCAATACTTGTGAAAAAACCTGGTGCGGCAGGCATGCACAAACGTTTCGCTGCGGTCATTCTGTGGTTATGCGTCTAGAAAAGCTTCATGATTCAGTTCTTTACATGAGAATCTGAAGAATTCGGGACCGAAAATGAGATGATATGAACATGTGGATGTACGAAGTTACTCGCATATTGGTCTAGGGAAATTTTAAGATTCTCTGTCGGCGTAACCTCGTGAGGCAAGTCGTCGATGCGTTTTCTCGTCGTGGAGATTAAGAAGGCACGTGGATTGATTTTTTGCTGCGTAGAGCACTTTTCTGTCATATCTTCAGCTTGGTGGTCTTCCCATTGGGTATAGCCTGACCCAGGGGAGACGGAGGATATCCTTGAACGCTCTGAAATCTCAGAGGGCCTCGGCATTGGCATTGAACGCTGCAGGTAAGCAGGGGCTCATCAGCTTGGTTTATTTTGTTTCAAATTTTTTTGCAGGAATGAAGGTGACGAGCGCATTCTCAGGGATTGGCAAGAGCGTCCACGCTGCTGGATTACGCGGCATCAATGGTCTCTACCTCGTTGGAATCGACAGGGCCGATGGTGAAGAGCTCCGGGTGGTGCACCCCGACACAATCGTTGCTGTGAGTGAATGCCGAAACATACTGAGCATTTGACCTTGTCCTGGGATTCTCTACTCGGGTCCTTGAGCGTCCTCGCCTCGTACTAACGCACAAAAGGAATTAAAATCGTTAAGTTAGGATTGATCGCATGGTCAACGCGGAGTTCATGTAGGCCTCAGCTTTCCTCCCACTGCGGATCTTGCCTGTTGAACACCATGTCCCAGTGTTGGTAATGATTGTTTCGCTACAGCTAGCAGAAAATGTGTAGATGCTTTTTCTCTCGACGACATAAACAAATCTTAGACTCGATGGTGCACATGGTAAGATAGTGTGTGTGCGTGCGCAGCTGGACGATATTCTTTGGTTTGCAGGAGGAGTTGCTGGCGTTTACTACCTTCTGAAAATCGGAGGTCTCGAACACACGCAGGCAACACAAGTGTCTAAGTTGAAGACAGACATTTTGTATCGGCAGCTGGTGAAGGTACGAGTTGCACTGACCATCTGAAGCGACGTCTCCATTTGTCTGACGAAGCGACGTCTCGTGGATTGGCAAGCGTATCATCTGTGCAAATTGTCTAGACTCTTCTCTTCTCTGCACCAGTTTCACATAGCAGTGACCTCGAACTAACAGGAAGCAGTATTAAATCTTCTTGCGCAGGTATCAATCGCGTATGACAGCGATCTCGTGGGGAACACAGTTCGTGAATCTCATTTTCGTAACAGATACGATGCGGTTGTGCTTGCCATTCACCGAGAGGTAATAACTAATGCAGCCTGCCCCTGAATTTACGTCTCAAAGTTAGATCTGGCAGCTATGGGAGCTGCGAGTGCTGTGGACGGTTCAAAGAGTTCCGTCTACGGATTCTCAGCTCTAGTGAACATTGTTTAGCCAGTTGAGAGACTGTAACAGGACAGTGTTTGAAAATAAGAAAGGAGAATGTTTCATGTTGGCTATGATTCAGGGACATCGTGTGGCCGCTGATGTCCGGGATGTGAAGCTGAGGGCAGGAGATGTGCTGCTTTTGGACACCGGTTCAAGTTTCGAGCACCGTCATAGGAATGATATTGCTTTCTCTTTGATCACCACTGTCCCCGACACTTCGCCGGTGAAAACCCGTCGCATGTGGTGGGCTCTTTTCCTCGGATTCGTCATGATTATGACACAGGTAAGATTCCACTGCCAGATCAATGAACGTGTATCATACATGGGAGAGTCATACATGGCCGTCAGTCTGAATCGGTATACATGAAACTTCGAGACAGAGTGATTGACATTCTTCCGTCAATGTTGTGGATGCAGTTTGTGGGAGGCGCTCTGGATGAGGCAAACGTGGTGGATCAGGAGCTGATAGACCTCTTCCTGGCGGGCGTCCTGACCGCAGGAATCATGTTAGCGACAGGCTGTTTCAATGGTCAGCAAGCTCGGAGCAGCATCGACTGGAGCGTGTATGTCACGATCGCCTTCGCCTTTGGATTTAGTAACGCGATGGAGAAATCTGGAGTGGCGGGCGCTATTGCAGAAGTCTTCATTACCATCAGTAAGCATCGAATTTACCGAGAAAATGCTACATCATCCACTTCTAGAGTCTCGATGAATATATTCTGACCTGTTCTGTTCGCAGATCCCTTATTGAACGATTCCTATCTAATATATGAAGGGCATTTCGTCGATTTCCAGGTGAAGCCATAGGAAGTAAGAAGGCTTCCTATGTGGCAATTTATATCGCCACTGCCTTGATGTCTGAGCTCGTCAGCAACAACGCGGCTGCTGCGATAATGTATCCCATTGCCGCACAATTGGGTGATGCATTGGGTGTGAAACCTTCGAGGATGAGCGTGGTCGTCATGCTCGGTGCTTCAGCTGGGTTCACGCTTCCCTACAGCTATCAGACGAATCTCATGGTTTTTGCCGGTGAGCATAATAGGCCCATGTGGAAGTCACAGTGCCAGCTCTGCAAGCTTTGCTTTTATTTTTGCATGATCAGAGACTTGCTGCCATTGCTCTCCGTGTCGAATTCGATCTACATTTCAGCACGCTTTAACGTGGTAACTCTTGCTGTCTCTGTTGTGTCACAGCTGGAGGCTATCGGTTTCTCGAGTTTGCGAAAATTGGGTTCCCTTGTCAGTTGTTCATGATCGTGGCCGTCCTGTTCATTTTCTTGCTAGAGGAACATATGGGTTTGGCTGTAGGCATTTCATTCGCAATGATGGCGGCCATGCTGGCTGGCCCCCTCGTCTGGGCGACCTTATCCCCAACAAAGAGAGAAAAATTCATTCCTGCTCGATTCAGGAAGGCGAAGTTGAAGATAGATGCCACCTCAAGATCCTACGACGAGCTTAGTCTGGTCTCCACTTGAAACTATCCTGCAATTCCCACTTTTTCATCTCACACAAACCGCCAGGACTATTCACAGATAGATTGTGGGATCGTCTGATGTCTGCAACCTCATGTCCGAACTGTCATTCAAGATCAGTCGTCGATGCACAGCCTTACTCCAACCCTACTCGTAGCATATGCCTGAATGAGGCATGGATGCACCGTGCAGAACATGCGAACTGTATAGGCAGTTGTCACGTCGTCTGGGGAGCACAGTTGGCCATCACTTCTCGTCACATTAGACCTCGATCAGATGTATTTCCAAACTTTAACGAGGTGGTGGACAATCAAGATGAACGATGTCGGACATGTGGACGGTGCCTGTAGATTGATTTCAGCAAGAGTTTAGAACTCCTTCAAGATTTCGTGGTTGAAACCCGTGTCTTGGAGACATTCACTAGTGACATCAACACGCGAAGAGGGTAGGTAGTAGTGATGCAAACATTTGAACTGCCCTCAGGTAAGACTATCTCTCCATGTAGAGATTGGCTGGCGGTAATACTTGCTTACCATAATTTTGTACAGAGTCACTCAGTTCAGATGGAACCGATTTGTGAATATGTACAATTGCAACGGGACTTTCAGTTTGACGAATAGTTGCGTAACCTCCGAACGTCATTGACATTGTTTGTGTGAAATATTCATCTTGAAACTGTAGCATAGGAAATGGGAATTTCACGTTCAAAATGTGGTAACTTTTATACTTAAAACCTGAGAAATGATTGCTTTCGTCTAAACCACATCTCGTCCTATTAAATCTTTTCAACCTTTACCTGAATGGGTCGACCAGTGGAGAGATCGTAAGTTTATTGAAATAGAGCAGACGGACTGGCCAAACTTGCAACAGACAAAAACGCTTTTGCGTTGTTCCTCCTATGAGTTGAAAGAGCTGTAACGTAAGAAAGGTCGGTCTTCAGTATTCTCGTGCAACCTCTCAAGAGCATACTTTGAAGAAATTTAGCACACGCTAAAAAATGTTGCCACCTTCAGTCGCCGGGATAGTTGAGGTGTTCCATGCACCTCGGAAGCGAAGCGTTTGGGCTTATAACTGCAGGAAACCGGCAGTAATCTACAGAAGTTACGCCTAGTTCTGGTAATTCTGATTAGAGACGATAAGTGATAATACTCTCTCTTGTGCTTAAAGCTTCATGGTCGTATCATTCTCGTGCAACCTCTCAAGAGCATACTTTGAAGAAATTTAGCACAAGCTAAAAAATGTTGCCACCTTCAGTCGCCAGGATAGTTGAGGTGTTCCATGCACCTCGGAAGCGAAGCGTTTGGGCTTATAACTGCAGGAAACCGGCAGTAATCTACAGAAGTTACGCCTAGTTCTGGTAATTCTGATTAGAGACGATAAGTGATAATACTCTCTCTTGTGCTTAAAGCTTCATGGTCGTATCAACAGCAGCCAATATGTCAAAGATTCATCGACAGGAAACTCTTAAAAATGATCTCTACGTCCTCTCTCTCTCTCTCTCTAGGTTGATCTCTACCTTATGACAGGCAGGATGATGGGCACATGGCGTCTTCTTTGCAATGAATCAGTCTCATGTCCAATCTACGTCTCCGTTCGAGTTCCACGATACGATGGTCGAAACCTGCTACTGGTAGTCGATCGTGATGCATGCATTTTTCGGTCTATTAGTTCTAGATAAGCCATCCTGACATTCACACTCTCCTTGCTAAACAAGACTTCAAGGCGTTCACTGGAACTGACTCCTCGTGAGCGATGCTCACGCATTGCCAGGGATTTCTTTGCAAGGGCTTGACATTTCAGCACACTGGTGATGGCCTGGACTTCTTGTCACAAATGGAGCTCCATACTATCATCTCGTCTCATTCTCACCGATCTGGCTGATCAACATCAAGATCCATGTCTCCCTGTATCGAAGAAAAGCTTTTCTACACCAACAAGTAGGGATTGCTAGTACGTCCAAAATGTAATAAAGTGAGTGCTAACACTTGCCAGTCATCTTGACCCTAAAAATCTTCAAAGGTGTATGCATGTAGTCAAATGTTGAGATGATTTTAGTATTCTAAAATGAAAACACTACAGTTTATCGAAGTCAATCCAACCATCAGTGTAAAATGAAGAAACATGAATCATTAAACTAGACATATCAAACGCCACTAAACAGCCTACCTTGTACATAATACCTTATTTAGCACCAGATTGCTCACTCTGCCACTCCACATTTCACCTGGATACATGACTTTGTCTAGTTAATCCATCAGAGGGCTTTGGATTGTCTACCACAACAAAGAACGGGGTCACGTAGCACCTATGCTCAAGCGAGAACTCATCCAGTCAATACTATAATGAAAGAAGATAGATTTCAAAACTTTTAGAAATCAGCATAAAACTTCACAAAAAAGCATGCATAATCAGCCATATGCCCGTGACTCAATCAAATATTATAGATTCTGAAACTTGGTACAAAACTCCACACTCGAACCTTTTAACAGAAAAATATTCGCATAGTATTAATCGAATTTACAGAATGCAACGACTGATACGTGCAAGATGCCATAGAAACCAAACAAGCTAAATGCGATCCAGTCATACAGTACCTAAGATAAGAAGGCTAGAATGGCGAAAGATTGGTTGTCATCACAGAATGGTCAAGGGACTGTACATCCACAAGTTAATTACCGTACAAAGAAACATAAATGTCTGTTTCAAACAAACACAGAACAATTTATCCAACGTACACATCATAGCTCCTCTCTATGCAGCCAAATTAATCACCACAGAAAAATGACTTGCACCTTCTGGAACCAATAATCTTTCGCATGTCTTTTATTGTTGAATAAAAGTAAAATTGAATGCCTGAAGTTTTATTTGAAGTTTTATTCGAAGTTTTTAAGAGCATTCCCATCGAGCAGAAGAAAAGACCGTAATCAACTCAACCTTGTGGCATTGAGACACAATTGGCCGATGAGATATGTTGCCACATTCTCCTAAAAAAAGTACATTTGGCAATGTAACATGACTTCGGATGATTTCAGTTTTCAAATGATTTCTTTGCTGCTTACATTAAATCTCAGCTTGGGATGAAGAGAAAGTTGTACTTCAAAGCATTAGAGACGTGGACGCATACCTGTTCGTGATTTGTAAGGCGTTAGAACCTCCATGAGCGTAAGGTGAGCATGATATCCCATGCACATTGTCTTCTTCTCGTCTTGCTTTTGTACTGCAAAAATACTCAACATGTGTTATTTATCCCCTATAACCTTTTTACCCATTCTAGGTAATCGAAGGAAGCTCAGGGGAGCCTGTTAGCCAAAAGAGAACCAGTGAAACGATTTTTTTATAACATACTTGTATGCAGTCAGTTTCTGAGTAGCTGCATTTATTTGATCAAGATTTGGCCCAGAAACCCCTTCCAGAAGCAAACATGCAACGCTACTATCCAATATTGAGAAATGGTACAGATATCAACCCTGTGGCACCAAAAGGGTCAAAAAATTAAAAACACATTACCATTCATTCACTCACTAGGAAAAAGATCCAAAAGACCTTCTCCTAGGTACTGCCTAAACACTAGAACCATGAAGAATGACGTCCCTAATATAACTACCTCACACATTATCTGAATATTGCGGGGAATCTGCAGCCTCGGAGGTCAACCCCCACAACATTAAGAAATACCTCATGTGCAAGCATGGTTATAATAGTCACTCGCTTAAATAACGTAAATACAGCTAATTTCGTCTCCTTAAAAAATATAAAATGCAAACTTTTCAAAAACGTTAATTTAGACTATACAGTCTCCTTAAAAAATAAATTTTAGGTTAATTTAGTGTACTAAAACTTAATTTAGGCCAATTAAAACTTTAAAAACTTTTATTTAGGTTACTTTAGTCTATTAAAAATTTTAATTAAACAAATTTACTTTAAAAAATAATAATTTCTAATTAAAACTTAAAATAAAAAAATTCTCAACTCCTCATTGGTTGAAACACGTAAGTGCCAAATCGCATCTACCTTAATTTACTCGCCCACTCACTAGATAGATTAGGTAATTTAGGCGACCGTATATACGGTCGCCTAATACAACCATGCCTGCTCATGTGTCAAAATGTCCCATACGACGCATGATACGTCTTATATACTGTCTCATATCCACGCATGTGCCGTATAGCCATACGGTACAAAGGTCGACGTAAACTGGCTGACCCCTCTTGCGGCGAAGCGGATGGTGCAGGTTGCGGTGCCCGTCCACGAGCCAGGCAAGCCGAATTGTTTGAGCTAGACACGCCGAATTGATTCGGCAACCGTGCACTGAAGAATGCCGCAGCGGCAGGGCGATGGAGATGAAGCATCTGAATGATATCAACTCTTCAAATCTTCGAGTTCACGAGTGCTGAACTATGGCCTCAGGCTGCTGAGGGCGGTCATGCTGGCACGAAATTGTACAGTTCATGTATCGTTTAGCTGGATCCATTTCGTTGCACCTTCTACTCCTCGACATCTTCCTGAATTTGTACAGTAATCAAGACCTTGAAAAATTAAAATTGCAAGCATGGGTATCGAGGGAAACGCTCGCAAGACGGGCAGTCATGCGGGCACGAAATTGTACAGTTCATGTATCGTTTGGCCGGATCCAGTTTCGTTGCACCTTCTACTCCTCGACATCTTCCTGAATTTGTACAGTAATCAAGATCCTGATAGTTTAAATTGCAAGCATGGGTATCGAGGGAAACGCTCGCAAGAAGGGCTCCGTCGAACATCGTCGAAAAGAATCGCCGAAATCGTTGGCGGGGACTTGCGAGCATGAAGCATCGGTATTAAGCATCCACTGGCCAAGTCACGACGCTCTTTACCACATGAGAAGGAAAAGATGTGGATAGCAACAGCGAATGTCGTCCTTATACCATCCCGTCTTCGGAAACAACTCACTTGCAGCTCGATTGCCAGTCAGGAGTACGGGACGGAAAACGCAGTGAATCCCAGTTGCGGCCCGAATCTTCCCTGCAATGCATGGATCATGCACGAACGTCGACAACTGTCTGTCTTCAAATACTGCAAGGTTCGGAATGGCATGTTTCTCAAGCAGTCAAGTGAACCCTCTGTGGAACACAAACTCTCTCCCTAAGCCCTAACGTCGAACTTTTCACCACCAAGAGGATCGGTCCTTAGGACAGTATACATGTTTAGTCAAGGTACTCCCAGCGTGTGAATTATGCTCCAAGAGCCCGTCATAATCTCAACATATCTCTACACACTGAATATACAGCTGGAAATGCTCGTAATCCGAACATTCTCGCGATGGGAGAGCACGGAAAAGCAGACGACGCGTATACCGCTGAGTCGGGATTTCTTCAGCCCGGGTGGGCTGCAGAAATTCTCGATTCTGTCAGTGCACAGCGGAGGGACAGATCTTGCGTGTGTATTTGGGGAGGGCCCGATAAACAACCAAAACATGGACGATTGCAGGAGCTGGGTCCATTGTACTGCGTTCATGTTTCCGTCAACTGACGGACGAACTGTCGTGCTCGCTTACAAACCAAGTAACCGTGAGTAAACTTTAGGGTTTCCACGCGTCCCCACCATGCTGCTTCCTGCCACTGGGCAAATTCAGTTCCAGCGTAGGTCCAAGATTGCATTCTGGTTTGGCTGAGAAACTGGGAGCAGCCGCAGCAGCACCGATCCCCCTGCTGCCAGGAAATAGTAGAATTCTTCAGAGAAAGGTTTCTGCTGTCGAGGCCTTTTTGACTGAATGTCGGTGGTAAATTGTCGGCGAGGGTTTTGTGAGAGCAGGTGGTGGTGGTGATATTCATCGATCAGAGCGTGCAGGGTTTTGGGTTGGTGAAGGTTTAGAGGAGAAGAGAATTGGTGGGAAGTCATGGCCATGGTCAGGCGAATTGTGGTGTTTCCGGTCCTTGGTCGACGCTGGGCATTCACTGCTGTCCTTCCGACTGGCTGTGATGGGAAGAGTCTGCCTGCTGGAAGCTTGAGGAATCTTCTGGACACCTTACGTTCCACGCCACAAAACAGCGATCGTGTCGAGCTGCTCACCCAATATTTTTCTGATAAGGTTCTAGCCTGAGTTCGCCTTCTTTCTCCTTCTTTCTCCTTATCTTGGATGATCGCTGCTGCCTCAGCTGTGAAGCCTGGACCAGATTTCTGTACTTTCCTCTTGTTTCTGGAGCAATCCGATCACTCTTAGCTTGCAACTATGTATTCTTGACTCAAAAGTGATACAATTCCAGCCCGCTAAACCTCTAAGTTTCAATTGCAGAGAGCTCGCATCAAAATCACAGTAGCAGCCTAGTGTATGAAATTGAATTATACTTGTTTCTTGTGTCCATCTTATAATTCTAAAGGTCAACTTCACATTTCTCATGATGTGTATACTTCCGGCCGTAACCAGCATTTGAAAGAACACTAGTACTCTCGTTTTCAGCCCGTGACAATCATCAAGCGTGGCCCCTCATTGTACGAAATGTAATAGACAGTTAGCTGGTAAGCATACATCAGTGTACAATGTAGCATGTCACCGTCGAGAATTTCATGAATTTGTTGTGATCACCCTTGGCCGATTGTTCAGGTAAGTAGCAAGCTGCTCCAGACCTGTGATTCCTGTTGATCTAAGTAACTTTGGACACATATCTCCTTTCGCATTTTGTTGATGCAGATGTACGAGAAATTTACTGCATGGGAAGCTACACCAGAAGGCAGCTTTCGCAACCGATTACATAGGTAGGCTTTATATTGTATTCTTCCAAAGCTCACTTTGAGTTGTACCTCAGTATTAGGGCCCCGGCCCTGATAATGAGCTGGATGCATTCAATTGAGTACGTCGGATGTTGTTCGTGAATCTTACTCCGTTCTGGATAGAACCTAGCTTTCTGTCAGAGCTACATATCGTAGACTTACAACGTGCTCACATATGCTAGGAGTGAACATCAAGTTCACTGTTTAGCAACCGTGCGGCTTCGGAGACTTATGCACCGCCGAATGCACTCAGACGTCTTATTTAAATGGATCCGTGTTTCATATTCTGTGAGAACCTGTGTGCTCTCGACGCTTGTCTGGTCGTTCGGTTGCTGCGCTGATGTTTGGGTTTATGCTGTTCCGTACAGCTATCTTGGTTCATGCCTTGCTCGTGAGTTTTAGCTTAATGGTTTAGCCTATAATCTGTTTCTCCAGTAAAAGAAGCTATTTACTACTTGCTGCTCAGTTGAAAGCTAAGCCAAGTTCAACACATTTACACGATATGTTGGTAGGATCCAAATGACAAGCCATGCTTTTCTATTTTACTCTACTGATTCTTCACAATCATCTTTATTAAGATTCGTACTTGCATGTACTAATGACATGTTGTGTGCAGTATAGGACAGAGAATGCTCTCTCGGTTAGGTCCGACTGAGACTTTCCTGAAAGCTATCCCGAAGGATGCAGGGCTCGTGGAGATTGTTTACCCATATGAGTAAGTATCATGGAAAACATTTGTCACATGTTTTATACATTGTGAAAATAGGTAGTTGTGCTGCAACTGATTGAGTTTTCGCAAACTCAAACATCAGCGGTTAGTTTGCCACACTGGAGAGAGAATAGTGCGTTTAACTTGATAGCTAGTTGTTGCCATTAGTGTTCTTTTTGCTTGTGAGCGACGCTCGTTCCTTTACTTCTTCGACTTGATCTTTGAGTTATTATGTCGAGCGTTGGCTATGTCGCTTTGCGAATCGATGATTTCTATCTTGCAGCAGTATAAATTCAAGGCTGGTGCGTCGAAGAGTCAGACATCTTGCTATCAGGTACCAACTTATGCTATGTTATCGGTTGTTGAATCGTTATTTTTTTGGTTGAAGTTGTGAACAATGTCAAAGAAGAGAAGCCTGTGCCCGTCAACATATCTGTGATCGGAACTAACACAGTTGGATACATTTGAATCCATGTGCAGTGGTGAAGTGGTTCATCGCAGATACATGTATGGATCGATTGCTCTTCTTCCTTTTGCCGTAGTTCTGGGGGTGAGTGATTGACTCGTCAACTTCAAGTGGAGGCACTGGACGCCTTGACTTATTTTCCTTCTTTTCAGCTTCTCTGGGTGGTATTGGGAGACACCTAGTAATGGCTATAACTTTTTTGAAACCAAGAAGTGTCGTTGAACTAACGTTTAGATTGCAGGTTCTTCCCTTGCCCAATGTGGTCTTGGCTTGGAACTTGTTTCGTGCGTACTCTCATTGGCGCGCTCTGCAGGTACGTTTTAACCGCTGGCTTTCTGAAGTTGACGTTGGATTATACCTGCTGAACCTGGAAGTCTAAATATCCAGCTAATCCGCATGCTTTTAGCGCTTGCAACGAGCGCCAGGCCTTCGTTCACTGTTATTACATGAAGCTTTGATTACCCTCACTGGTTTTAAAGTACTACAAACTGTGCTCGGCTGCTTGCCGACAAGATATTGAATTGTATATTCTGCTGGCTGGGGGCTGCACAGGGAAGTAGGAGACTCAATTTTCTGGTGACAGAATCTAGCTCTGCATCAGATGATGCGATCACTGGAAAGCAAGGAGAACAAAGTAACACCTTTAAGAGCGACCTCTCTCCAGATCACAAAACTCAAAGGAACGAGACGACACATTGGGTGAGGTTTGAACTTATCACTAGATAAGTTTCGAACGTGGAGTTTATAATTGGTCCTTGTGGTGGTCAAACTTTTTGGTGATGTCGCCCTGATTTGACAGCATTGTTTGCAGGTATTGCTACCTTCAAAGAAATTGGATACGCTAATTAAACTCTCGAACGTTCCGAGGGACGCGATTACTGATGGGACCGTTGCAGAAATTTGCAAAGAGTACCCACTGGATCCTCTTGAAATCATGAAGTGGAGAGACCAGAAACTTGCGATCAAATCCTTTCGTTAACATATCAGGTGATGTTTTTTGTCAACAAATAGGACTTTCCAGATCGCATCACAAAAGACGTCTGAAGGATAGTCGAGCTCACTCCCATACTTAGAGCCGTGAAGTTTAGGCCAATATTATCCGTTATTGACGCAAAGGCAACGAGCGCACTTGGGCTATGTTCACTTGGTAATTTTTATTCAGTGATAAACACGAAAAAGTTCAGTGTATTTTTCACCTGGCTTGAGTTGAGTTTTAGGCATCAGGCTCGTATATTTATTATGTCTTCGTCTTCTCAAAGAGTGATTCTTGGCAACGCTCGTAATAGCTGTCACTATGTATATGGTATGGTGTGGTAGTGAATTCCACCTGTTACTACTGTTCTCGTGTACAACTTTGTTCGTGTCGCAGGAATGGCAAGCGCTACATGGAACCTAATTCGAGCCGTGAACGTTGTACATGTAGTTGGATTTCTTCACGGTAACGTTGAAAAACGGTAGCCACTGTCGATAACAGTGATGACCTTCACTTGAGAGTTGCTGGTGTAGTCTAGCAAATTTTTTAATTCCTTTTTTCAACTTCGACTCATTTTAGCGCTCTCAAGTATTTTTTTTTGCTTCTTGAAGGCACTGTTCTTGCAGAAACTGCCAACTAGGTAGTTTGGATTTGGTATTTTTATTGTCACCGTGAGAGTGTACTGTATTGATGGTGGTCTTTATCGTTGGTATTCTTATGACTGGGCTCAGTAGGGTCTCTGGAGTAGGTAATAATTGTACTACACGAAAGAGTAATAAAATTGGTCTGTGATCCAAAGCAGACTAAGGCATTACGCAACGTTTTCATTGTGTCTCATGTTGTCGGTGGTAGCTTTCACTCCGTGTCTTGTTCGGTAGTCCTTATATTGCACGCATCATCACTGTTAGTTTACACCACTGTTTGTGAGGAAGGTTGCTAATTTTCTCTCGATTTAAGCATATTCAGGAAGCACTTTTGCTTTAGTTGTCTTCCTTGATGGACGGATTGCACAGGCACAAGAAATGAAGTTGCGTAGTATTATCTAATAGAAAAACTTATGAACAACATAATTAGAATCATGGAATATATGATCGATGTACCTAAAATTAATTTAAGTTTGTTATAAGTTGTATATATATATGATTCACTATTTCACGATAATTATATATATGACTACAGATATTATCAATTCAATTTTTTTATAAATTATAGAAATAAGTGAGTAGGGTGGAAAAAGAAACCCACATTGTGGGAAGATTAGTTTTCTTTAATAAATGTGTTCTTTTTATATATCAATTGTATTTTATTTGTATTATTTGAAATTATCCCAGTAAAATAAAAGTGAATCTATAAATCTAGAATATCGTGTCGAGCCCTCATCCAAAAGTTTTATTACATCATCTAAGTGTTTGGATGCTTCATGGAATCTAAAAGTGAACTAATTCTAGAGATTTATTTTCATGTATTGTATTTACTTTCCTAAGAAATGTCGGATCTCTTGATAAACAGCGAACATTAGTACCTTTTTCCTCGCTAAACTGTCTAACAGAATGTATTTGGAAACTGTATGAAATTATGAATGGTTTCGTTTTCAAGATATTTTCTACATACATAATTTCCTACATAAGCACAACCACTACACTTCCCATTCAGATTAGAGCTTCGCAACTGTAGGTACACAAGTAATTTCACGAACATAAGTAAAGGCAAAGGAGCAGAAGTGACGAGAATCGGCCGCGCACACTGTTTTGACAGTCGCTTCAACGGCGCACACTGTTTTGACAGTCGCTTCAACGGCCAGACGCTGCTGACTCTGGACAGTCCCGGCAAGAAGACCAAGGCGATGAGTAGCCACACAACAGGAGGAACAACGCTCTCGAACAAGAGGAACGCTCTCGAACTGCTTAACAACGCTCTCGACTGCAAGAGGAATCATTCTTTGGATACTTACAACATTTATACAGGGTGAAAGTTTTACTTATCAGGTTTCACAATATTATAATAAATATTTGATGTAATCAATTAATGTCATTAAAATTAATTTATATTTTCAATTTTTATGTAGTAAGATATAAATTTTCACTTGCTTTTACAGATACAAAAATATTAAAAATTATTATATGATTATAATAATCCATTTATAATTGGATCAATCTAAATTATTTAGAAAACTAATTTTAATAAAAAAATAATTCACAATTATTACAATATCAATAAATATATTTAAAATCAATATAATATATCAAATTAGTTTATAGAAATTCAATTACATAGTTAAACTTCCGGATAATTACATACATTGGTTCTAAAGTTTTACTTCACTCCTAAGAATTGTCACTAACACGAGTTTGGGTGATATTTAGCGGATTATATACATATATGTGTATTATATACATACATGGTAGCGTATCTATAAAAGAGTTAACTTATCATTTCGCGAATAGTATCATTCTTGATAACTTGTCTTCGAATTCAAATATGAGACTATTTGGCGAATCTGCTAAATGTTTAACATATTATTTGGAGTATATTATCAATCTTGATGATTTGTCTTTTAATTCAAATATATGATTGTTTTTAGTAAGAGTAACCTCAGGTCTCAGATGTAATGCAGTTGTAAAGCAGTGCTATAAATTGTGGAAAGTGAACAAACAAAACTAATTTCTCCGAGATAAATCAGAATTATAAATTATGAAAAATGAACAAACAGAGCTGAAGAAATTAATTGCTTGATTTGTGTCTTTTCTCACCTACAAAACGGTTGAAACAACAAAATGAAAATAACGTAACAAGAAACAATAAACAATATCATACGGTGGGATTATGTGGACAAATAGATTTTGATAAATTGAGGTTACAAAACTAACATTTCCATTTTTCTTGTGTTTCTACTAGAGCAAGGTACAGGGGAGTGCAAATATGACGAGCGAGCTATTGCAAGGAAAACATTGGGTACCGAGGGGGAGTCAAGGCAGGATACGATTCCACTTCATGTTTGGGGCGAACTGGAAGTTAGACTGGATTGAAGTAAGAGCAATAAACAATCAAATTCAAATTTTTTTTTGAAAAATTTTGTTGAATACATATCTATTAGACACTATCATGCCTAATGATTTTAACTTATAATTTTTCATTTTTTTGCACTATTGGAAAGATGTCAGTAATAAGAAATGATACTATTGGGAGGTCGAAATCTGAAAAATAAAAATTCATTTTCCTTTTGGAATAATCGCAAATAATTAAAGAAAGAATTGCGATTAGTGGCTAACCGAGTGAACTTCTTTAGGTTCAACTTAACTTTTTCCCACCATTCTTCTTGACTCGGTATTACCAACCCTTGTTCTGCTAACCTAAAATGAAGCATCTTACGCGATTCTTCATGACTCGGTTCACTCGATCTAAAAGGAAAAAGAGAATCTCTTTCTATGCAAAATTGTCTGCACGAGTCCGTAGTTGGAAACTGTATATTCCGATGATTAGATAGAAATGCACTACTGGACAAATATGCAACACCACTAAAGTCTACGGGCAGCGCGGAGAGCCTCAACTGTTCGTAGAAAACTAAAGAGTTTTCACTGCGCGCTCGCAAAGGAGCAGAAGGTGACGAGAATAGCCGCGCATACCATTTCAACAAGCGCTTCGACGGCCAGACGCTGCTGACTCTGGACAGGCCCCGCAAGAACACCGACGCGATGAGCAGCCACACCACGCCCCCGACGATCGTCGTGGCCGTCATGTTGGCCTCCAGGTCGCCGACCGTGGTCATGGACGCGAACCCCGCTGCGCCGAACGCCCCCAGCACGAACGCGGCCGACACCAACAACAGGAAGGCCGTCACGGCCAACCAGTCGCGAACTCGCGCCACAGCGTCCTCTATGAACAAGTCCGCTCCGGCCATGACGGTAAACGAGAAGCACAAGCTGTTGAAGATGGTCGTGATCCTTTTCGTGTGGTCGTCCTGGTCGCCCAGCGGAGGTTGCAGCCATCCTCCGTACGTCACGCTGGCGATGAGGGCCGCGCCTACCAGAATGGCGTTGGCGGCGTCCACGTACACCTGTCGATCGCGATACATACGATCGATTCTCTTCTCCACCCTTGGATCCGACGTGACAACGCCCTCCAGTTCCAGCATTGTTTCCCGTCTCTGCACGTCGCCTACGGTCGACCGCGCCGCTGCATGCATGTGGTGAACTACGGTCTTACCGTCGACATCCTTCTCGTCGAGTTTGATTTTTCTTTTCAGGAGAAGGGTGACGACGCCCGGCGCGCCGACGTGTACGGCCCAATGGAGCGGTGTGTAACCACAGCAGTCCTTCGCGTTCAGGTCTATGGAGTTCGTAACGAGGATTGTAACCACGTCCGTCGCAAGGGTCTCCCGTTGCCCGGGACACCGAGCGTATGACAAGTGCAGTGGCGTGCGATGAGAAAAGTCACCCATGTTGACAAACGCGGAGCAAGAGGGGCTTTGGACGAGGACATTCACCAGACTTTCAGACTCCATGAGGACAGCATAGTGCAAAGGAGTCAGGCCATAAACATCTCTGTGACCTTTTTCTTCAAAATGTGAATCAAATTCGTCTAGGTTCTCCTGCTCTACCAGTAAATATTCAGCTGTATCTTTATGTCTATTTATCACAGCAACATGGAGGGGCGTGCGCAAAAATATTAATGACCCGAGATTCATCAGCATAGCTTTCAGCCGTTTGAGAATAGCATGAGACAGCTTGCCATAGGAGAATCTTTAAATTTATCTTCTACTGGAACTATTTTTAAGATATTTGTTTTGTCAATATCTGTTTATACAACTTCAGAGAATTTTAGCTTTAAAAACTCTAGAATATTATCTTCATCTTCCAATTTAACATAACGTTTACACGTTTGGATGAGTAATTTGAAAATAAAGACAGATAGATCAGGATCCTCATCTATTGGGTCAAACAATCTAAAGTGAGTTAAATCCCGAACAAAGTCAATTTCACCTCGTTCAATGGCTTTGTGAAGAAAACGGTTTTCAAATAAAATATCCGTTAGGACTTCAACATTCCTTTCCCTACTCGCCTCTCTGAGTATAGACTCCCAATTTTCTCTCCACGGTAAAAATGTCGGAGGAGGTGAAGGTGGAGCAGCAGCCCCGACAACGACTTCGTCCCGGTCCTCTTCTTCGCTGGAAATCTCCTCCAGCTCGTCTCTCGTCTCTTCTTCCCTGACAATCTCGTCCTGCTCATCTCTTCTTCGGCTCTCTCCATGGAGTCTCCGCCCTTCACAAACCCATCTTTTCTCTCCGATCAGAGAGGAGAAACTCAATCTGATTCAAGTGAAAAATACAGCATGCATCCACTTGATATGTCACGAACTATTCTGTGACATATTGCAGAATGGAGGCAACTTTTGATCTGACAATCTACCGCCCCGGACGGTTACAGTAGAGAGCGGAAGAGGTGTAGCACCTGAACCGGAAGATGAGAGGGGAGAGCTTTCAGAAAGGAGACTGAGGTTTGCAGAGACGGGGTTCAAGCGGGGAAGAGGATAGTTTTATAGGTCTTCAAAACCCGACAGCCGAAATCGGACAAAGAGAATCGAGAGCTGGAGGATCCGACGAAATTCTTGCACGTTGTGCAAGTCAAAGTGGCTCTCGACTGCTCGGTCGAGATGTGTACTGTATGTGGACCGCATTCTGCAAAAACTTCTACTTTATGTCCTCTTTCTTGCTCTGGCAAAACTCATGCGTAATAGAATTTTCAGAACGATAATCGTAATAACGTGAGATGCAAAACAACGCCTTCGTACTTGTAAAATTATTCGGAATCTAAGCGGATAATGTTCAGTTTCCTGTGCAATCAAATCTCGATGACTTGCATGAAGGATATCATATGTCTCGAATCAGTACAGTGCTGAACCGCCGAGCTGAAAACTAATACTTTGACTACTTGCTTTATTCATGAGCATGCCCATCTGATCCTAAATATCATGTATACATAACTTTTGTCCACTTCCTGACATATTGATAATGACAATGTGTAATTCATTTTCGGATTGAAGTATTCCTGGAACCAGTCCGGCTGATATTTTGAGATCTTCATGCAGCGATACTTGTTTGATTTGTCTATACAAATATTGATTGAGCAATGGGAGAAAAATGAATTTGTGAACAATGACTTTAACTTCATATTACAACTGTAGTTATCCTATGTAGTTTTGGGGATGGAAGCTTTTGTTTAATGCTTAAATACTAGATCAAGAGACAAATTTTATTTGAGGGAGCAGTTGAGGTTTTGTAATTTGCATGTAAATTTCTATGTTGATATAAATCCGAGGTAGAAAATATATATTTATAAATGATATATTTTAGATATTACAAATTTAAATTAAGTTTTTTTGCAAGTTTGTCGACATTGAAATGACATTGATAAGAAGTCATAATTCCAAACCTCAAGTCGCGTTAACTTAAAAATTTAATGAGGGATATCTAGAAATTTATATAGTTCAGTTCTAGTAGGACCTTTTGAAAAGTATAAAAGTTGTAAATTATAGTAAAGTATTTCAAATTCAAATAATAAAACACAGTTCTTTCGTTTTGCTCTTCATGTACAAGTACATGAATCACTTTAAAATCATACCACTCGACCTCGCAGACGATAGGCTTGTTGACTTTCGTTCACATGACCATTTGATGGTGTGCTGAAGTACTGTGCCTGACGCTGTTGCTTTAATTCCACAACTGCCTTGAAAGTCCTCGTCCCGTAGATCCTTGCGCGCACCACTGCACTCGGCAGCGGAGTGGCTTTCACGGCCCGGGGGCAGAATCCGCACATTCTACGAGGCGATAAAATCAAGACGAGCATCAAGGCCGACGACCTTGTCGACGCCTGTTTTCGATATCTAGTTCTTTCAGGACTTCTCCACGTCCAGTAAAACACTGGACCTTGGCCGTTCCGTTAGTGTTATTACCGGCCTCTGTTCCCATGAGCATTTTTATATTGGAGCATGTTGCAGTGGAATAAACGTGCATCTGAGTATCTTCCCTTGTAAATGATACTTTCTTCTTTATGCAATGATAGCCTATCGTCACGCCAGTTGGCCTACTGCCCAGGGACCCTTAGTACACCGACTTTTTACCATAGTACTAGTACCTACTAACTAAGGCTACACAAATTTGATAGTATACTACATAGTATACTATATAGTATACTAAACCTGATTAAAAAAGCACTCATACAAAAACTTGATAGTATACTATATAGTATACTAAACCTGATTGATAAAGCACTCATACAAAAACTGTCGTCGGCGCATGTAAAGAGTTGACGAGTTGCATCATAATCGACCATAAAAACGAAGTCTTGTTTTTAGACTGCACAGGCCGGATTCCGCGTTGATCAATATTACTCAACGAGGTAGATGTCCGCAGCAAGACATCGCGTATTTCAGGATCCGATTCCGAAGACATTGACATGATTTCAATGACATCTTTTTCGGTGGGTGCGCCCCAAGCATTCGACGACATAGCGGTATTTGGTGGGCGAGGAGGGTGTCGTGCAACAGTCAGCGATCAGTCTTCAGTCACTTTCAGTGTGGGTTGCACAGCAGGTCGCGTCTGTGCGCAGCTCCATCTGTCCGCAGTCCGCACTACTTGGTACATAGTATACTATTGATATACTATACACGATAGTCTTAGTACTAGTATACTACTAAGGTTTAGTATACTACATAGTATATTGTCATACTAAAATCCGTACTAACTAAAGGTCCCTGCTCCTGCCGTCCTAGCCTGTAGTGTACCTAGTCTTTCTCTCTTCTGGTCACCAGCGTGATTCATGGGGTCCTCTCAAAAGCTCGCCAAAGGTAGAGTTTACATCGTGGTAAAATATTCGAATTTTACTCTTCTGTTTTTATTGGTTATTACAATATTCTGGAGGTTTATCGGGCCCAAGGAATCGATCTGCTGTATCATGGCAATATTCACGGCCCGGGGGCAGAATCCGCACATTCTACGAGGCGATAAGATCAAGACGAGCATCAAGGCCGACGACCTTGTCGACGCTTGTTTTCGATATCTAGTTCTTTCAGGACTTCTCCACGTCCAGTAAAACATTGGACCTTGGCCGTTCCGTTAGTGTTATTACCGGCCTCTGTTCCCATGAGCATTTTATATTGGAGCATGTTGCAGTGGAATAAACGTGCAGCTGAGTATCTTCCCTTGTAAATGATACTGTCTTCTTTTTGCAATGATAGCCTATCGTCATGCCACTTGACCTCCTGCCGTCCTAGCCTGTAGTGTACCTAGTCTTTCTGTCTTCTAGTCACCAGCGTGATTCATGGGGTCCTCTCAAAAGCTCGCCAAAGGTAGAGTGCACAACGTGGCAAAATATTCGAATTTTATTCTTCTATTTTTATTTATCATTACATTATTCGGGAGGTTTATCGGGCCCAAGGAACCGATCTGCTGTATCATGGCAATATTTCTCTGAACATCTCCTGCGATTGGAAACCGCTTGGCCATAGAATTGTGCAGCGAAGGACTTCCGGGTCTGGCTGAACTACGCTCCATGAAACTTCCGTAGCGATTCTCCGACGTAACGACTTGATTCTGATTCAGGAGAACTGTCTTCTTGTCCATGCACTGACCCATAGCTCATGCATTGATTTCTTGTCCACGTTTCATCGGCGCCGAAGCTGGATTCGATAAGGATGAGGTGTAATAATTACACACGACGAGATAAAGGGCGAGTGATTGGTACCGACCATGGGACTGTGATTGAACTTGAAAGGTGGGATTTGAGGATGATCCGAGCAAATGGTAAGTAAACAATAGATGTCAATGTACGTGAATGAGTCCACCCGCAGCAAGACGTTTGTGCTCGAGATAAGTTTGAGGTCACAACATCCACTACAGTATGCTCCGCCCTGCAGCAGCTCTAGATAGTGGAGGACGAGAGTCATCATCAATTCTAATTTGATCTTCATGGATCAAGAGTAAACTTAACACTTTGTCCTAGAGTGTCATGGAGGTAAAGTGCTAGAATAGATTCAATTTTTCGATGCTAGTCCATAGCGTGCTTTTGTTTATGTAAACAGATCTAAAAATGCTCCGGGTAGTTTGGATTGCTTGTGATTCTCCAAAAATATCATTTCATTTAATTGTATAAAATAAAAAAGTGAGATATAATATAATTATATGTTATTCTAAGATAATATAAATACTTAGATAAATCTGGTTATATTACTCTAGATTAATTAAATCAATTCTTTGATCATTATACAAAAGATCTCATCCGAATTGAAGGAAAGTAGAAAAATCATTTTATGATAACAATTCATTAGAACAGTTTCACGAGATCTGTTGTAAAGATCGAATTGTCTTGTGTTTCGTGAACATATTATAATACAAAAAGGTGAAATACGAGAAAACATTTTCTCAGTATGAGTTTTCTTACTTCCAAATCCTTAAACAATTAAGTATCAGAACGAAATAATTACTCTACATCTGAACTTGCTCCTCTAGGCAGATGAGTTTTTCTTCTTTTCGAATCCTCAACAATCAAGTATCAAAGCGGACGAATGACTCGATCTCTGAACTTGCTCCGCTAGGCAGATGGAGGGTCGATATTGTTAAACTCGCACTTTTTACACTGCTTCAGATCTGGTTTGCTTTGGTCCAGTTCAGGCTACCGCTGGCCGGAGATAAGTCGAGGCAGGTTTTGGAATGTGGTTGAGGTGTAGATATGAGATCTTTCGAGATCTGAAGGTCAAGATTAGAACGAGCATTCTTCGATTTTGCAATGACTTCTCAGCGTCTGTCCAAAGTACAGTATGGAGATTCATTGCTAGCTGTGGCTAGGTGGTCGAGAATTTCCACGGATATACTTAGTTATCAAAAGCGTTCTCAAAGGCCAAACATACTTTGCGTCGAGGGCGGACAAGAGTCTAATTCATATTGCAAAGTAGTCTCTCGTAGACCTCTTCTAATTCATGGAACTAGAGTGTATCCAGAGATTTTGAAGAATTTGTCTCGATGATCTCGGGCACATGTCCTCTGCTTGCGCGATTTTATTTATGCAAATCATCGCAACATCTCTATTTTGTACCTACCTTTTGATGGTCCGTGACGAGTGTGGAGCATCAGTCAGTCTCAGTGCTTCTTTTTTTTTTTTTTTTTTTTTCACTAAAAACTCTCTTCTGGAACGCATCAACGTCAACGGTTGACTTGTTGGAGTTCGCCGATAGTAATTCAGATCCTTTCTCAGATGATTGGTTTTGCTGCACGCTTGCAATGCAAAACATTAGTGCGGTGAGCTTTGAGCAAACAAGCAACATCTGTATTTCAGGGCTTGCAGAGGTCAGCGTTAGGTTCTCGAATTAATTTGTCGTGTGATTAGTGTTTGATCAGCATCTGGCGAAAGTGAGTGTTTATGGGAGAGAGAGAGAGAAAGAGCTCATCGTTGGTGGGCTTGGCAAGCAAGAAGCAAGGAAGGTAATCGAGGCTTTGAATTCTTGGGCACCAACGTTGATTTCTTGCAATCACGGTGGAACATCATGGACAGTGCATGTTTACCTGCCTGGCTTACGTGAGTAGAGTAGCTGACATATGATTTAGGACTGCAGAATGGTGGATTTGATCACAAGATTTAAAGTCATATGAACCCGTGTGGAGATGGCCTTTCACTCATCATCCATGAAAAAGTGTAGTTTTATCATTGTTTAAAAGGATGAATTGTAGTGGAGATAGTCAAGAATTGGTTGGAAAATGTACAAAAAGAGAAGGTAAGGTAATGCAAGACGACATGTTTGAGTTGCATATGTCAGACATGAAGATACTTCCAGTATGCTTCCAGCTTTAACAACGTCGTAGACTTCGACGATCGCTACGATCATATTACAGTGGATTACATCACATTATATCAAACCATCCTCTTTCTAAGTGGAATAGTTTGTTTATCAACTATGCTTCAGCTGATAGACATTAATTTGCGAGAAGTTTGTGGGAATCACGAGAGAGACCTTGAGTTAGAAAACCACTCAATCCATATAGCAATTTATGAGATTGTAGGATATAACGGGAGTAACTGAAAAAACATTGTGCAAGAATACTGAACTTTCCAAATCACTTCAGTATGTTGAAAGTCGTTTTGAATGTGATCGATTTTTAGCATTTATTGATTAATTTCAGGAGTGAGGCTCAGGAGTCTCAAATCTCGTTTAAAATCAAATTTTAAACGGGAATTGAGTTCGAAGGCCTGAAAATGGTTTTTCTAGCTAAGTAAAACACGACGCACAAGTGACAAATTCCAGAAGTTTGACAAAAGGAGATTAATGAAGTTACGCGTAAACCGTCGTGTACGGTGCGTAGGTGACGCACTGGCAGAGAGTATCGGATCAGTCGGCTTTAGGGTTTCGGTTGAGCTCGACTGTTGGTTGTTTCTTTAGGGTTTCGGTTGAGCGCGACGGCCAGACTCGTCGCGACGAGCATAAAGTATCGAACCACGTATCAGTTGTGTGATTCTATCTGAAGTTTTGTTGATGATCTGGTGAAGTCCTTTGGCACAATATTGGAGCCGTCGGTGAAGAGGTTACTACCAACGCGAGAAAGCGAGTGGAGTTGAATCTGGATGCCTGTGGCGACTGGAGCATGCTTTGAAGGCTTGTCTGCCTCATCACCCTGGTTTGACATTGATCTCGATAGATAACTCAGAAGGTTGCAAATTGTGGCTGACAGACGTCCAGTCGACTAGCAACGGAGGCGTATGTGTCTTACCAGAACTCTGTGCTATACCCTAGGAAGGTTTTAGATGGCAACAGACGACTAAGGGTAGTGGAATCTGGTGAAATTCTCTGATTTATATTTGAATTTATATCTGCAACTTCTGTAAATTTTTCAAATAGCTCCGTGAAGAATCACTTGCTCGATTCAAACGTGTAGAAGCGTTAGTCAGTGTACGGTGCGTACACGACGCACTGGCAGAGAGTATCGGGTCAGTCGGCTTTAGGGTTTCGGTTGAACTCGACTGTTGGTTGTTATTATCAGCGCGACGGCCAGGCTCGTCGCGACGAGCATTCTCTATAAAGTAGCAAACCACGTTACATTTGTGTGATTCTCTCTAAGGTCTTGTTGGTGTTCTGGTGAAGTCCTCTGGCATAGTACTGGTGCCGTCAGTGAAGAGGTTACTACCGACGCGAGAAAGCGAGTGGAGTTGAATCTGGGTGCCTGGAGCATGCTTTGAAGGCTTGTCTGCCCAATCACCCTGGTTTGACATTGATCTTGGCAGATGACGCAGAAGGTTGCAAATTGTGGCTGACAGACGTCCAGTCGACTAGCAACGGAGGTGTATATGTCGTATCAGAATTCTGTGCTAAACCCTAGGAAGGTTTTCGATGGCAACAGACGACTAAGGGTTGTGGAATCTGGTGAAATTCTCTGATTTTACTTGAGTTTATTTCTGCAACTTCTGTAAATTTTTCAAATAGTTCCGTGAAGCACTTGCTCGATTCAAACGTGTAGAAGCGTTAGTCGGAGGTAGGAAGGGAAGGAGACATGGAGCACATCTAGGACATGGTAAGGTATTGACAAGCTTGATTTCCGAACCGTGGCTTCTTGTTCCCGATCCTCCTCCTCCAGCCGTTGCTGCAGAGCATATGCTACATCCTTCTCGGACTGTGGTTGGGAGTCGTCCCCACTCTGCATCTCACCCGGCGACTGCTGTTGCTTTGGTTTGACTTCTTTTCCTCTCATCTCAAGCTGGACTTGAGTTGGGAATTGACCGAAACGTTCCTTGCGGGGAGAGAGTGGAGTGCAGCTTTCAACCTCTAGTGGTTCACGACGCTCCGGATCGTGGCGCTCTCGACCGCAAGAGGAATAATTCTTTGGATACTTAGAATATTGATATTGTGTAAAAGTTTTATCATCAGGATTCAATATATTATAGAATTGTTTTTGTTATTTAATTTAATTATCTAATTTTTATTTAAATAAAGTAATATAATAAATTAATATTATATTTTTTAATTTTCTATTGATAAATAATACTGAATAGTAATATATAATTATACTTTTCATTCATTTTTAAATTCATTCAAATAATATTTAAAGGGATATGTAAATATAAATAAAATCATTATACAATTATTATAATATTAATAATTTTATTTAAAACTAATAAAATATGTTCATTCATACAAATTCATTTATACATAGAAAATTGGAGCATGTGCTATTTTCCGATACCTCTGAAGATACGCCTGTGGATCGTTTCTGTACATACGTTCAAATGGACGTATATCGTCACGTGACCTAATAATCTCGGAAATATATTCTCGCGGAAATCCCCGATGAGGGGACGTGGTTGCGGAATGTGGCGAAATATTCTCGAATATTTCTCTAAACCGCAACGACTCACTCAAGGGAAATCCAGAAGGGAAAAAAGAATCTGCTTCCATGCAAAATTGTCTGCAAGCGGCTGTACTTGGAAAGTGTATAAAACCATGATGATTTCTACCATCATCATCGAAAATGAAATAATTATATAGACCACTAACAACACTGATGTCTACGGCCATTTCAGAGAGTGCCAAATGTTCCAAGAGAGGTAAAGTGACAATATTGCGCGCTCGCAAAGGACTAGAGGATGAATAGAATAGCCCCGCACACCCTTTCAGAAGACGCCTCGTCGGCCAAACGTTGCTGACTCTGCACAGGCCCCGCAAGAAGACCAACGCAATGAGGAGCCACACCGCGCCCCCGACGGTCATCGTGGTCGTCATGTTAGCCTCCAGGTCGCCGACCGTGGTCATGGACGCGAACCCCGCTGCGCCGAACGCTCCCAGCACGAACGCAGCCGACACCAACAACAGGACGGCCGTCACGGCCAACCAGTCGCGAACTCGCGCCACGGCGTCTTCTATGAACAAGTCCGCCACAGGCAAGACCGCTCCCGCTCCGGCCATGACGGCGGCGATGGCGAACGAGAAGGACAAGCTGTTGAAGCCCCAGAAGATGCGCGCGATCCTTCTCGTGTGATCGTCGTGGTCGCCCAGCGGAGGCTGCAGCCATCCTCCGTACGTCACGCTGGCGATGAGGGCAGCGCCGACCAGAATGGCGTTTGCGGCGTCCACGTACACCTGTCGATCGCGATACATGCGATCGATTCTCTTCTCCACCCTTGGATCCGACGTGAGAACGCCCTCCACTTCCAGCATTGTTTCCCGTCTCTGCACGTCGCCTGCGGTCGACCGCGCCGCTGCATGCACGTGGTGAACTGCGGTCTTACCGTCGACATCCTTCTCGTCGAGTTTGATATTTCTTTTCAGGAGAAGGGTGACGACGCCCGACGCACCGACGTGTACGGCCCAATGGAGCGGCGTGTAACCACAACAGTCCTTGGCGTTCAGGTCTACGTTGGAGTTGCTGAGGAGGATTGCAACTACATCCTCCCCCTGCCTGTACCGCCGAGCGCATGCTAAGTGCAATGGCGTGCGGAAAGAGAAATCACCCACATTGACTGACGCGGAATAAGAGCTGCTCTCAACAAGCATTTTCACGAGCTCTTTGTCCTCCATGAGGACAGCATAGTGCAACGGAGTCAGGCCATAAACATCTTTGTGCCAATTAACCCCAAGTGATACACAGTACTCTAGTTTATCCTGCTCTTGCAGTAGATATTTTACTATATCTTCTTTTTTATTCAACACAGCAACATGGAGCGGCGTGCGCCGAAATACTGGTGACTTGACATTACTCACCAGAGCTTTCATCCTGTTCAGAAGAGCACGGCACAGCTTCTCAAAACTGAAAGAATTATTGAATTTATCTTCTAATGGGACTACCAAATCCTCTCTATTTATTTTGTCCATAGTATCTTGTGAAAATTTTCGAAGAAATTCAGCATTTTTTAGCTTTAAAATTTTACCTATAGATCCGTAATCTTTAGAAAAATTTTTATACCGAAATATAGATCGGTATAATGAGTAAATTATTTTGACAATACAGATATATAGATCAGGATCCTCACCTATTGGGTCGAACCATCTAAATTGAGTTAACTCTCGAACAAAGTCAATTTCACCTCGTTCAACGGCTTCGTGAAGAATACCTCCTTCAAGAAAAATATTCGTTAGGGCTTCATACTTGAAGGGATTGGAGTTTGGGAGTCCAATCTCCTCCTCCTCGTCACTACTCTTCAATTCACTAATCAGCTCTCTGATTATGGACTCCCATTCTTCTCTCTCTGTCGGACTGTTGTCTCTTGTCGTCTCTTCTTCTCTGCCAATCTCCTCCTGCTCGTCTCTTTTCGTCTCTTCTTCGCTGCCAATCTCCTCCTGCTCGTCTCTTTTCGTCTCTTCTTCGCTGCCAATCTCCCCCTCCTCGTCTCTTTTCGTCTCTTCTTCGCTGCCAATCTCCTCCTGCTCGTCTCTTTTCGTCTCTTCTTCGCTGCCAATCTCCTCCTGCTCGTCTCTACTCGTCTCTTCTTCTCTGCCAATCTCCTCCTGCTCGTCTCTACTCGTCTCTTCTTCTCTGCCAATCTCCTCCTGCTCGTCTCTTTTCGTCTCTTCTTCGCTGCCAATCTCCTCCTGCTCGTCTCTACTCGTCTCTTCTTTGTCTCTCTTCATGCAGTCTCCGCATTTCACAATCCCGCCCATAGTTTCTCTTCGATCAGAGAGGAGAAACTCAATCTGATTCCAGTGAGGAATACAACGTGCACCCACTTGCTATGTCAACTATCCTAGTTGTGAGCTCCATCACAAAATGGAGTAAACTTTTGATCTGACAATGTACCGCCCCGGACGCTTACAGTAGAGAGCGGAAGAGGTGTAGCACTTGAACCGGAAGATGAGAGGGAAGAGCTTTCAGAAAGGAGAATGAGGTTTGCAGGGACGGGGTTCAAGCGGGGAAGAGGACCTTTTATAGGTCTTCAAAACCCGACAACCGAAATTGGACAGACAGAATCTAGAGCTGGAGGATTGCACGAAATTCTTGCACGTTGTGCAAGTCAAAGTGGCTCTCGACTGCTCGGTCCAGATGTGTATCTGGACCGCATTCTGCGAAAAGTTCTGCTTTATGTCCTCTTTCTTGCTCTGGCAAAACTTTCATGCGTAATAGAATTTTCAAAACGATAATCGTAACAATGTGAGATGCAAAACAACGCCATCGTACTTGTAAATTCTTCGGAATCTAAGCGGGTAATGTTCAGTTTCATATGGAATCAAATTTCGATGACCTGCATAAAGGATATCATTTGCCTCGAATCAGTACAGTGCTGAACCGCCGAGCTGAAAACTATTACTCTGACTACTTGCTTTATTCATGAGCATGCCCATCTGATTCTATACTTCATGCAGGCATAACTTTCGTCCACTTCTTGACATATTAATAATGACAATGTGTAATTCATTTTCGGGTAGAAGTATTCCTGGAACCAGTCCGGCTGTAATTTTGAGATCTTCATGCAGCGAGACTTGTTTAATTTGTCCATACAAATATTGATTCTGCAATGGGAGAAAAATGAATTTGTGAACAATGATTTTAACTTCTCATTACAACTGTAGTTATCCCATGTAGTTTTGGGGATGGAAGCTTTTGTTTAATGCTTAAATACTAGATCAAAAGACATGTTTTATTTGAGGGAGCAGTTGAGGTTTTGAAATTTCCACGTAAATTTCTTTGTTCATATAAATCCGAGGTAGAAAATATATATTATAAATTATATATTTTACATATTACAAATTTGTATTAAATTTCCTTGCAAGATCTCAATTTTATTATCATTGATAAGAAGTCATAATTCCAAACCTCAAGTCGAGTTACCTTAAAAATTTAGTAAATGATATCTACAAAATTTAGATAGTTCAGTACTAGTAGGACCTTTTGAAATGTATAAAAGTTCATAATTATAGTAAAGCATTTTAAAATCAAATAATCAAACACGATTCTTCCCGTTTGCTGTTCATGTACTTGTACATGAATCACTTTAAAGTCATACCACTCGACCTCGCAAACGATAGGCTTGTTGACTTTGGTTCACATGACCTTTTGATTGTGTACTAAAGTACTGAGCCTGACGCCGTTGCTTTAATTCCGCAACTGCCTTAAAAGTCCTCGTCCCGTACATGCTGGCGATTATTCTTTGCGCAAACCACTGCACTCGGCAGCGGAGTGGCTTTCACGGCCCGGGGCAGAATCCGCACATTCTACGAGGCGATAAGATCAAGACGAGCATCAAGGCCAACGACCTTGTCGACGCCTGATTTCGATATCTAGTTCTTTCAGGACTTCTCCACGTCCAGTAAAGCATTGGACCTTGGCCGTTCCGTTAGTGTTATTACCGGCCTCTGTTCCCATGAGCATTTTGTATTGGAGCATGTTGCAGTCGAATAAACGTGCAGCTGAGTATCTTCCCTCGTAAATGATACTTTCTTCTTTATGCAATGATAGCCTATCGTCATGCCACTTGACCTCCTGCCGTCCGAGCCTGTAGCGTACCTAGTCTTTCTGTCTTCTGGTCACCAGCGTGATTCATGAGGTCTTCTCAAAAGCTCGCCAAAGATAGAGTACACAACGTGGTAAAATATTCGAATTTTATTCTTCTGTTTTTATTGCTTATTACAATATTCTGGAGGTTTATCGGGCCCAAGGAATCGATCTGCTGTATCATGGCAATATTCACGGCCCGGGGCAGAATCCGCACATTCTACGAGGCGATAAGATCAAGACGAGCATCAAGGCCGACGACCTTGTCGACGCTTGTTTTCGATATCTAGTTCTTTCAGGACTTCTCCACGTCCAGTAAAACATTGGACCTTGGCCGTTCCGTTAGTGTTATTACCAGCCTCTATTCCCATGAGCATTTTATATTGGAGCATGTTGCAGTCAAATAAACGTGCAGCTGAGTATCTTACCTCGTAAATGATACTTTCTTCTTTATGCAATGATAGCCTATCGTCATGCCAGTTGGCCTCCTGCCGTCCTAGCCTGTAGCGTACCTAGTCTTTCTGTCTTCTGGTCACCAGCGTGATTCATGGGGTCTTCTCAAAAGCTCGCCAAAGGTAGAGTTTACATCGTGGTAAAATATTCGAATTTTATTCTTCTGTTTTTATTCATGATTACATTATTCGGGAGGTTTATCGGGCCCAAGGAACCGATCTGCTGTATCATGGCAATATTTCTCTGAACATCTCCTGCGATTGGAAACCGCTTGGCCATAGAATTGTGCAGCGAAGGACTTCCGGGTCTGGCTGAACTACGCTCCATGAAGCTTCCGTAGCGATTCTCCGACGTAACGAGTTGATTCTGATTGAGGAGAACTGTCTTCTTGTCCATGCACTGACCCATAGCTCATGCACTGATTTCTTGTCCATGTTTCATAGACGCCGAAGCTGGATTCGATAAGGATGAGATGTAGTAATTACACACGGCGAGATGAAGGGCGAGTGTTTGGTACGGACCATGGGATTGTGATTGAACTTGAAAGGTGGGATTTGAGGATGATTCGAACAAATGGTAAGTGAACGATTGATGTCAATGTACGTGAGTCATTGACGTGAGAATGAGTCCACCTGCAGCAAGACATTTGTGCTCGAGATAAGTTTGAGGTCACAACATCCTCTACAGTATGCTTCGCCCAGCAAAATAGATTCAATTTCCCGATGCTAGTCCATAGCGTGCTTTTGTTTATGTAAAAAGATCTAGAAAATGCTCTGGTTAGTTTGGATTGCTTGTGATCCCCCAAAAATATTATTCATTCAATTGTATAAAATAAAAAGTGAGATATAATATAATTAAATGTTATTCTAAGATAATATAAATACTTAGATAAATCTGCTGAAATCACTCTAGATTAATAAATTTAATTCTTTGATCATTATATGAAAGATCTCATCCAAATTAAAGTGAAACTCTAAATTTTTTTCATGAAAAAAAATCACAAGAACAGTTTCACTGGATCTGTTGTAAAGATCGATTTGTAGTGTGTTTCTTGAACATATTATGATTCAAAAACGTGAAATACGATAATACTTTTTGTCAGGATGAGTTTTCTTACTTCCGAATCCTTGAAATTAGGTATTCGAACGATATAATGACTCTACATCTGAACTTGCTCCTCTAGGCAGAAGAGTTTTTCTTCTTTTCGAATCCTCAACAATCAAGTATCCAAGCGCACGAATGACTCGATCTCTGAACTTGCTCCGCTAGGCAGATGGAGTGTCGATATTGTTAAACTCGCACTTTTTACAGTGCTTCAGATCTGGTTTGGTTTGGTCCAGTTCGGGCTACCGCTGGCCGGAGAAAAGTCGAGGCAGGTTTTCGAATGTGGTTAAGGTGTAGATATGAGATCCTTCGAGATCTGAAGGTCAAGATTAGAAAGAGCATTCTTCGATTTTGCAATGACTTCTCAGCGTCTGTCCAAAGTACAGTATGGAGATTCATTTCTAGCTGTGGCTAGGTGTTCGAGAATTTCAACGGAAATACTTAATTATCAAAAGCGTTCTCAAAGGCCAAACATACTTTGCGCTGAGGGCGGACAATAGTCTAATTCATATTGCAAATTAGTCTCTCGTAGACCTCTTCTAATTCATGGAACTAGAGTGTATCTAGAGATTTTGAAGAGTTTGTCTCGATGATCTCGGGCACATGTCCTCTACTTGTGCGATTTTATTTATTTCAAATCATCGCAGCATCTCTATTTTGTACCTACCTTTTGATGGTCCGTCACGAGTGTGGAGCATCAGTCAGTCTCAGTGCTTCTTTTCACTACATAACTTTCCTCTGTAACGCATCAACGTCAACGGTTGACTTGTTGGAGTTCGCCGATAGTAATTCAGATCCTTTCTCAGATGACTGGTTTTGCTGCACGCTTGCAATGCAAAACATTAGTGCGGTGAGCTTTGAGCAAACAAGCAACATCTGTTTTTCAGGGCTCGCAGAGGTCAGCGTTCAGGTTTTCGAATTAATTTGTCCTGTGATTAGTGTTTGATCAGCATCTGGCGAAAGTGAGTGTTTATGGGAGAGAGAGAGAGAGAGAGAGAAAGAGCTCATCGTTGGTGGGCTTGGCAAGCAAGAAGCAAGGAAGGTAATCGAGGCTTTGAATTCTTGGGCACCAACGTTGATTTCTTGCAATCACGGTGGAACATCATGGACAGTGCATGTTTACCTGCCTGGCTTACGTGAGTAGAGTAGCTGACATATGATTTAGGACTGCAGAATGGTGGATTTGATCACAAGATTTAAAGTCATATGAACCCGTGTCGAGATGGCCTTTCACTCATCATCCATGAAAACAGTGTAGTTTTATCATTGTTTAAAAGGATGAATTGTAGTGGAGATAGTCAAGAATTGGTTGGAAAATGTACAAAAAGAGAAGGTAAGGTAATGCAAGACGACATGTTTGAGTTGCATATGTCAGACATGAAGATACTTCCAGTATGCTTCCAGCTTTAACAACGTCGTAGACTTCGACGATAGCTACGATCATATTACAGTGGATTACATCACATGATATTAAACCATCCTCTTTCTAAGTGGAATAGTTTGTTTATCAACTATGCTTCAGCTGATAGACATTAATTTGCAAGAAGTTTGTGGGACTCACGAGAGAGACCTTGAGTTCAGAAACTACTCAATCCAAATAGCAATTTATGAGATTGTAGGATATAACGGGAGTAACTGTAAAAACATTGTTCAAGAATACTGGACTTTCCAAATCACTTCAGTATGTTGAAAGTCGTTTTGAATGTGATCGTTTTTTAGCATTTATTGATTAATTTCAGGAGTGAGTCTCAGGAGTCTCAATTCTCATTCAAAATCAAATTTTAAACGGGAATTGAGTTCGAAGCCGGGAAAATGGTTTTTCTAGCTAAGTAAAACAGGACGCACAAGTGACAAATTCCAGAAGTTTGAAAAGAGAAGATTAATGAAGGTACGTGTAAACCGTCGTGTACGGTGCGTAGGTGACGCACTGGCAGAGAGTATCGGGTTTAGGGTTTCGGTTGAACTCGACTGTTGGTTGTTTCGATCAGCGCGACGGCCAGGCTCGTCGCGACGAGCATTATCTATAAACTAGCAAACCACGTTACATTTGTGTGATCCTCTCTAAGGTCTTTGTTGGTGTTCTGGTGAAGTCCTCTGGCATAATACTGGTGCCGTCAGTGAAGAGGTTACTACCGACGCGAGAAGGCGAGTGGAGTTGAATCTGGGTGCCTGGAGCATGCTTTGAAGGCTTGTCTGCCTCATCACCCTGGTTTGACATTGATCTTGACAGATGACGCAGAAGGTTGCAAATTGTGGCTGACAGACGTCCAGTCAGAGGCGTATGTGTCGTACCAGAATTCTGTGCTAAACCCTAGGAAGGTTTTCGATGACAACAGACGACTAAGGGTTGTGGAATCTGATGAAATTCTCTGATTTATACTTGAATTTATTTCTGCAACTTCTGTAAATTTTTCAAATAGCTACGTGAAGAAGCATTTGATCGATTCAAACGTGTAGAAGCGTTAGTCAGGGAAGGAGACATGGAGAACATCTAGGACATGGCAAAGTATTAACAAGCTTGATTTCCAAACCGTGGCTTTTGTTCCCGTTCTGCAAAGCAAATGCTGCATCCTTCTCGTACCGTGGTTGCGAATCGTCCCCACTCTACATCTCACCCGGAGTCCTCTTGTCCATGCACTGTCTTCTTGTCCATGTTTCATCGGCGCCCAAGTTGGATTCGATAAGGATAACGTGTAATAATTACACACGGCGAAATGAACACTAGCCTTTCATCTCGCTGTGTGTAATTACTACACCTCATCCCTATCGAATCCAAAGGTGATGTGCTAGTGTTCATCATCAATTCTAATGTGATCTTCATGGACCTAGAGTAAACTAAGAAAATTTATCGTAGAATGTCGAGGAAGTAAAGTGGTAAAATAGATTCAGTACTTCGATGCTAGTCCATAGCATTCTTTTCTTTATGTTAGAAGATCTAAAATTGCTCCAGGTAGTTTGGATTGCTTGTGATTCCCCAAAAAAATTATTTCATTTGATTGTATAAAATAATAAATTGTGAAATATAATAAAATGATAATGTTATTCTGAGATGAATGTGTATATCTGGATTACATCTGGGTAAATCACTTTCGATTGATACAATTAATTCTTTGATCATTTTGCATGATTGAATCGTACCCACTCTATCGTGGGAAGTGCATCTCACACGGCAACTGCTACTGCTTCGGTTTGATTTCCGTTCCATTCATCTGAACCTCGACGTATGGTATATTGAAACATGTTTTATTCATAAATTTTCATTTACTTTTAAGATAAATATTATTAAAATTTGTTATATACTTATAATAACTTATTTATATTCAAATTTAGTTTAATAATTTCAAAAATCGATTGTAGAATAAAACAATATTTTTCAAGCAATATGATTGTAAAGGTCTTTGGTGCATTTTCATTCCCCGAAAAAAGTTAATAGAACAGAAAATACAATTATTAGAACAGAAATAACTATACATACAATAAATATACATATCAAACTAGTTTATAAAAATTCATTTAATTACAAAATATAATTTCACTCTTTCCTCGAACGTGAATTTTGAAAGATGAACGCAGTGCATCTTTTTTTACATTCGGTTCATTCACCCTAAAACGGAAATAATTTTTTTCGTTACATTCTTCGTAACTCGGTTCACTGAACCTAAAAGGGAAAAGAAAATCACTTTCCATGCGAAATTGTCTGCAAAAGAACGTAGTTGGAAACTGTATACACTGATGATGAATGGTATTTGAATCAGGATCCAATACAAGGTGTTGAAGATAAACAGCACTAAAGTTCATAGGCAGCGCAGAGCTGCAACTGTTCGTACAAAAGCGTAGAGATTCCTCGCTGCGCTCGCAAAGGAGCATAAGCACACCCTTTCAACAGGCGCTTCAACGGCCAGACTCTGCTGACTCTGGACACCCCAGCAAGAAGACCGACGCGATGAGCAAGCACCGCCCCCGCGCCACGCCCGCGACGATCGTCGTGGCCGTCATGTTGGCCTCCAGGTCGCCGACCTTGGTCATGGACGCGAACCCCGCTGCGCAGAACGCTCCCAGCACGAACGCGGCCGACACCAACAACAAAAAGGCCGTCACGGCCAACCAGTCGCGAACTCGGGCCACGGCATCCTCTATGAACAAGTCCGCCACGGGCAAGGCCTCTCCAGCCATGACGGTGGCGAACTAGAAGGACAAGCGGTTGAAGCCCCCAGAAGAGGCGCGCGATCCTTCTCGTGTGCTCGCCCAGCGGAGGTTGCAGCCATCCTCCGTACGTGACGATGGCGATGAGGGCAGCACCCACCAGAATCGCGTTGACGGGGTTCAAGCGGAGAAGAGGATAGTTTTATAGGTCTTCAAAACCCGACAACCGAAATCTGACAAAGAGAATCGAGAGCTGGAGGATCGCACGAAATTCTTGCACATTGTGCAAGCAAAAGTGGCTCTTAACTGCTCGGTCCACATGTGTATCTGGACCCCATTCTGTAAAAATTTCTGCTTTGTGGCCTCTTTCTTGCACGGCAAAACTTTCTTACATACCAGAATTTTCAAAACGATGATCGCAATAATGTGAGATGCAAAACAACGCCATAGTACATGTACTTTTCTTCGGAATCTAACCGGATACTGTTTCTGTTTCATGTGCAATCAAATGTCGATGAGTTACATGAAGGATATCATTTGTCTCTAATCAGTACAGTGCTGAAAACTAATACTCTGACTACAGTACTTGATTTCTTCATCAGCATGCCCATCTGATTCTATACATCATGTATTCATAACTTTTGTCCACTTCTTGACTGATTGATAATGACAATGTGTAAGTCATTTTCGGACTAAAGGTATTCCTGGAACCAGTCCAGCGGTAATTTTGATATCTTCATGCAGCGAGATTGGTTTGATTTTTCTATACAAATATTGATTGTGGAATGGGAGAAAAATGAAGTTGAGAACGATGATTTTAACTTCATATTACAACTTCAGTTATCCCATGTAATTTTGGGGATGGAGGCATCGTTTAATGCTTAAATGCCAGATCAAAAGAGAGATTTTATTTGAGAGAGCAGTTGAGGTTTTGATATTTGCATGTAAATTTTTATGTTCATATAATTCCGAAGTATTAAATATATATCCAATTTTTGTAAATTATACGTTTTAGATATTACAAATTAAATGGTTTTGCAAGATCTCAATTTTATTGACATTGAAATAACATTGATAAGAAGTTATAATTCCAAACCTCAATTATAGTAGAACCTTTTAAATTCTAAAATAATTATTATCACTCTTAAGAAATATTCATAATCAATAAATATTTACACTTAAATAGTAAAGCATTTTAAATAAGGAGACACTTTTCTTTCGGTTTTCTGTACAGGTACAAGTACAGAGTTAAACCTCCCAATAGTGACATATATTGGTCCTTAGGTTTTCCGTCACTATTGCGAGGTGTCACTCACAAGAGTAAAGTTCCTATAACCTCCTAAGAGAAACATACATTGGTGTTAACATTAGATGTCATTGTTGGGAGGTGCATAATTTTAATATAACTTCCTAATAGTAACATACACAGGTTTTGGGGTTAGATGTCACTATTGGGAGATGTCAATTATATAAAAAAAAGTTCATAGATTTTTTTATCGTGCAGCGCATCAACCCTAAGACTTTCTATAAATGTGTTGTTTGGTTTCAAAATGGCCTTCATTTGCACATCTGTATTGTTAACATGGACATTATAATTATATTTAAATTTAGATTAATACACACAAATCTGAGTGAAACAATTAATAATAATATGTGTAGCAAATTATGGGCTTAGGGTTAAACCCTAAACCCTGACTTAAATCCAGAAAATGTGAATTGTTGAAATATAACTTTAAATATACTTATGCCATATTTTTTTAGTCTCGTAACTATGTATTGTGACAATGATATGAATTTTTACTCTGAAATTATATTTGAAATTGTCACTATTTTATAATATCATGTCACTATTGGGAATAGTGACATATCGTTCTTATTGAATAAATTTACAAGTTAGAAACTAATGGATCTATGATTTAACGTCACTACTGAGAAGGTTTAATCATTCATAAGAAATGACATTATTGGTAAGTTTAACTCTGAACATGAATCACTTTAAAATCACACCACTCGACCTCGCATACGATAGGGTTGTCGAGGCTTGTTACTTTGGTTCACAGGACCTTTTGGATTGTGTGCCGAAGTATTGTGCCTGACGCAGTTGCTTTAATTCCACAACTGCCTTGAAACTACTCGTCCCGTACATGCTGGCGATTAGTCTTTGCGCGAACCACTGCACTCGGCAGCGGAGTGACTTTCACGGCCAGAGGCAGAATCCGCACATTCTACGAGGCGATAAAATCAAGACGAGCATCAAGGCCAACGACCTTGTTGACAATGGCGGAGCTAAGTGGCCTGCAGGCTGGAACAACCCCGACAGTATGACTGTGGACTGACGGCCTACGGTCACCGTCGTGATGGTCTCCCCTTTTTCACCGTCGCGTCAAGAAATCACCCGTCGAGCTCGCACCCTCCACTATTCAAATTCGAGACATGGTCAGTAGATGCGAGACACGTGTCAGCGACCGCCACATTACCCCCCATTCACACTACTCTCCAGTCAATCCGCGGGATCACCATCAATCGCACAGGCGCAGCATTCGATCGATTATCCGGCCCGGGCTCGGGCTAAGGCACTCCCGAAAGCGAGAAGAATCCATGGTAGAGTACAATTGCCCTCGCCTTGCCTGGCGCTCACCCCACCTCCCCTCAAATCTGTAATGATTTTTGAATCCGAAATTTTTTTCCATCCGCAGCTAGAGATCGAGTACGACTGTTTGCAAATTCAAAGTTAAACGAGGCAGCAAGCAGCAACCATTAAAACGATGCTGCTGCACTTGTCGTTGCATCCTTCCGCTGGAATACTTGGAAAACTTAAACTAGCTTATTACTTCACGGGGAACTTTGAAGCACATTCAAGCAGATTATGGATCTCGAGACTGTGCAGCCATTTTCAAAATTGAACGAGAATTTCCCATGAATTGACTCTGCTTCATCTCTGAAGAGGTAAGATTATAGCAGTAGCAGATGATGTGTTACATTATCCTGTGTCATAGTTGGTTTTCGACGTGCCACAACACTTCTTCTACCTTTCATTTGATGACTTCTTCCATCATGTACACTTACGGCGGTGATCTCCTCCGAAGCTCTTTCGAAGGAAATATCTCATCGGCCAATTTAGCTTTACACTTGTGAGGGTCTGATAAGCAGACTTTCAACCTCGACAGAAGATCACACCCAAACTCAAACGCCGTCAAACTGAAACGCAGAAATGCGGCTATAGTGGATCCAACACTCCATATGGGACTCAGATGTGACGCTCAGAACAAGCAATACAGTCATCGAATAGAAACTACAATTCGGTCACAACACTGTACCATCATGCTGACAACCGAATTTAGCGGCTAGAGGTTATGCGGCCCAGTACAGGTGACAGGCGACGAGGATCTTGTTATGTTGACAGTGTTGGAAGGTGGGGTTCGGCTCTGGTTCTCAGAGCTGAGGATCGTAGTTTCAGGCATCGAAATTTGGGAGTAGAGACTTGAGAAGAAGCAAACCGCGTTGTACTTGAAGTCAGCGCACTGCAATGCTGTACATATATGGCCATGGCGCAGTATTACTAACACCGTTGTGAGCGAAGAAGGTGGTCAAGAATGGCCTAGACCCACCTTCATGTCCAGAAAAGATATGTTTCGAAGTATGATCTTCTTCATGTTCTGACACAAATTTACGTACCGGGGTTTGGGAGCACTAGCAGTGATCAGATCTCTGCGATGAAGAATAAAGATCAAGGATCTGGAGGATTTCCCTCGCCTACAGTTTCTTGGTTAATTGGAGATTTTAGAAAGTCTGGCAGCAGTAAGGAAACTAAGCAAAATTCGAAACCGCCATTTCGCTAAGGCGCTTCTCTTAAAGCCGCGATGACAGGAAATTTACTGCCCCTACCAACGCAAATGCCCTGACAATCGCAACGCATAACCTTAGTGCAAGAAATCACTAGCCAAATCGACAACCCCGAGCTCTCGCGTGATCGCCATCGCCAATCCGAGAGTGCCTCACAAGAAATGCTAGACGACAGGTCCGGCCGGCCTCGTCTTGGGCGCCAAACGCGAAACCCCTGGTGACAGTGACGGGAAACCCACTGGACGGTGACACTCGAACGGTGTACGCATGCCATCAGCCCGGAGAGCATAGAGTCGGGGTTGTTCTAGCGAGGAGCTAAGTGGGGGGAGGGGTTCCTAAGCCCAGGAAGGGTCTGCAGATTCTGAGCTACAGATCATGAAAACGCGGTCGAGAAATCTTTTCGCCTGCGACGGTACAGAAATAGCGGAGTTCATCAATGACATCATTTTTTGTCTCCTATGACATCAATGATCATATCATTAAACTATCTTTAAGCTATTCTAAGTATGATTCTTAAAGTAAATTTCTTCTTAACATTAAGATATTCTTTATTTTGGATCAGTTGGCTCTTTTAAATAAGAATTTATCTTTCATGCATATGTTTTGCTTTCTTCTTCTTGCCTGCCTCAGTTTTCTCCTTTATTTTGGACAGATCAATCCACTCCATAACCTTATTTGATGAAGGAAGCACATCAAATCTAAGTCATTTTCTTGCCAATTTTGTCATTTAGAGATCTACATCGGTATTGTACTTTTTTTCTTCTCTTTTCCTTTATCAATGTCTCATATTGCATTTTGGCACTATAAACATGAATAAATTGGATTTTTTAGCTAGTAGTAGCACGGATTTAAAATGCTTATCATTAAAAGGGTTTTTAGCACCCTTTATTTCATTCATGGTTGGTAGTACATTCAATCACTCATAATGAAGTGAAATTTTGTCCCTGAACATATTCTCACCTTTTGTAACCTTGAATTTGGACATGGATGTTACTATTGATGGCATTGCTTGTGCACTCTGATAGTTATCCACAACCTTCTTTGCAAAAGTTAGTCTATACAATATCTCTTACATCATTGAGAGTTATCTTCTTTTTGTTTCCAAATGTACTTCCACTTTGCAAAGTTTTCACAGTTCTTTTGAGTATGATCATCACATCATATGCACTTTTGAACATATTTTATTTGTTGAGAATTTTTATATTTTTTTCATGTCTTTTTTTCCAACATAGCAAACTTAATGTTCAATTTACTTTTCCTAATACTTTAAAACCACATAATTTCTTGCTTGTAGCTAGAATCATCTGTATAGCAACTTATTGCGATTGGACAACAACGGCAATAACTTGAGGAACTCTTAATATTATAATCTTCTTATTTTTTTCTTTGCAAATATTCTTACCAATTCTTCTACATCCTTTCAACTTCTTATCAGAATCGTTTGTTGGTTCTTGTACTCAAGAAGTAAATTCAACTTATCTTTCAAATCATTATCAATTGAACAAAAAATAACTTAATTTTAAGAGATTCAAGATTTTTTAAATCTCTACTTTAGAAAAATGCAAAATTCAAAATTCAAAATCTTGAAGAAGTTTAAGTGC